AAGCTATGTCATGAAAGACTATAGGAGTTGGTTGAAAACGGAACGGCGTGTAGCAGGAGGAGGGGGTGTACGGTTTCACCAACCGATCATCCGTCGACTGATAAAGGAGACATGCAAGCACATACTGGCCCGCCTGTTCAAATAATGTGTGAAACACCTTAAGCTATTATCGGGTTTATTGGCGGTAACGTGTTGGACTCGGGTAATTCTCGGATTGGGTTATTCACTCCTGTCGTCGGCTCTTCCGACGCATCGTCACTGACACCACATAACTGACACCCTGTGAGTGACCCGAAGCCGAGGGCGTCGGCAGGCGATATCAGTGACGAAATGTTCGGTGGTATACTGTCTGGCTTGATTAATACGACCTTTCTTAGCTCAGTGAACATTATCCGAAATTTAGAAAGCAATGACCACACTGATGTAAACTCAAAAGGACGAATGTAGGGTAATATACCGGGTGAGTCAACATGGAATTGACCGAATTAGAAAAAAAAATAAAGTGGCTTGCTCCATTTGATACAAAAAAAACACAGGCATAAATTACATGTTATTGACTAGTAACTGCGAAAATTTCACGTAATTTGCATCATCCATTCCCAAGTTGCGTCTATTTCAATATGGAGATCACAAAACTCAGCTGTCCACCGCTGATAATTTACCGTTCTACGAACTGATTAATAACCGTTACATTCAATGAAACATGGACGTTTTCCCACCTGAATGAATGGAAAAATACAAAAATCGCCATTAGCATTTCTGGAGAAAAAAATAGATGACTTGTTCCTCATTTAATATTCAAAACACAAAATCTGACAGTAGAAAAGCTGTTTTAGTCTTGATTTGTCTGATTACATCTCATTTGTGTTTAAATGCCTGTGTGTAATCTGTAATCCTCACTCAGCTCGATAGCTTCCAATGGTAGTCCATGGACAGCTGTAAATATTGGTTCTTTTAGTTAAACGTGCATAACATCTGTTAACAGACAAGCCAAACCAACCAACAAACTAACCAAATCCGATGAACATATAACCTCGTTGGCGAAGGTAATAAGGCAAAGCATCAGTGTATGGAAAGGATAATCTGGTACCGACCAATATCAAGCTTGCGTTTACGCAATATCAAGTGTGGACGCTGGGGTACATGTTTCGATATCGGTACTTGATTTCTAAAATCAATATATCGGAAACAAGCCAGCCGCACGCGCTGTGTATGTACTGTGCTTAGATGCTTTCTCATTCTGCACTGCACTGACTATATCGCCTGCTCAGCCTGAGAGGATCGTCTTCAAAATAATATTGTTATATTATAAATATATTGTTAAAAAAAAAAGGGATTTGTGGTATTTTTGGTCGAGTCCAAAGTCACGCAGGTCGAGTCCAAGTCCGAGTCCTCAGGGTCGAGTCCGATTCATTTGTCATCGTGACTGGAGTCTGAGTCCGAGTCACGAAAAATGGGACTCGAGTCGGACTCGAACTGTCCTATTATGTTTACTCGCCAATCCACTTTGTCCGTGATAGAGTGGGCAGGCTGTTTTTATTTCCGCTAAAAATAGGCCGAAATACGATAAAGTGGCGTTATATCAACTTGCATTACATCAGCAGAGCCCACAATGCTGCACTCTAATGCCTTAAGGCACACTTGTACCTGGCTGATATGCTGAAATCATCTCCAGTACCGCCATAGGAAATTAACAAATGCTGCCACCTCGAATTGAGAATAAAAGACATTTCCTCTTTCTGATGCTAGGATGTGCAGGTGGTTTCTGTAGCCTTATTGTTCAATTGATCATGCTCTTGCTGGCTTGGAGAAAATTAAAAGTGTGCTCTCCGGCAACAGGCAGGCGGCAAGTTTAACAGTTCGAGAAAACGTGCCACTTTGTGTAAAATAGGCCAGAAGCAAACTTATGTTGAAAACATCTAAAAGATTTCCCCTCACAAAAAACCTTGCGGTATACACCATGTCCCATTATTTCATTTGCAGATTTCTTGTTGCCATTTTTAGTGGCGTTTTCGTTCCTTGGTTTTTCTTCTAATACAAATTTGAAAATTTATGAGGAAAACAAAATAGTGGTGTCAATTTGACAGAAGCTTCAGTATTTCAGTGCTTGAGGACAACAGCTTCGTAGAATTTTTTTTCCTCCTTTTTTTCGGGGGATGTTCAGGCCGGGGCCGATTCTATGGGAGGGTGTTTATGCGTCCTTGATGATTGACATTCAATGAGAAGTCCTTACGCATAAAGTGTTACATTTTAGTTCATAATAATAAGATATAGAGACAAACTCGATTAATTAACATGATTGCCTACGATGACAGCAAGGAACCACGCCTTCGGGTGTCACTAAATTATTGTCTGTCCTCCCCATGTTATATTTCTAAATTCTGCTTTGATATGTTTACTAGTATTTTGCACTGGAATTTTAACAGTATGGAATATAATGGAAGCTTGAAAGTTCAAACTTTAACCTTGAACCCTAAAATAGGAAAACGGGTGTAGATGTACTATCATTATGATGAACAAACAGTTCAGGGACATGGGTAGATGCACAAAGTATGTTTATAAAATCCATTTCGTGGCTCGTTAATTTTGTGGATCACCATAATTAAAGCACTTGCGTACTCACTCCGAAAACCCCATAAAATCATAAACCGAAACGATTCCGTTTGTGTTTAAATTTGGATCCATCACAACTCATTGCTGTTTGTTTTTTCAAAAAGCAACACCAGCTCTTTTTTTGCACGTTTTTGCGGCGATTGCTGCTGCATACAGATGCTATATTTTTCTCCCCTGGCTTAGCTCTGCGTTTCCCTGACACCCCGGATGAATTTCAAACAGGATTCGGACATATGTGTGTTTGTCAAGTGCATGTTGTTGAGATGTGCTGATGTCCATCGACTAATTCTCTTGCATGGGCTTCTCTGTCATTGAGATACACCGTCAGACCGCACCGACCTGTCGGATGCGCACTTAGACGTGTTTTCACAGGGATGAGTGCCGTCAGGAAAACCCCCACGAGAGAATTGACGGTGATCGTGAATTGGAAACAAAATTTGATTTTCTCTACTTCTTTTTTTTTTCTCAAGAATTCAGTCGCGGCACGGAGTAAACTTTGAAGAAGTAGCTCAGTGTGTGTAGAATGCGAAGGAACGAGTGATTTTGAAGTCTGTACCCTTGAGCAGAGGCAACTGTCTCGAGCAAACTGTGCATGTGTGCAAAAACGTTAGGGCAATATATCTTTCCACAACCTGCCAACATCCCTTAACATCGGGAAAACGTGAATTAGATGAGAAACAGATAACATGTTAACAATGTCTGAACCTAGAAATCCTATTGCACAGCAATGACTTCAGGCGAGCTTTTCCGATCGTCTTTGGATGGCCGGGTAGAACATCTTAGCGAGACGCCAATGTCGTGTGATGTCGACCTTTTAAACATCTTTAGCTGATCATGCGATTCATGTTTCAAAACAACAACAACAACAACAACATCATCATCAAGAGCAGCAACAACAACAACTTAACAACAACAGCAACTACAGCACCAACAACAACAACATCATCATCAACAGCAATTAACAACAACAATAACGAAAACACGACAACAACGGCAACAACGACAAAATGCCGCTCCATCCACTTGCACAGACAGAGTTTCCCTATAGGCCTACTTAGGTGAGAAGGCTATAACTTTCTCACCCACATAATATTTAAACCCTTGTTCTTTAAGAAAAGATCTCCCCAGTTTAATATGTCTGAAAGCATTTAATGAAGTTCCAGGACATGCAAAACAAATCGCTCGTCAACCAGACTCGGAATCGACAGCTATCCCCGGAAAAAGAGCTTCAGACGGCACTCGCTGGCCGGTCATTTACATTTTACGAGTCAAATAAAAATGTAGACATCTGTATTTTTTCTCAAGTGCATGGCTTCGGAGCGTGGAAAATCCACACTCGAGCTCACGGCTTAGTAATGACGGGCACGAACCGCAAGTTCCTTTGCTGTCTGTGAAAAAAACTGCGTCTCTCGTATAAAACATGAGCAACCTATGTTGGACGGTACCGTCTAGGAATAAGAAATCGATAACGAAGTTTCTTACTCTCTCATGAGAATGCTTGACATGTATCATGATGTCTCCTAAGACTTGGAGCATTGTCCGTGCTCCGGGGGAAAAGGCGTTATTCAAATATGCATTGGGGATTACCAAACTGCAACCGATTACATTGGGGGCTCTGCTGTGGTCGAACAGAATCGTGTGCTACTCAACTAGTGTAGCAACTTTCAAACAGTGGAGAAAACAAGTGGCCGGGGAGTGAACACAGGAGCATCCACTACATGCCGGAGGCATATGATAAGAGAAGAATAAATAAATCCCGTTGTTGCTAAAGCTGAGCTGAGTCAACAGCTGAGGCAAAAGCAAAAATAATGTGCCTCCTCAATATGTCCTGAAGTGGGAACACAGGACATCTGCTGGTCTAACCAAAGAGCTAGGACCTCCTTGTTGGTCTAAGTGCTGAACTGTACATTAACAAACTGCGCACTTGCTACAATATTGTGGAAATGCGAACGGAATTTCATATTTCGACTACGGAAACAACTACTGTAACAGCCAAGATGCCGATTTTAAAATACGCCTTTAATTGAGACTGTCAGTTTACTTACAATTTACAACACAAATGAAAGTGAAACTGATGGGAATCTGCATAGCTGTTTACATATAAAATTTCATTGAACAAAATTCCAGCAAGTTTGTTTTTGAGAGAAATTCTGCCAGGGTATCACAACGTCAGTTTCAAAAGGTGACGTCATGACGACGGCATCGCATGTGACTGGTGGTAATCGGCACTGTTAATTGAAATTCGCAAACATTTTTTTTGACAGATTCCTAAATTATAAGCCCTTGAGACAGATAATACAAGGGCTATGCGCAAGGAACTACAGCCCTCTTACATTTTACGATTAAAAAAAAAATACGACATCAAAAAGTGGGAGCATTCTACTTACAGATGCACCGTCTTTTCCGGGAGCTCCATTTGGTCTATGGATGTGATGTCCTCGCCGCTACATTCCACCGCGTAAGACGGCAGTGCCTCCTTGTCGAGGGGGCTGCACGTGCAGCCTCTTGGGCAGGGCACATACTCGGTCTCTGTGGGACCCACACTGCTCTGTGCCCAGGTTGGGATCTGGTCATCGTCGTTTTCAGCCAGCAGGGGCACGACAGGCGACATGCCGTCATCCCCACTGACAGGAGGGAGCCGCAGGATGCACAGACAAGTCAGGAATATACGGTACGGTGCCGACGTGAACACTCGCGGTAAGACCTTCATGATTATTGTGGGATAACAGAGGAGGAGCGATGAGACCACGAAATGAATCTGCTGGTGCAAGTTGTTGGAGTTCTGTATCAGGCTGGAGATAAAGTGTTAACCGTGTGAGACGATTGCTCGTTCGACGTGAACACGCAGGATGAAGCTACGTAGAAAACGTCTCGCACGTTCTATAGCGCGCAACAACCTGTCCCAAGTCCCGACAGTCCGTGACGTGACAGTGTAGTAAAATGCACCGGGATGTGTCCACACAGTGCCTTATATACTGCATATCTCTGGGGGTAAAAAACCGTGTGCATTAATTATGTCATCACAGTCCCCGGTAGACTAACGCGGTGGAATACACATCGGAAGTGTATGACAAAACCGTAAAACAATAATACGAAGATTGTACAGTTGCAAAAAAAGAACAGGTGAGAACTCGGTAGGGTTTATCGCCTTTTGAGGAGTCGACAAGAGGAGTTCCGATGATGTACCTATAGCCTACTCGCTTAGACTGCGCATCACTTGCATGTCGCCCGGCCGTATATCAGCCAAAGGAGAGCTCGGCCAATCAAGGCAAGGACGAAAATGATGCATATTCATGACTTTTACTTTACACCAATGATTGTTGCAATCACGAGTTGCGATCACGCGAAGCGCTTCAGTCTGAATATAGCGTGTCGTTGTGATTGTGTCAATTGAACGATCCGTCGATTTCTTTGTCAAGATGTGTGTGGGGGAAGGGGGGGGGGCAGCCTAGTAAAACTCGAAAAGGGGAAAGCTTGACGCCGACTGACTCTGGGGGCGCTGTTCAAACATGAATGCCGTGTACACAGTATAATCCACGTTTGATACCCATTCCCCGCATTGTGAAATTACGTCAAATTGGTAGTGGACACTCTGTATCTTCGGACCAGTAGCCGGGATGAACGCACGGGCCTTCCGGGCCGGGTCTAGGGCGTCCAACATTTGGGGGTCGATCCTCCCACACAAGGCATTTGATTTGTGTCCTCCTCTGATCTATCACCTTATCTGAGCAGGCCCGGATTATCCAATAGGCACGGTAGGCCCTGTGCCTATAGGGCCTATACGAACAATTCGGGGCCTATACGAACAATTCGGGGTCCTATACAAAATTACCGCACCCTGGAATTTGTGTCGTTGTTGAGACGCTCTTTGTTCAGTGCGCCAAAACACCCACACACCCACGTTTGTTTATGGCGTAAATCGAGGATTGTCTATACCTTTTCCTCTTTCCACACGCGGAGAAAAGTGTCTAAAACGTTTCAGGGTCTCTCTCAGAATTTTCGATTTCACTAAGTAACTGACGCTGTACAGCATGTAGGCATACATTACATTGTATAAGTCTGTCGTTCTGAAGCACGGTGTCAACCATGGGCGTCGATCGGTCGGGGACGGGGGCACATGTCGTGCCCCCCCCCCCCCCCTCCCCGAGTATATTCAAATACAAAATTGTAGCCTACATGTGATTTTATAGCTCAGAATAACTTATTCAATGACTCCAAACTAGGAAATGATGCTTAAAATCTTTTGTTAAACACAGAATTGCTTAAAGTGGTCAGAAATTGCCTCAGATCGCACCACAGAGCATCTAGAATCCATTTCCCCCCCCTGGGGCCCATTCGCGCAATTTTCCGTGCCGAAAAGGCTCGAAAGAACGGTCTCTTTTGACTACTTAGAATTCAGCATAATTTAAAGAAAAAGTGAATTGAAGGGTAATCAAATAAATAGTACATTCCTGTCTGGGGGTGTTTTTTATTTCTTTTCTTTTTTCATTCTATAATTGGCCTAGACATATAGTTTCACCTCGGCAGGAATCGATAATAAGGAACTTCATAAAGGTGACTGCCCGCGATTCTTATGTTTCTTCGGCACATTAATTCTGAGTGGGGACGGAGAGGTGTGGGGCAAACGTAGGTGCATCGAGCGAAGGCCGTAAACCCCGCCACATTTACGGTCAATCATCTTCGTTGAATATTCGTTCATTCAACATTGTACTCCGTAATTTGTCTCGATCGTATTGAGGTTCGCTTTCCACTGCAAACACAGACTGATTTTTTTCCAACCAGTGAAATAGTTATGGACTCCAAGATGCTGTATGTTCTGTGGTGTTGCACACTATATTTCTCACTCCCCTTCGAAAATGAATGCACGAGCGTTGAATGAGTTAAAGGGAATTTCATAACATTTGCTTTTGCTGTACTTTTCAGGAATGGATGGATTGGGGGATTAGTATTTCTTACATGAAGGAAATATTGATACACTGACTTGTTTTGTGGTCGTAGATGCTGGAAAAACAAAGAAACACAAATCATGTTCCTTTAGTCTGGCTTCCTGACCCCATTTAAGATGAAACGGAGCAATTTACAGCCGTGGGTAAATTGTAAGGTCAGGGAACCAGTCTAGCTGGTTTGTACCGTAGGTGTGTTATCAATTGCAAACAAAATGTGGACTAACTAAATATTGTTAATTGGGGGCAGTGTTTGAAAAAAAGCCAGTTTTATTTCCAAGGCTAGTTGGCCGACCACTGTTGGAAATTTATACAAAAATACCACTGTTCTTGAAAATGAATGCTTTAGACTGTCATTCACTAACAGTCCAGTAAGGAATTTCATAATAAGTTGGCATATTTTTTTTTAGATGTTTGAAAATGTTGTATATTCCCTTTAATAGGCCTATCATGGTTTTCCAGCCCAAATTCATCAAAATTTAGTTCGTTTTCAAGCTTTCAAATTCACGAATTTTAGATTTTCGAATTAAGATCAAACTGATACACACATGATTTCGTTTGTATCGTTCAGGTTCGTTTTATTCTATTCTGAGTAGGGCCTATAGGAATATTTCACTTTAATATTTCCAAATTGAAATTTCTACCATCTATTTGCAGTTGGGCCAGTCAAATCAAGACTCCTCGAAGCGGGAAGGATTTTGTAGCTGTTACTTCGTAAATGAGTTATCACTTTCAACCTTTACACGTTCAATTAAAATTTTAAATTAGTCGAGTAAGTTAACCTTTGGTTTTTATAATAAATGGTTTGTGTTTCTTTGTTTTTCAACTTACTCATTTCATTTCGTTTGTTTGTCTCAATTGAAATTCTTCCTTTTGCTTTGTTATCTCGTCATGAATGTTTACATCTGTTTCAGAATATGAAGACATATGTCGGGACTGTCTGCTACACGTGGGACTCACGCGTAGGCCTGAATGATAAATCAGCTTCTATCTATATAATCTCCAATGGCACCTCGCGTGTATGGTGTCTTGTGACTGTTACATTTAAATACAAAAGTGCTTTGACGTACTTTTTTTATCCAATGTTCCATGCAGTATAAAGTTTCCCATGTAAGAAATCTTATATAACATAGGCCTATATCGGAAAATACGAATCTCTGAGTAGCCCAAATACCATATACATGTAGTTACAGATTTGAATTTGGAAAATGTTGGCCAACCAATGAAATACAACTCAAAAAGGGGCATGCAATGTAATTTATTTTATGCAAACCGTGAAAATATGCGTTTGTGTTCTATTTAATCTTACTTTCAATTTTTGTTTTGTCATTTTCAAGGGTATTTTGGTGCCTTCTTGTTTTTATGCTAATGCGAATTAGCATATTTATGAGCAAATGTGTGATGTCAGTTCATGCAGAACCCTCAATGTTACAGCTATTTCGGCACCACAAGTTGCCAGAATTGTGGATCTTTTGCTGTCATGAATGCTCTTTTCTTTGGTGATTCGTTACATGGCAGTAAGCCAATGAGCAAACTTTTCTAACAAATGTTTTCTATGAGCAAATATATATTGTATTCACAATTTAAACAGAAAACCCCTATACTGAACAGTGTCTTCCTAAAAATGACATCTCAGCAACAGCGGCCCCTGTTGTCCGGAAAAGCAAGGACATTTTTTTTTTTGAATGTTTAAAGAAGTGCACCTTTGAATAAAATTAACCAAAAAGGGATGTCACATAGTTTTCATACATTTACGAAGAGTAGAAAGTTGTATGCACAAAATATGTTCCTGAGAAAAATTATTGTCATGACCCCTTTAATCAACGACCATTCGAAACTGATTGAACTTGTTCGTCGACAGACTGCTAAGTGCTAATGAAATAGAAAGATTCTATTTTGACCACTGAATGCTGATGTATAGGGAAGCATTTGTTTGAAATTGAATGGGCCGGGTAATTACTTTCTCAGTGTCTAAGGTGGTCGGGGAAACATATGGGCCTACATGATATGTATTTCTCGAGGCAGCATATAGAGCTCATGCCTTTGGGATTTCGCACCAAAACTCATTCAGTATTCCGATGGTATCTTCAAAGGCTTCCGGGGGTTTCACTCTGCATTAGTAACATAACCTCTTGAGTATCAGTTTTATAAGAAAATGCAGTATGAACCTTATCTATGATTTGCCGAATGAGATCAGAGACAAGCGATTATAGCTGGTTAGTAAAACAGTGGAGTTGACGTGTGTGTGAAATAATTATCCGGGGAAAAGCTCACCCTTTGATTCAAACAACTCCTCGACTCCTATTGGTATGCAACCGTGTCCAACGCTAGCAGCCCAACCATCCTTCGTTCAAGCTAAGGATGGTTAGACAAGTCAAGGAACACAATGTTTGTTTTTTTCTTTTTTTTTGTAGCGGAATGAAATGTCAAGGGTTGACGACGGAAGCAAATTAGGACCTGATGGAAAATAATGAGCCTTGGGTGGGGGCATGCCATCAGCAGAGTAGGCTTCTTCGAATCCCCGACCTCAGCTTGATCTGTATAGCCTCAGAATGATCATTTATAATGTAGCGGACCAGACCTGCATGGCCGCGAGTAAGGGGGGAGGAAGGAGGAATTCCACCTGTAAAGGTCTTCTGGTTAAAGCGAACGAGCATTCAAAATATCCAATAAAGCAATGACTATAATGACGACATCTCCTGCACTTCAGTTTATTCATTAACAAAATAACATTTCAGTAGTACTAGAAGGCCTACGTACTATTACAATAATACAATATGGCACAGTAATATAATGTGAAGGTCAGATTTCGACACATGGCTGCCTGTGACGCTATAACACAGCAACGAATCGTCTTTATCCTGAAAACAACACAACTTCTCTGACCAAAGATTACATATAAACTACTACAATACTCACTGTGAGTTTCAAGGAACTTCCCCTCCCACATACACAGTAATAATACATTAGGACGGCGCCATGCTCCCTGCAAAATCGAGGGAACTTACAGAGAAAAATGGTATTGGTGTTCTCTGTTCGAAACCCACAAGAAAAGACTTGTTGCCCTTGCGCGGGAAGCACAAAGGTCACATTATGCAAATCAAAGTGTTTAATGACAACATGCAAATCACTTGCAAAACTTTTAGGTACAGAAACTGAGGGCGCACTTGGTCTCCCGTTAATAAGAATAAATAATGTACCCTTAAAGAGACATTTTGTCGCCATAAATTATACCTTCGGGGGACAAGGTAGATTAAGAAGACATTGCAATGCGTCCCTAATGTCACAACCCCTTTTTAGAGGCAAACATTTTATTGTTGCAAATAGGCTAGATCGATTACACCTTGCCCAAAACATCGATATATAACTCGTGAGAAGATGATAAGGGAAAATTGGGGCTATAGCATCATTAAAGTTGATAAAACAAATTGTGCACAATCCTCATCTCAAAGAATCATCTGAAGATGCCGTCATCCGACTTTTGGGATGTCGTCATGCCTGCCATGTGTCGTTACCCTGAGATAAAATATGTCAGGATCTTAACAAGTGGGATGGCACTTCCAAAGCTCCGTACTTACCCACCGAAAGTGCATGATTCCAAGTAAAACCGCCTCCTTTCATCGTCATGATTATGTGTGGACAAACCTCGATCATCCGCGAATCGTTCAATACGTGCGTAGCCGTACCTTGAAGTACCGTCCTCGTCTGTTATTTTGACACTTTTGGACTACTTTATAAATCGGTTCAATAGGTACATATCGCTTTGGCTACGACATGCAGTAATATTCCTATTCAAACCAGCAACATCGTATAGGGAATGTCGAGATGGTTGATAAAAAGCCCTCTTTATCGGTATTATGTCTTGTGGGTAAAGCATTGACCAGGGCAGATAGAGAGGTGGTCAAAGGAAGGCATTTACTCCAGTACCTTTTTAACAGAAGTAAGAAATGCCTATGTGCACACACACAAAAAACACAAGTAAGGCATTTTTTCCAAGTCTCAGGACCCAAGCGGCATTTTGACGTCCCTTCTGTAAGAAAAATATTGAATTTTGCAAAATAACTGTAGCATAGAAAAACGTAGCGGTATATAGACGCCATGTGCAGGCGTGGTGATAAAAATTAAGAATATCCATTACTATTTTCCACCTAGAGTTGGCTGGTATCCATTTGAATACTTGTTATTCTAATATTCATAAGTCACTGGCATTATTATATGACCCTAAACAATTTTTTCGAGACTTTAAAGCGGGGATTTTAATTCTCGACGCCCATCCCCAAGACTAGCCGAGAAGGTAGTTGCCAGCAATTGATTTGGTATCATGGAGAAGCGTTGGACGCAGAAGTCGGCCTCAATCAAAGAGACCTATTTCCAATTTGGTTTCTTATTTTGTGTTAGCCGATACTTCTCAGCGAATCCCAGTAGTCATCTCCACAGGTGAATCGTCAGATCTGTTGCCCTTATGAAAATGCAAGTGGATTGGATAAAGATTCAGACACGCAAGGGTTTATGTGGAACCGTCCGCTTTTGCGGGTGACAATGACATTCAATCTGCTTTTTCTACTATAGCAGGAAAGCCGATGGCCACTTTTGAACCAACGTGACAAAACGTTCGATCTGCTTTCCTGCTAGCAGAAAAGCAGATGGCCACTTTTGAACCACCGTGACAAAACTTCCAATCTGATTTTCCGGTACATGTAAAGCAGAAAATAAGATTTCGAACTACCATGGCCACAAAAAAAAAACCGTTCCATCTGCTTTCTCAGAAAGCAGAAAAGTTGAACAAATAGATGTGTTCAAAATGTTCGATCGGCTTTACTGGTAGCAGTAAAGCGAAAAAGCAAAAAGCGAAAAAGTAAAAAGTAAAACCTGCTTTTCTGATAGTAGAATAGCAGAAAAGTAGAACATGCATTTTAGCAAAACGTTCAATCTGCTTTTCTGCTATTCTGTTCAGCAGAAAAGCACATGTCCAATTTTGAACCGCCATAGTATGTCGCTGTAAGGCACCAATTCCCGTAACAATTATGATAGAATTTGAAGTTCATCAAGCAGAATGAAGACTGACCCACCTTCAGACGGGATCTCCCAAACTGCCGAAGACAAAACTTTACAAAACTTTTTTGTTTGTTTGGAAAAGCAACATTCATTTTCTGCTTCGACATTGTTGAAGAATGCTGATACTTTTATTTTTTTTTTAAATATTATTTTACAATAAAAAGAAGAAAAGAAGAAGTAAGAATCTTCTTTACTGTGTGTGGTTCTTTTGTAACACGTTTTGGATAGTATGCTCTGTCCGTCTTCAGGAGACTGCCTGGGGGATGCAGGGCTTAAGATGGAGCGGGGTGGTGATGGGATGCATGATGATCACTTGAGCGGTGTAGTAGGATGCAGAAGTCGGGTGGTCTTCCGTGCAATCACAAGAGCGTTGAGATGTACAGATGCAGGAGCTAGGGAATAGGAGCAGGATGCAAAAGGAGACCCAGACCGTGACTATGGACCTTAGAGTGGTTGAGTTTCTTGCTAAGCAGCGGTTGCCAGATGTCGCTGACGATGAGACAGCCGATGCCTTGTGGAACTGTGTTGTACTCGTAGATATCGATGGCCTCTCGGATACGGCCGGGGGATTATGCTTGAAGTTAAGTGTTAAAGTTGGTATAGGCCTACACGTGCTTTTTCAAAATTTCAATTATGAAAAATTTCGGAATTCAAAGGAATATACTGTTCCTGTAACAAATAAATATGTTTGCTTGTTTTTGCAGGCATGGCGCGCTCCAGTTCAGAAATTGCGCACACTATATGCAGAACAAATTAGGAACGTCCCGCTCTTAATTCAAAAGTTGAAATTAATTGAGTACTTGTCGTGGGCCGATTTGTTCGTGCAATGTCTCATTAAAGCTCATAACTAATGTAATGCTAGAAAATTATCAATTCAATTTGAAAATCTATTTTTCAAGGTGCCACACCCAAAAAGCACGTATACACCAACTTTCATGTTAAGTTTCAAACAATAAGTTTTCTACCAGCATTTGATTAAAACAATCACTCAAATTTGGTTTACGAGCATGCAACCCACTTCTTAATGTCACACAAAACACACGAAAAGAACTGGTGGTCATTCATGAGATAATTTAATGCAAGCATACCAAAGTTTTCCAATCAGTTTAAAGTAAATGGTGTATCAAAAAGGTAAGTTGAAGATGATGGCAAATTAAAGTTTGTTAAACTTAAGAACTGTAGTGCTAACTGGATTTTGTTTAACAGGGATGCCATTAGGTTTTTGCCCCAAGGCCTGAAAAATGTGGGCACCCATGCCCAAAACGATCGCAATACTACACAAGTGAATCTACAATGTACATGTATGTCTATATTGAACTTAAAAGTCAGGCATTGGCGCATCGAGCTACACACATGTAGCATGGTGATTGCCACGGAGCACTGCATGCACATCTTTTTCTTTTTGCTCTGCGCGCGCATCACTCGTGATGATTTATTTTTCCGGCCTGTGAAGGGATGAATTACCTGAGTTTGTTTCTCCCAAACATGAAAAAATACACCTGAATTTATGCAATAGCACTGAAAACTGGTACCCCTGTTGGAAGGGGAGGCCTACAGGGATGCGTATTTTTGGACAGCTCATTCCATCACTATTAAGATCGAATTGGCAAAGGTTTTCAGTTTGTATCGGAATGATGGCACTTGGTCATTCATGACTGAATGGATAAGTAAGGTACCGCGATGGGAAAAACAGCTGATAAACCTTCATGTTAGATGCAACCGCACTCCGACAGTGATCATAATTTTAACATACTAATCCATTATCTTTTTATACACCCTGTACATCTACGATTGGTCGTAGTTTGCTATTTTCAATAGTTTACAATCATTCTCTGAAGTTGTATGCATCAAAAGGACACTCGGGTACCCGATACAGTTAATAGTCCATTCCATGTTCTCTATCTACAGTTCCAATTGTAATATCACTGTCATGAAATTCACTACATCATTTGTTCATATTAATTAGTCAATGCACAATTAAAAGCTCCCACAAGGTAAATTTAATTTCTACAATGTGAAATCTACATTCAAAACCAACTATACTGTATGTCTTGGAAACAATTTATTGACAAAACTAAATGTTAACGTGTGAGTATAAATAAAAACGAGTACATGTAAACAACTTTGTATGATTTTTACTTGGCAAAGTTATAATGGATGCCTACACTGCGTCAACAAGATGTTAACAAAAATCTACTGCGATCCTTAACCCTAACAGTCCTAAATCCTCCAAAATATGCAATGAAAACGTACATTCAGCCTTAATCTCTTACAAAGTTACAAATCTGACCAGCAACTTCAAGTCAACCTAATGAGAGAGTCCAGCAACTTCTAAATAATTTTAGCTTCTAATAAATGGTAAAATTTGTTTAAGCCACATTTTCGGTTTTTCAGTTTGTTGCATAGTTAGGCTTACCAGTTTCCAATGTGCAACTGAAACTAAACAGATGGAAATCACGCATATGGAAAGGCAGCTTAAACGATATACTGGGGTCGACATTTCCACTTGCACATATACAAAACCCACACAAAGTACATGAAAGTGCATGGCCATTGGCTAACAACACTTCTTGGTGTTTTCTTCACAATATTTTTGAGGAAGAGATGCAAGTCGCCACCACTGCCCATTGGAGGATCGTTTGTTCAGAGAAGCTTGCACTAAACCAATATATTGGTTTAGTGCAAGTTTCTCTGAACCCACGATCTAATCCTGAGCCTTTAAAACGTTTCAAGTAACATATGTACATGTATGTCATTCTGATTACTGATTTCTAATGACCTCAGACTAAGGAGTTTCAGTGTTGATCAACATTTGCAATCTACAGAGGGGGAGAGGTGGAGGGGAGGTGGAGGGGTGGGGTAGGGGTGGAGGGGTGGGGGTGGAGGGTGAGGTGTGGGGAATTCCTATTTTGTGAAGAGCATGGAAGCAAGCTTGTTGATCTTGGCGTCTAGATTGGCACTGGTCTGTGCCAGACTCTCCTCCAGATCCCGTCTCAGTTCGACAAGAGACGGCAGTGTGTCGCAGCTGGGGATGTTCAGCAGGGTGTCAAAGAACTGCTTCCATTTAGCCTTGTAGCATCTACATTTACACACAGGAACAAACAGACAAAGATGTGTGACAGTTTCTATGACTGGGAATCTCACATCCCAAGACTGCCTCTTAGTCAAAAATGGCTTGGAATTTATCAAATTTATTCGTACATGTAAATAACATTTTGCAGGCCAACAAAATCTGAGCTTGCAGCTCATATCACGAGTAGAATATTGGAAGATAACACGACAAAAATTCAAAAAGCTTCAAAGCAAAAAAATCAAAACAATTTGCTCAGTTACATTATGTGTAAAGCAAACCTCAGATGAGTACCAATGAGAGGGTCAAAAGCTATTTTCAAAATGCTCCTATTTTAACCAGAATTACTTTCCTGGGTTGAAATTCCTACCAAATATCTCTGACATAAAATACTTTAATTTGCGATGGATAAGCTTGGAAATTCCTAGGTTTTGAGTATTATCCATATATCTACTTTGTGAAATCCTTGTGGAGACCTATTCACCTTAAAAAATTGCCCTGTGGAGACCTTTACAATCGTTTGTTCAGTATTATACCCGGGTCTTCACAAGGCATCATTTTTCGAAACACTTGTATTTTGTACATGAGAACAAAGTGATGTCTCCACAAGGAAGTGTGAGAGGCAAGCAAGCAATGTGTACAGTGTTGTATTTTGACTGGTTCGCTATTTTCCTCAGCGAATATTTTCTGTGTTTAGACAATTTCTATGATTTGCAGTTAGTGGTGGGAGAAATCAGAGATTTCAAAATCCGGTTATCCTATATTTTTTTTTCAAACCGAATAACAGTTATCTGATTTCATCCAGCTCACAGTCATGCCAACAAAAAGTGACAAGTGAGGTGCCACATGCAATGCCCTCCCAATGACTGGGTATAGTTTGCAGGATTCAGTGACCACTGGGCCTTTACAAAAACACCCCAGAGCTGTAATGTTGAAGACAAAAAATATGGGTGGGATATTTCTGATCAGTTGAATGGGCCTGCTATTCACATATCAAGAAGACCACAAGCAAGTGAATGCAGGTACAATCAGAGACCATGGAGCAAATTGGGGGATGTTCCAGTTGTTTTCTTTCGCCTGTGTTACAAACAATGGAAGGCTTATTTTTTTTTTTTTAAGTTGGTTTCAAATATCCAGTTTCCAAAATCAAAACCAAACAGTGCATTTCAGACCGAATATTAAAAAGTCCGGATTTAAATCACACCTCTACCTTGCAACGCTTTAAAATAAGGTATCATTTCCAAAAGGCTTTTTTGGCCTTTTTTCCTATAAAGGTTAATATAGGGGTGAGTAAAAAAAAAAAACCAAACCCAAATGTCGGGACTATTGTTTTAGTAAAGTTCTGCAATTCCCAATTCATTAGCTTTCTTTTAGTACAAGAATCATTCAAATCACTCATGTACTTTTCAAGTTACGGAATTTTAAACACAGCCACCGTTTTAAAGTTCTGTCCACGGATCACAAAAAAAGGTGTGTGTTCTTTCAGCAAAACGAAAACATATCGGGATGTGTGTGAATTGTTTTCATTTTGCTGAAAGAACACACACCTTTTTTGTGATCTGTGGATAGAACTTTAAAACGGTGGTTGTGTTCTGTGACTTGAAAAGTACAGGAGTGATTCGAATGATTCTTGTACTAAAAGAAAGCTTATGAATTGGGCTTTCATATCCTAGATTTTGAAAGTGCAACATGCAGAACTTCACTAAAACAGTCCCTACATTTGGGTTTCTTTTTTTTTTACTCACCCTGTACAGTGTACTGTGCACCCAAGTGTCGTCTTTCTTTACACAGGACAAACAACAACAATTGTTTTGTTCACGGATACAGCCAAAAATAAAATTGATATTTTGATTCATTCACAGATCATAATCTATTACCAACTTCCGATAAGGTCAAAATAGCTGAGAAGTGATACAGAGCATATTGAAGTCTTAAGCAACTCTGTTCAATAAAATGAATCAATCAAAACGTCCAGATCATATCGCAACCAGGAAAAAACAAGCAGAGCTCAGATGAAAGAACAAAACAAACAAAAACTCAAATCAGATTAAATATAGAAAAACTTGTTTTGTAACCCTGTGGATTTCTTTTTTTTGGCTCAAGACTCGTATGACGGCAGTCCGTAAAACAGGATATCAAAAAGAGAGGGGCCCCAACGTATGACAAACTGCATTAAATCATTGGCCTGGTTAGATGCACCGTGACGTATGGAGGCATTACAGCAAACGTTAAAGGGGACAGAAGCTCAGCTCTTGGAGCACGGTGCTCGTAAGGAATTGTTATAGCACAGAGTCTGCAGACGAACCTGCCCCTTTAAGACATCTTTCCGCTTGACAGCGGCGAAGCAAATGAGCTCTTCAGTCTCAGAGGACTGTGCCGACTACACCCAATATTTGAATATTCAATCATTCACCAAATTATCCGGATAAAATTGTTCCAATTCGAGAAGATGAAGAGTTATGGTGCGTGATGCCATTTTTTTTTATCTTCACTTAGTAAGGCAAAAAAAAAAAAATATTCGGTCTCTGGTCAGACCAAAGTTTTGGAATTGACGCGGCCACGCGGCTTTTTTTTTTTTTTTTTTGCTTTTTTTTTTTTTTTTCCTTCAAGCTTGGATTGTACAGACAAGGTGGGGTACTATTTTGCTTTTTTGGTGTCCTCATGTACATTGGTGTCCTCCATAATTTGCCTTCTTGCTTTCGATCATTTGCCTTGGTGCAATTTCCCATTCCTTGGTGCTCTTTGGTAAAAATAAATTGAGGTGCGGAAATAGAGGGCGCTGTTGGAGCTACCGCGGAACATTTTTGAAAACAAAAGATCGACGCGCATGATTAAAATCGACGCAGGCGCTGACCAGAGACCGACTTATTTTTTTTGTTGGCCTAATAGTAGTAAGCATCTTTAAAAAAAATGCTAACTACAGTTAGTCAGCTTCATCAAAAGCAAAGAGAATCAAGCAGCTTGGAAAATATTCTTTAATGAATTTACAGCTCCCTATGGAGGACAGTTGCTTTTTTATTGTAATGTAAGCAGGTGAAGTCGTATTTTATAAGGATGTGCTTAATGCATATTTTGACTTGGTTCAACCCGACAAAATAGAAGTTGCATCTCAGTGTATTTGAAATAATCAGCATATATGTATTGATAAGAGGCCTTACTTTTATAAGCATCTGTCGGATAAAGGAATTAAGATAGTTAGCGATCTTTTTTTCTGCAATGGTAAAATGATTCCTTTTGGAACTTGGGTACAAAGAGGGATCCAAAATAATATTTTTTTTTGGCACTGGAGAGGTATAATTTCTGCCATCCCGATCATTTGGAGGAATTTTTTGGAAAGGAAGTTTGAGGATTAAGTCAGATTTAATTACAAAGTGGAAAAAAAGATAGCTTTTGGAAATAATACTGTGTATAACTTTTTATCTAAATTGCAAATTCTTGAAAGTATTGTGTAGATTGATAAAATTATGGTACAATTTCATTTATATTTTGTTTTTGTGTGAATGTAAAAAAAATAATAATAAATGCCCCTTTGGAGGGTAAGGAAAGAAAAAAAAAAAAAGCTTCATCAAAAATAAACATGATGTTCTTTATGTAACTCGTTGCTCATGCTAATCCCGATCCGTGCATTATTTAATTCCAAATTGATGCATGCAGATTTCTACAAGGGCGTGCGCCTGACTATCACGTGCAATTTCCTACCTTTGCACGCAGTTTAGGCTGGCACACGTAAAAGGTGGCTGGTGCATTTCGAATATATTTGAATATTCTATTAAATCCAAGTACGAATAATCAAATATTTAATTATTTGAAAATGCGCAGCCATATAATCTCAGTCTTATAAGTGATCCGCGGATCGCACATGTCGCCTTTTTTCCGCGCAGTAGATCCCTCTATGTTCTGTGTTCTTAGAAAGAGTCAAATTCTGTGCATTTGTAAATATTGACCTCAATTGACCCATCGATGATCATTGACCTTCAGTTTCGGAAGAGGTGTCATGAACCCCCACCCAAGGATCACTCCGGCCATCCAAGTTATATAAAAATCCATCAAATTCTGTAGACAAAGAAACATTTGAAGTTTATTTGAACAATGACCTCTAATGAACCCGACATGACCTTTGACCTCAGTAATCCGATGAAGAATTGTGTCTTCCCACCCAAGAGTCACTGCATCCAAGTTTCCTCAAAATCCATGAAAGCATGTAGAAGTTACACCTCTTTTTTCAAAAACTTAACCAGAACTTTAACATACAGGGAAACAGAATTTTCGACTAGAAAGTGTCCCCAAAAACTTTGTTTAGGCGACACAAAAATCAGATGAAAGCTGATCAGTTTACCTCTTGACATTGGAAGTATGTTTCCAGCGTCCCTTCTCCTCGTATATATTCATGTAAGATCCAAACATCAGGCAGTGCACCGTCGCTGCCACGCCGAATAAGTCAGTCTGGGGGCCAAATGAAAAACGACAAGGCAATTCATTAAAAAACGAGGGACGGCTTGATAGTGTTTTTGAAAGGCTCAACAGGATCAATTGATATCTTCTTCCCATTATTTAGACAAGGGTCGGTTGTCCCTGGAATGCCGACTAAACGAAACTGAGGTTGCCATGGAAGTAACTATGACAACCACATTCAAACAAGCGTGAGCCGGAACAAGATGACGTCCCTGGCTTGAATAGAGGGTCATTTTATTCATCTGGGGTCCTTAATGCAGTCGTCATCCAAGCGTGATTATAAACAGAAAACTACCTTACCCAACAAGTACATGTAAACTGTTAGAAGTCATTCTTAATGATACTTGAAAGGCAAATAACAAAGTACCAAGGTACCAGGGGCAGGAAAGCATTACGCTTCGGACCCTAAATTCGTAGAATGTCCCACTAGAAAAAAAAATGGAAACCAAGAATAGATTGACTTTTGGAAGGGAAAAAGATCGACCAATTTAACCAATTTTTCAGCTCTGACAGTAGCCTTGGTCAATGCTCTCGTCGTTATTCGTCCCGTATGCGGTCAATCGTCGGCATATATCCTCACGCGCTATGCACATGCATGTAAAAATACAGCGCGAACAGCGACCTCACGCGGCCACTATTTTTTTATGCAAATTTTATGGACGATCGAGAGCCTTGGTTCAATCGTCGGCAAAAGCTTATGTTTTTCTTTATTTTGCGCTGGATTTCTAGCGCACGACCTCGTATGCGAATACAGATAAGTGTAGGCAGGGCTTATATGTGGAGTGTCCAATCACACCTTGTTAAATCCGGACGTCATCAAATTATTTGCAGCTATTCGCCTTTTGCGGACGTGACAGGAACCACAGTTTTTGTGCATTGGTGCCGTGTGCAGAGACACACAACGTGTACGTGTATGGATTATGTACGGTGCCACGTTTCACTATGCAAGTTTCCACGCAACGATCGACCAATAAGAAAATGACATTTAAGGTCAGCTAAGGCTATTAACATAATGAGCACCACCCCCAAAACCTCACATGGACGATTGAACCAAGGCTCTCGATCGTCCCCAACTGATTTGCATACAAAAATAGTGGCCGCATGAGGTCGCTGTTCGCGCTGTATTTTTACATGCATGTGCATAGCGCGTGAGGATATATGCCGACGATTGACCGCGTACAGGACGAATAACAACGAGAGCATTGACCAAGGCTACTCTGGCAGAAGCTTCTACATGTCACTTGGCGGTCAGTTGGTCTGTCTGTCGGTCTGTCCCCAAAAATTGACCAAAGGTTTGGTGTTCGATAAGTGCCATCGGCGTCGGTATCTTGATAAGGTAAAAATTGTGCTTAATAGTCATCCAGCAAGGCCTTTCAAGTTCTGCCCATGCTGTCTCTTTGCAGTTTCCCTAACACAATGTGCCTTATTGAATTTGGATAATAATAATGATAATGTGTATTTTTAAAGTGCGTATATCCACCAGTATATTGGTGCTCAAAGCGCTACAAAATTACCCTGCTCATTGATAACATTACAGTCCACAGGGGTGTGAGTGACTACTGATAAAAATAGCTGAAAACAGCTGGAAAAAAAGTGTAAAAAAGCTGAACTTTGGAAATTTCCAATACTTTTGTACACAGCAAGTGAGGCAAAAAAAGCTGAAATCCAAAACAAAAAAAGCTGAAATCAGCTTTAAAGCTGAGATTTCACACCCCTGAGTCCACCCAGAAAAGTACCCGATCATACCAAATACTGCAATATGTTTGTGACGGTATACAGTGGACTCTCCAAATTCAACACCGCACAAGCCTAGTTTTACAGATAGAAAGCAAAGCAATGTCCATGTCATTGATAAGTAAATCACCTGATATGTCCACGGTTTGCCCGTCTGCATCTCAGGGCACATGAAGCCGTCCGTGTCGCATGTAGCCATGAAGGTGGTGCCCTGCGGGAACAATCGCATATCGATGCTGCGGCCAAAATCGACAAGTTTCACGTGCTTGGTGTTGGTCATGACCGGGCCGCTTGGGTTGTCGTCAGTGTCATCATCATCACCATCATCATCCCTGTTACAGAAACGAAACACTTGTTCATTTATCCCCATTAATTTCTACAGTTTTAAGATGGCAGAAACAGACGTTTTGAAAAGGTAGAGTACTGGTAGATCGTTGTCATTTGTGCATTTGTTTCGTTTGAAGCGACAATTACAAAAGTGTTCAAAATGTAAAGACAGGTGCTAAACAATTTATCCTGATGAAGTTTTAGCTATGGCAATGCTGCATATTCTAAAAAAAAATATTCCAGGATCTCAATTTTAATTCAAAAGTTGGCGAGTCGTATTTTGAATTGCGCCAGAAATCAGTCTCCGGAACACGCTCTCATTCAGCCGATTGCAACTACGTGATGCCACACACTGAATCCACGAATAATAGCAACTGTGCGCGAGTGATGTATCGTTATACAATATTGACTTCGTCTTTGACTGATGGAATATTGTTGTAGCTTATGCAACATATTCTTGTATCCCCCTCAAAGTCATCCAATATTATACACCGTGTAATTATTTTCAGTCAATTTAAACAATCACATTATATAAATATGTGAGCGTTTTAAGTTAGGTTAGGCCAAAAAAAAAAATACTCGGTCTCTGGTCAGACCAAAGTTCCGGAATTGACGCGGCCACGCAGCTTTTTTTTTTTTTTTTGCTTTTTTTTTTTTTCTTCAAGCTCTGATTGTACAGACAAGGTGGGTACTATTTTGCTTTTTTGGTGTCCTCATGTACATTGGTGTCCTCCATAATTTGCCTTGGTGCTTTCGATCATTTGCCTTGGTGCAATTTCCCATTCCTTGGTGCTCTTTGGTAAAAAAAAATGAGGAGGTGCGGAAATAGAGGGCGCTGTTGAAGCTACCGCGGAAAATTTTTGAAAAAAAAAAAGATCGACGCGCATGATTAAAATCGACGCGCGCGCTGACCAGAGACCGACTTATTTTTTTTTTTGGCCTTATGAAAGGTATTTATTACGTTATTATAGTTTTTAAATTATGCGACCGTTTTAAATTACCCCAGTGGGATATAATAAAGATTACTTCACTTGACATGACTTAATATATATCCAGGTATAACAATATTGCACTCGTCTTCGACTAATGCAGTACTATTCATTAGATGAAATTTTGCGTCAGGGTGATGTAAATCAAATTAGGTTTTGCCCTTCACCGACGTATAAACACTTTATACTCAAAGTGTGTTACCTCCCGAGTGAAAGTTGGAAAAAATCACTCGGGTGGGACTCGAACCCACGACCTCCTGCTTTCTAGTGCAGATGTCTTTAGTTACCACTTGACCACCGAGCTAACGGGATCGGTTGGCTGGTTCGACCCTTATTTGAATTAATGCAGTACTGTTATAGCTTGTGCAATGGATTCTTGTATGCCACTCAAAGTCAGCCAATATCATATAATGTATAATTATTTTGTAGGATCCAGTCAAAAAGTCATATATTAACCCATTAGTACAAGGACATGCTGGTATTTATTCCAAAACAAATTCACTACTGGGCGTTATGGGACGGTACAAGGACTAACAGGTAATTGCCTGACTAGGACTCACAGAATGAGCAGGAAGTTATCAGGCTTGATGTCCGCATGGATGATCCCGCAGGCGTGGACCTGCTCCACCACGTGCAGGATCTCAATGGTCAAGAGCAGCACCAGCTCCTCGGGCATGACCATCTTGGATTTGTTGTACTCGTTGACGGCATGCAGGAGGGTCAGGTTGCGGTGGTGCTTGGTGACCAGACAGCTGCCGTCGGGGAAGACATGCATGTTGTTGGCATACATGACTGATGCCCTCTGTAGACAGAGAAAAAGAGGACAAGATTTAAAGGATTATCTAGGATCATTTGTGATGCGATCAAGCTACATGAGTCGTTTGTCAGGAATTTTTATTTGGAGATTCAGGCCAAAATAGGGCCACTTCATCACATCACTTCATCACATCTCTTGGTGTTCTGACTTTCATAATATTTAAACCATAGATGGTATCAGCATGCGGTTTTCACATCAGTAATGCTGAGATTGTGTTCTTTTTCAAATCTGTAATAAAAATGTTTTTGACCAGGGTCGACAAACGACTCATATAACTTGATCGCATCACATTTGCTGTTCATAAATTGTGTTCGTTTCCAATAAATAACACCACTCAAAATCCTGAGAATGTTCAAAACCTAATCTGTTGGATAATACACTTTTAAAAAAAAACTTCAAAAACCCATGCACAACCTTTTGATCGCAAAGCAAGATTCCGTTTTTCTAACCTTTTATTCGACAAAAATCAGTCAATTGACTGATCGTTGGAAATCACCTTCATTTCTTGATTTCTTCTAAATGACAGCAAGCCAGACGGAATCCTTTCACTGGCTGTTTAGTACCAGTAAGATCTTTATCCAAGTAAGCTTTTTGATAATTAATCGGTGAGACGGCAATATAAAGCGATATATTTCAGTTCATGCTGTGAGACTCTGGATTTGTTGGATCATGTGAGCAGGCTTCTCACTTTCATAACTTCAAATTTGTGAACTGCATAAACTTATCTGTGCTAAGAAACATACTTTTTTTGGCAGTTCATTTTCGTTATTTTTTAAATTACTCCTGACTTTTCTGGGTAAGAAAACTTCCTCATTTCACAACTTCCTCATTTCACAACTTCCTCTTCAACATAGGTGAATAATATGCGTAAGCCAAATTAAAATCGGTTGAATAAAAGACCCAGATTTTTTTTAGCCAAGCGCCAGCCCAGGCAACAAGAACCATTTGTTTATGTTATTAACTTCCTGGGGGTAGACTGCCTTGAAACAGCAGGGCAGGCATAGATCAATCATCCTGTGACTAGAACCAGCAATAAGCCTGAATGGCAGTTGTTTCCAATCCTTTGAGATACACTAAACCCCCCAAAAATCCAAGACCATTGTTGTGCTAGTTGTGGGGCTTTTTGTTATCGATGTATTGCAAAGACCATTCTGGGCTATGCAACAACATAGTGACATTATAGTAATAATAATATTTTGGGAGGCTAATCATCCTAAGTTGCAGCTGAGAAGCAGATTTGCGTAGGACGCCGCTACGTGATTGAGCCGCTGGCACGTAAAGGCAACTGTGGCAGCCAGCCACATCGACCCATATATGACCACAGTGCTCGGCCTGAGATCGAAAGTGTTTGATTTTTCCCGATAAGGGAAAACCGAAGGGCCCGAGGTAAAACCCTTGTGGCACAGGAGAGAACCAACACACAACTCTACTCACATGTGGTCCGCAGCGGGGAATCAAACCAGGGCCTGTGTGGTGAGAGGCAAGCGCCTTACGCACTAGCCACCCATGCAACATTAGCATTCCAAAATTAATGCTGATAAAAAGACAATAAATCAATAAACTCTCACCACATCTACCGGGTTCCTGATGGAGTCCAGTCTCTCGTGCAGCGTGCGACTGATGTAGAACTCCCAGGGGCAGGCCGGCTTCTGTACCTTGAGAACCAGCTTATCGTTCTCCCCACTGAGGGGATTGCTGAAGTCGGCAGTGTGAAGGGTCAGGACTGACGCCTGATAGATTTTGGCAAACGCTCCCTCTCCGGTGACTTTATCAATGGTGTACCACTCATCACCTGAAACACAAACATATTTTTCGGGACACAAAGTAGACATTGTCCTATGAAGTGCAGGGTGAGTCAAAAAAGCGAAACCCAAATGTCGGGACCATTGTTTTAGTGAAGTTCTGTATGTAGCCCTTTCAAAATCTAGGATACAAAAGCCAAATTCATAGGCTTTCTTTTAAGTACAAGAATCATTCAAATCACTCATGTACTTTTCACGTTACGGAATTCTAAACACAACCAACGTTTAGAAGTTTTGTCAAAGGATCACTAGAAGGTAAGTGTTCTTTCAGGAAAACGAAAACAAATCACATAGGGATGTGTGCGCATTGTTTCTCGTTTTGCTGAAAGAACGCACACCTTTTCAATCAATGACACTGGCCAATCAAAAACAAAGAAATTCGTGACCCACCACTCCCTTTAAGCAGGTAAAATTGATTTTGCAGATTATTCTGACGTTACCACGCTTTGGTTTGGCACATCAAACAGGTCCAAAGTGAGGTACATCCTTTGAGCAAAAATATTTGAGGAATTTCAATTTCCATTTGTACCCATTAAGTTTAGGAAATAAGAGAGTTAATTAAAAGCATTTGTGGGGGCTGACTGTGTTTTGAGATACCGCACATTTGACCACAACGCGTCCATCAACTTTAATAACACCTCTTGACAACAAACTGACATACCCTCAAAATATTTTACGGCAAATTAATTTTGTATCTTCTATCTTTGATTTGAACAGCTTTGATCCCAAAAAAAATTCACTGAAAACATAAAGGAAGTTTTGCTCTGAATACAAATACAAAAATAATATGCAATACGTCACACTGAGATTGTGAATGTTTTGTGGAGTTGCAGTGTGAAGCCTTAAAGGTATAGTCCATCATTTGTAATTTGTGCATTTTGTTCGTTTGAAGCAACAAAAGTGTTCAATATCTGAAGAAGGATGCACTACAACCAATCTGATTAAGTTTCAGCTTAGCTTCAGCTGTATATTTCGTGAAAAACAACATTCTAGGATCTCGATTTCAAATCAAAAGTTGCTGAATCATTTGGGCCTGAATTCAGCGTCCAAGACACGTTCTAAATTGAGCTGATTGCAGCTATGCGATGTCGCGCACTGATCCGATGAATTATAGCAACTGCGCGCGTGTGCGTCATGTCCACGCTTGCGCACGCTTCGCCGAATAAAAAAAAACGAACTGCAATTTTCCAACGATGCATCTTTAGACACATCGTTGGAAAGGCCTTCTTTCATTGATTTCTTCAAAATGACAGCATGCCATAAAGAATAATTTCACAGGGAGTTTAGTTCCCTTACTATCTTTTAACCAAGTATGTTTTTCAACAATAATTACGTCAGTTACTTTTTGGATAGCTGCAAATGATGGACTGTAGCGTTAAGTTTGAACAAAGAGACAAAATAGTGTTGGCTTACCTAATCCAACTGCCTCACTCAGCACCAGTTCTGGCATGGGGTAATCACACTCAGCATAGCCATCGTATTCACTCAGATGTCTTGGAAGGCTGTCCAACATCTCTGCCTTCACTTCATCAGCGAAGGGATCAATGAAGTCACCGGCGACACTGAGGGCTCCGGTGTCTGGACTCTGCTCACTGGGCACCTCTGTGCAATCCATCCTGGTGTGGTGATTTCCGTTGCCCCGACGCACACTGACGTGGCTCATGTCCAAGTTGTTCAGGCTGGTTGATGGTGGACTACTCAGAGAGGGGGTCATGGGTGGGGCTGAGCGGAAGCTGGTGGTAGTAGCAGGTAAACCACTTTGAGAGGTAGAGAGTAGGATATTGCTCGTATTGAAGGATGTGGGACCGACAGTGGAAAGGCTAGTGGAGTTGTCCTTCTGCAATGCAGCCCCTGAAATGTGTTTGGATGTAGATGAGGTATCAAGGCCATCGTTTGGAGTGGCTTGATGTTTGGTCGACAGGCTACCATTGGCGTCAGGGATGATGACCATCGAAGTTGAAGGGAAGCCAAACTGAGAGGTAGAGTGAGCCTTGTAGGTGGTAGATGGAAGGCCAAAACTGGTAGACAGCCCTGCCTGGATGGTGGAGTGGGTAGTATGGTGCACAGAGGACGTGCCAGCATGGGTTGCAGAGCGCGAAGTTGAGGGAAAGCCAAATTGAGAGGTAGAGCGAGCCTCATAAGTGGTGGACGGAGGGTCAAAACTGGCAAAGAGCCCAGCCTGGATGGTGGAAAGGGCACTAGGGTGCACAGAGGATGCACCAGCATGGGTTGTAGAGCAGCCACTGGCATCTGTGAGGATGCCACGCGAAGTTGAAGGGAAGTCAAACTGAGAGGTAGAGTGCGCCTCGCAAGTAGCGGATGGAGGGTCAAAACTGCCAAAGAGCCCACCGTTAATGGTGGAGTGGGTAGTACGGTGCACAGAGGACGTGCCAGCATGGGTTGCAGAGCAGCCACTTTCATCTGTGAGGATGCCACGCGAAGTTGAGGGACAGCCAAATTGAGAGGTAGAGCGAGCCTCACAAGTGGTGGATGGAGGGTCAAAACCGGCAGAAAGCCCAGCCTGGGTGGTGGAGAGGGCACTAGGGTGCACAGAGGATGCACCAGCATGGGTTGTAGAGTAGCCACTAGCATCTGTGAGGATGCCACGTGAAGTTGAAGGGAAGCCAAATTGAGAGGTGGAGCGAGCCTCAGAAGTGGTAGACGGGGGGTCAAAACTGGCAGACAGCCCAGCCTGGACAGTGGAGAGGGCAGTATGGTGCACAGAGGACGCACTAGCATGGGTTGTGGAGCAGTGATGAGAGGAGCCCGTTGAGTTGGTGCTGCTGGAGGCTGAGGAGCGAGCGTCTTCATTGCTGCGTTCCATGATGGGGCTGATAAGAGAAAGCAAACACAGTGCAACAATCAACCATGCGGCCAGACCTGAACTGCTTGTTGAGGACACTTACACACATGTACAGGCAGTTTTTAAACGTCTACTTTCGAGCATAACATGTTACATGTGAAGGTGTTGAAATCAGATCATACAGTTAGAATTTGCCAAAGATGGGAGCTAATATGAGGGAAAAGCATCTTCTTAGAAACTGGTTTTAGCAAAAAAAAAGAACCGGGGATAAGCCATACTACTTTTTATGCTACAGTGTAGATTGATGAAACTTTTAGACATTCAAAAATATCACAGCTTGTGACGTTTTGTGGTTTAGAGGGAATCTGTGGTGAATAACACTGAGAAACCATGGGTTAATCCTTGCTCTTCTAAATCCTTCAACACACTTTCTAGAATGCCTCATATTTATTGCATATTTGTATATTCAGAGTTGAGCAGCCACACACACCAAGGAATGTAATCTTTTGACAAGCAAATCAGCGCCCTCCAAGGCACTCGATGTGGACATTAATCTACTAAAGAGCAAGGGTCAAAAAGACAACTAGCCAACCTTAATTTCTGTTGACTGTCGGCATTCATTGTGCACTCGGTAGCGTCAAAGCTCTCCATGGTGTTGGCCATTATGATGCGACTGGCTAACGGGGCCGGTCTGCCAACGTCAACCTTCGCCGAAGAGTCCTGGAGGAGGGTGGCGTCTTCGATGTCCGGTGCCCCCAACAGGGAGGGCTTGATGGAGCTGAGCGGTGGGAAGGACAGGACGCCCGAGGAGGTGAAGGGGGTAGAGGCCATGCGGGAGGCGGCCTTGAAGGCGGAGTGGGCGTTTTGGTGGTTCAGGATGGTCTCGTTGATGGCATGTTGCGCCGTCAAGTCGGACGGATTGGGGTGGTTGCTTCCGTCGATGGGCAGGGGTTGCACACCATCCATGACATCCATCTGGGAGGGGGATGTTGAAGTGGGATGTGACAAGCATTAGGATTGGGCTTTTCAGAGATTACACTGCTTAACCCTCCTGCTGTCTGAACAGTCACAAACAGTCAAAAAAAAAATCCACTTCCACAAGTCGCAATACTTGCTTGAGATACATTGTAGGATCTGACTGTTGGTGACTAGCCTTTGTGAAAGGCATGGCAGGGGAAGAGGATTGATTTTTTTGACAGTGTGTCTGTTTAAACAGCAGGAGGGTTAAGTTAAACAATACATACAAAGCCTGAAAGTTTCTACAGTCTTCATAACAATCGGTCACTGACAATAAACAAGATTTTCCCCCAGTACACCCCCATCCAAAAGATAACCAAAAACCCTGCTCTTTGAGGGTTACGAAATGCTTCCCAACTTGTCTCCAAGCTCTACCTCTTCAGGCAATCCCTGCTCATCCTCTCCTCTAGCTGCTCTCTCTTGATCCTCCAAGGACATGAAGGGGATTCCTTGGGCGGGCTGCAGGATTCCAAGCTTCTGTCGGTCGTCAGGTCTCGGCTTGACAAAATCCTTGGGCGGCCTGCCAAATGCGACAAGAAATCAACTTCTGTTAATTCCGACACCAGTGAGACTTGTTTCAATAAGCCATTTGCGAGTTTAATTTGAACAAAATCTTGAATGCTGACTTCATCTAATGCTTTGCACGTTTTTAACTTTGCATTCCCGACCAAAGAGACTGTTACTATATCACGTGATTCGGGGCAAGCCTTATGCTAGCAACCCCCAGCTCCGGCATGGTCTGCTGTCTTTGTGCCATTCTCACCCATTGTGAACAATGTATTGGTGCTGAGCGTCTCTTATACTATGCAAGAGCTTGCCCCGAATCATGTGATTAGCAACAGTGTCTTTGGTCTGGAGAATTCAAAGTTAAATGTGCCAAGCATTCTGAGCAAGTCAGTGTACCAAATGTTTTTCAAATTTAAATCCAAAAGGGTATACACAATGTAGGTCACTCGCAAATGGTTTATTAGGTGTCTCATCTGAGCAAAAAGGACTGAATGCACTCGTGTTGATGAGAACTTCAAGATAAGTTGTAAACTTAAGGCTCATTATTTCAGGTATTAAGAATGGCAGGATTTCTATTTCCATGACATTATCTCTTGGCATTTTGTAAATATTTCATTGCAGGAAGCTTCCAGGACGATGTTTTGAATCGGCTTGCCACTGATACCTGACACAATGGGCCTATGGGCTCCGTGCGCAAACTCATTAACCACAGACCCTTGCAAAGAACGGCATCAAGGTGGCAGGCTTTATTATTTAAAATCAGTGACAAAGAAAGAACATTGAAGTGTCCACTCCTGCGTATTACAGAGGACCGAAGCCCTCTCCACAGAGAGTGCGCTCTGTGATTGTTGTCTATAAGTTTACTGTGCAGGGTTTGATTTTTTGACGATTTTGAAAGATTCCGGTTATAAAAGAAATCTCAAAGATTGGGGTTGAAGGCAAAATACTTCAGCATTAAAAACTTACATGTTTTCCTGATTGTCAAGGTGGTCGTAATCATCCTGACTGGCCTGACGACCCACAGCACTAGGCGGCTCGGACTCATTAAAAATGGTGAATGCTGGACCGGAAGGGGTTGCCTTGCTCGCGGCGGTAAATACACCGCTGTTTGAGGTGCTACTGAAGTCTGGGAAAGACTGTGGCTGAGACTTGTGGGAATCTGTGAGGAACGATATTGGTAAAAAGAAAAGATGTCAGGGAAATGTTCAACTGAAATTGAATGAAAGATTTAAGGTTTGCGGTAGCGTCATGTAGACACTTTTCTTTTTCTGATTTTTCAGCGGTTTGTGAAGAACCGGACTGGTAACTGGACGACGTTTCAAACAGTATACTCTATCTGTCTTCAGGAGACTGTTTGAATAATTGAATGCTTGTTTTTATGTATTTTTATGAAATTCCAGTGAGCTTGGGAAAATGATGATGCAAGTGCCTATTTTTATAAACTGATTTATAAAAGTCCCACCCACAGTGAACGCATGTGAGGCGATCTGACAAAATGAGACTGAACTCGGCACAGGTCGTAGTGGTGGAAAATGCAAAAAAACGGAATGGGGTGATTTTTTTTTTTTGATTTTCAGATTATTGATACAGTTTTGATACATGCATGTCTACTACACATATCTTTAAGAAATAGTACTAAATTCTCATAATAAAAGTGTTTTTGAGGAAAAACAATTGGCATCTTTCATTTTTATGACAACAAAACTTGATTTTTTTCTCAGTATTTTCCATATGTGAAGTAGACGTATCAAAGATTACAAATATGAGTAAATCAAAAAATTGAAGAAAAGAAATTACCCCATTCATTTTTTTGCAATTTTCTCCACTATGGCCTGTGCCCAGTTCCGTCTCATTTTGCAAGAATGCCTCACATACATGTACAATGTATCTGCTTGTGTCCACATTTTTTCATGCAATAGCTAAGGACTTGATGATGACATGGTTAGCACAGAATTATTGTTGTATCATTACAAGCACAGAATGATCCTTACATCACAACTTTGGTTAGCAAAGTAAGGGCCCGTGACCATTCAGCCCCGGTATGAAAAGGGCCCCCCGGTAAGCTCGTCCCCTCCCAAGAAGTCCTCTCGTACCGTCCCAGCTACCGACCCAGGAGCTGGTCCGGTTGCTAATCAGGAACTCCGCTATCCTGGGGTCTATTGTTTGCAAGTATTGACACATGTAATATATCCCAGAAGAAACCCACTTGTGGTTTTCATCTCTCAGCGCGAAACAATAGAACACTTTCGTCGGCACAGATCAAAACCCTTGCCATGCGGTTTCGCGCACAATGGGACCGTAAATTACCAAGGCGTTATGGAAGGATTTTATCTTTAATCCGGTAAGTCTGCTATTGTTCTGCTCTGGACGTTCTCTGAAGGGCAATAAATTGATGCGCCTGACTGACTTCAAAACTTCTGGTCAGACAGGACCATGTACCGGACGAGACTGGGCTGAAGACCGGACTGGCTTTGGACCGGACGAGGTACCGGGGGCCCTTTTCATACCAGGGCTGAATGGTCACGGTCCCTAATTACATGTACCTTGTGTCCTTGTAATTGAAATTTGTTGTGAATATGCTTACCAGTGTTAGCGAAATTGGCTTCAAAATCATTGTCACTCGGGGCGGAGGCTAACTGGTGTCTGGCCCCCCACATGAAGTCATCATCATCCCCTAGGGGCTTATTCAGCATGTCCATGACCACACTGATGGCCTCCTTGGTGTGCACGGTGGGGGAGGGGCGCGTCAGGCACCCCGGGGTGTGGCTAGGGGTCATCAGCCGGCTCAGATTCAAGCCGGAGGCGTTGCGGGAGTGGGAGGAGCCCGGCGTGGGGGCACCGTGGAGCTCCACGGGGGTGCGTGATTGGGAGACGTTGGGGGCAGAGAAGCTCGTTGCGGCGGCGGTGGTGGTGGATCCCGGGGTTATCTGGCTGGTGCTGAGGTTACTGACGTTGCTGTGATTGGATGAAGGGGTCGGCTGGCGAGGTGCTGAGCTGTTGCTTGCATTCATCCAATGGGCTAGAAAAGTGAATAAAGGGTCGAGGTGTAAATTGTCTTACCAGAATGGAAACCTTAAAGCTATAGTCCATCATTTGCAGCCATCCAAAAAAGTAACTGGCGTATTATTGTTGAAAAACATACTTGGTTGAAAGATAGTAAGTGGACTAATCTCCCTGTGAAATTAATCTTTCTGGCAAGCTATCATTTTGAAGTAATCAACGAAAGAAGGCCTTTCCAACGGTGCGTCTTAAGACACACCGTAGGAAAATTTAAATTAGTAGTTCGTTTTGTTATTCGGTGCAGCGCGCGCAAGCATTGGAACGACGCACAGGTGCACGCGGTTGCTATAATTCGTCGGATCAGTGCGCGACATCGCGTATAGCTGCATTTCAAAACATGATTCAGCAACTTTTGATTTGAAATTGAGATCCTAAAATGTTGTTTTTCTCAGAATATACAGCTGAAGCTGAGCTGAAACTTCATCAGGTTAGTTGTTCAGTATCCTTCATTACATTTTGAACACTTTTGTTGCTTCAAACGAACAAAATGCACAAATTACAAATGATGGACTATATCTTTAAAACATATTCTGAAATAAAGGTCAAGGAACAGAACAGAGTATGGAGAGCAAAAAAAAAAACAAGACAAATTGCAGGAGTTCAAACTGTTCAATCGATGTTATGAATCGACATCGGACTTCAAGTGGCATTTCCCAAAGCTCAGAAACATAAACTGCACTTCACATCAATAAAAAATGTGATTTCTGTGAAACCCTGCAACTATTTTATTTGGCATGTTTGGAAAAGGTTTTGTTAGCTGTAGATAGGCCTGAGGGTGTACAAAGCAGATGTGCAATCACTCAAGTAATTTCTTATATTAGTGTAACACTTTTGATAGCAAAACAAAATATCTCCAAAATGCACGAGAAAATAAAACTCTGAGAGGCAACTGTCCAAAGAATTCAAAGGGTTTTCACTATGCCTTCTGATCAGACTGCAAAATCAAGACTAAAAGATGCTGCGTTTTAGCAAATTTGCAATTAAAAAAAGTATACCTTGATTGCCAGTCTCTTCATACATTAGCTGCCTTGTGACTGTAGGATCCCTGAAATGAAAAATGGACTCTACAATGATTTTCTGTCAAGCCAATACTACAGTATTTTGAAAGTGTCCAGATGTCATTAGAGGGAGTGTGGCCTAGTGGTTAGGGCTTGTGACTCGTGATCAGAGGGTCAGGGGTTCCAAGCCAGCTGCTGGCCACATGTGTCCTTGAGCAAGCCACTTCATCTCCACTTGCCTCTCTCCACCCAGGAGTATACATGGCTACCGGCATTAGCTGGGGAGTAACCTGCGATGGACTGGCATCAAACGGTTCAGTCTCTTACTGTGTACCTGGAAATCTATTATTTCCTTTCAAAAATTTAAATACAAATGAATTAAGCAAAAACTTTTAAGCCTAAAAAAAAAAGAAGTCCATCGTGCATACTCCAAATCATTCATCCACAAAACAGAATGGACTTGCAGAGTGCCGTGTACTATTCCAGCGAGGTGTACCGTGTTGATAGATTATCCTACCTCAGTTCACCATCAGGTTTCTTGGTGTGAGGGACCGTTGGGCCAGTTTCATGGGACAATGGCACTGCCTGCTGCAAAGGGCGCGTTTGTTGCTGTCGGCTTGGAATCTATGACAAATATATACGACCGTATTTTACAACCTTAAACCCACACGACTGTGTCAAGTGTACATTAACTTGCATCTCAATGAACAATTTTGTTCTAATTTATCATCTCTACATCTTTGTTACAGCATACTTTTGTTTGTTTTTTTACAGAAAATTCATTATCATCTCTTTAGAGGTTCATAAAGCTTACGAGCTACACTGCAATGCACCTTTTCGATCCTTGATTTAAAGCTATAGTCCATCATTTGCAGCTATCCGAAAAGTAGCTGGCGTAATTATTGTTGAAAAACATACTTGGTTGAAAGATAGTAAGGGGACTAAACTCCCAGTGAAATTATTCTTTCTGGCAAGCTGTCATTTTGAAGTAATCAATGAAAGAAGGCCTTTCCAACGCACAGTGCTTCTTAAGACGCACCGTTGGAAAATTTAAATTAGTAGTTCGTTTTGTTATTCGGCGAAGCGCGCGCAAGCATTGGCACGACGCACAGGCGCGCGCGGTTGCTATAACTCGTCAGATCAGTACGCGACATCGCGTAGCTGCATTCGGCTCAGCGAGAACGTGTCTCGGACGCTGAATTCAGGCGCAATTCAAAACATGATTCAGCAACTTTTGATTTGAAATTGAGATCCTAGAATGCTGTTTTTTCAGAATTACAGCTGAAGCTGAGCTGAAACTTTATCAGGTTAGTTGTTCAGTACCCTTCTTTAGATTTTGAGCACTTTTGTTGCTTCAAACGAACAAAATGCACAAATTACAAATGATGGACTATGCCTTTAAATCATGAGATAGGTTTACTATTAGTAAACCCATCTTAAAGGTTAAATCTTAAAGGTATTATACGTGCTTTTGCTGTCATTTTCACAAATGGATGGGTTTTGGGGTTAGTATTTTATAACAAATATTGTTATATACCCTATTTATATATTCATAGATGCTGGAAAAACCAAGAAAACATGCTTTCTTGTAGTCTGGTTCCCTGACTCTACATCAGACGAAACGTAGCAATTTATAGACGTCCGGGAATTTTCAGGTCAAGGAACCAGACTAATTGGCTTGCACCCGCGGTGCAGTTTTTAAACAAAGGTTGTCGTCTGTTTGACTATTGAACCAACCATACATGTACCTGCTGAGGCTGTATCGCAGCCTGTTGGTGCAGCTGTTGCTGCTTCTGTTGCAGCTGCATTTGCTGCATTTGCTGTTGTAACTGCTGCTCCATCTGCTGTTGTAACTGCTGCTCCATCTGCTGCTGTAACTGCTGCTCCATCTGCTGCTGTAACTGCTGCTCCATCTGCTGTTGTAACTGCTGCTGCATCTGCTGCTGCATTTGCTGCTGGACCCGTCTCTGCTCTTCCAACTGCTGTTGGTGCATTAGCCTGCAGACGGTTGATGGGAAGTAACGTTGTGCATCAGATCGAGTTGACCAGGCCAAACCGACCCGAAATATTATAGATATAAACCGAATCTGAACTGAAAATGATTTGAAAACCCCAAATCTGACCTGACCAGACCTGACCTGACAGAAATTCCAGCAAAAAAAAAATGACCCAAAACCGAACAAACTCGGAAAACCCCCCAAATATTTGGCTTTGGCAACTGTGTCCGCTTTTTGTACTGAACTTACCCGCATCACATACGGTACGGTGAAGACTCATAACGTGACCTACTGGTGGGCCAAAACGTTGTAGACTGTGCATGTTAGACTGCAAACCACACACACATTCGTGCGGTGGGTTGACATTGGTCGTAAAGGGCACAGCAACTCTGCAATAATATTGTACCGCTTGAAATTTTGTATTTCGTTTTTTTGGGGGGGTTTATTTCGGATTTTTCACAAGAAGGCTTTACCGAACCGACCCGACCTGAAAATCGTAAACGCAAAACCGAAATGACCGCACTGAAATGATGAAAAAAAAAAAACGACCCAAAGTCGGTATCGGGTCGGGTTTGTACAACATTAATGGCAAGTGGAGAGAAACAAGATTTAATTCAAAATTGTTTGATTTAAATGTGATTTCCTCCACGACGCATTATTGTGGGGAAATCCATGCGCCCAGAAGCAATGGATCACCAAAACGCTTGAATGTACTGTAATGTCGACCGGATCCTGGGTTTTCACACGCCAGACGAAGGAAACCACAGACACTATTCTTCAGGGTTTCGGGGCTTTAGGCCATTTATTTACAACTCACAACCAAGAGACGTTATACAAAAATGTCACACTACTGAGTCTGTTGCAGTCCGGCAACGGGTCTCCCTGGCCAAGCTAAGGGGTCCCGACGCTACGGTTGCACCATGAGTCCATGCTGGCGCCCTCTGCCGGCAGCCCACCACCGACGTTACACCACCCCTCCGAGGACCCTTGTTCGTCCCCGAACAAGTGGCGCCTCCGCTGGAGTCTCCTGGTCTCCGCTTGGGTCACCTCTGGGGTCTCCTCTGGGGTCTCCTCTGGGATCTCCTCTGGGGTCTCCTCTGGGTTCTCCTCTGGGGTCTCCTCTGGGGTCTCCTCTGGGTTCTCCTCTGGGGTCTCCTCTGGGTTCTCCTCTGGGGTCTCCTCTGGGGTCTCCTCTGGGGTCTCCTCTGGGTTCTCCTCTGGGGTCTCCTCTGGGGTCTCCTCTGAGTTCTCTTATGGGTTCTCCTATGGGGTCTCCTCTGGGGTCTCCTGAGATTTCTCCTTGGGGGTCTCCTCTGGGGTCTCCTCTGGGTTCTCCTTTGGGGTCTCCTCTGGGTTCTCCTCTGGGGTCTCCTCTGGGTTTTCCTCAGCTGGAGTCTCCTGGTCTCCGCTTGGGTCACCTCTGGGGTCTCCTCTGGGTTCTCTTCTGGGGTCTCCTCTGGGGTCTCCTCCGGGTTCTCCTTTGGGGTCTCCTCTGGGTTCTCCTCTGGGGTCTCCTCTGGGTTTTCCTCAGCTGGAGTCTCCTGGTCTCTGCTTGGGTCACCTCTGAAGTCTCCTCTGGGGTCACCTCTGGGGTCTCCTCTGGGTTCTCCTCTGGGGTCTCCTCTGGGTTCTCCTCTGGGTTTTCCTCTGCTGGAGTCTCCTGGTCTCCGCTTGGGTCACCTCTGGGGTCTCCTCTGGGGTCTCCTCTGGGGTCTCCTGAGATTTCTCCTTGGGGTCTCCTCTGGGGTCTCCTCCGGGTTCTCCTTTGACCATCGACATGCACAGCCCGATAACACTCCGAGTGGAACAGAGCGTCGGCGCCGCCGTGTACAGCGCGGGGCAATTCCCCGTGGGACCTAGCATGTAGGCCTAGCTGGCTCCCCAAAACCCTAAAAAATTCCAACTAATGTGACGAACGCTTTGCTGGCCATCTCACTAAAAACACTCCAGATTCTACCTGTTTTTCCTCCGTCAGACATGCAATGGCTGCCACCAATGTAAGGTCGAAACAAAGACACTATTCTTCAGGGTTTCGGGGCTCTAGGCCATTTATTCTTGCCACTTTCTTACACGAGGCTCTCTTTCTATACAACTCACAACCAAGAGACTTTATACAAAAATATCACACTACTGAGGCGGCGCAGTCCGGCAACGAGTCGCTACGGTTGCACTGCGAGTCCGTGCTTGGCGCCCTCTGCCGGCGGCCCAGCACCGACGTTACAGTACATATGTGCATTTCTCTGCAGTGTGCTTTTTCCCACTTAAATTCCCAACGTTTAATAAATTATTCTTTGGATGTTGGCCAGTCCTTGGAATCGGTTTGTTTAAATCTCACAAGCAGGGCAGAAAAAATACAAATTCTAATTTTCTCTGTCTTAACGCCTTGGAACAAATCCAATAACATCTATCTGCATACAACACACATTTATGGCTTGTGCGTCATAGGTAACTCAAGATGGCAGACGGCCGCTTCAATGGATTTGGGCATTGTCAGCCAGTCCAGCAGCCGATTTCACAAAACTTTACGCAATGGCATAAGTCCACTTGCGCTACAATTTAAAGCGCAAGTTGCACAACATTTCAAACTGCGCAACATTTCAGTTATGACAATTTCAAGAAAGTTTCATAGTGTGTAAGTCCGGGGCTTGCGCAACAAATTATGGCGTAACTTGCGCAATAATTTGAGGTGACGTAAATTGTGGCGTAGCAACTAAAAATGACTTATTTTACCAGCAAATCGTGATCGTTGTGGCGCCTGTTATTTATTGCACAACTTATTAAGGTTGATACAAGACACTCACAGCTTTGTGTTTGAAGTAAATGAAATACTATTGTACTCGTGACCGAGCTTGTTGAGTTGCCGCACAAGTCCGAAGAAAGTTGGACAAAATTAATTTGGCGGGCCGAGGTGAATCAACGACCGTTTCCTGATCGAGCAAAATCATACACAAACAGCCGTTGTAAATGCTATTATTATCCTCGTCCAAGATGTTTAGATTATTTAAACCGTTGCTCAGCTACGCCAAGTTTTCGTGAGATCGATCGTAAGTTTATTGCACAAAGTTGCTGCAGGAGGCCTACGCATGGCGCAAGCTACGCACTTTTTCGTGAAATTGGCTGCAGTTACGTAGTATAGAGGTCAGTGTGGTGGGTATGAGTGAATTAGCAACCAGTGACTCACCGTTGTTGCTGTATCTGTTGCTCCATGGCTTCTTGCTGCTGTCTGACCATGGCTTGGTACTCAGCACGCTGCCTCTCAAGGGCTGCTCTCTCCTCTAATCACATGATACAGGAAGAATCAAAGGGAATATACATTTGCAAACATCCAAAAATGAAACTACCAAATGATTATGAAATATCTTACTGGACTGATAGTGAGTATCCTGCATAGAGCTACATTAAATTACTAGAGCACTTACTCCTCATTCTTGTGCGCAGAGATGCTTTGAAGCTGCTCTGAGCGCAGACATTTTGAATTTATGTGCGTGTTTGTAGAACACACTCAAAATAGATGGATTGAATTTTAAAAGTGTACTCTAAATTCATGCAATGCGCAAGTAGAAGATACGCAAAATTTCAGCGTGTCATGACGGTTCAAAAAACGTCACGGCGAAAAGCATCTGCAGCGGAGGGACGCGCACACGTTGCGCTGTTTGCAAAATGAAACGTTCATTTGCTGATTGTGCGTTTCGGTTTTGGGCGTATCGGCTTTGATGACGCACCGGTATGGAATACAAACACAGATATGCAAATAGCCGTACAAAATTTTGAGTTCTCCATAGGTTTGTGCACAAACATGGATGCGCCCATCAGGCATTACTTTGTACATCGAGTTAGCGCTCTAGTAATTTAATATAGCTCTATGGTATCCTGTAAGGTCATGGCACCTGGTGTGCTATCACTTTCAAGAATTTGAATTAGATTTGCTGCCCGAATAGATGCTCTCAACCCTTGTCCTGACCAAACCTGAATGTTTGTACATGTGTACATACATTAAACTTTTGGAATGAATTTGCTCAGTATTACCAAGCGATAACAAAACATTGTTTTGAATTGCCAAAAATGTTTAATGTAGTAACAAGCCTTGATTTCGAATTTGAAATAAGTTTGATTATAACAATAGTAATGTATTCCATATTTAAAGTAAGATTAAAGACATATCAAGACAATAAGTGGATCAACACTTTTGACACTTTCATTCGAGAACTTTATTGGAGAGCTAAACTACAGAAGAAAAACAAAGTCTTCTGGAATAAGTTTTTGTAACATCTTATTTTAATTAATGTAATATAATGTAACTATGTATTTAGTACGTATGTTTTTCTCAAAAATGTAAACAATGTTGCGAGAAATAAAAGCGCTAGACGCAATAAATGAAAAAAAAAAAAAAAATAAAAAAAAATCTATTACTAAGAAAATATTGGTTAAAGTGGTCGGAAATTGCCTCAGATCGCACCAAAATTTTTTTTAAAAAAAAATCTATTGCTAAGAAAATATTGTTTAAAGTGGTCGGAAAAAAAAAACACAAAAAAAAAAAACCTGAATGTTACCCATATACATGTACATGTTGGGCGCTGAATCCGTATAGAAGCCGTGTTGGATTCTCGCTAGTGTGAAAGGGTCCCCTAATCTTAGGTATCAACACAGGTTTCAAACACAGATTCTGAATAGCGCGAAAGAGCTTTACATGTATGTCTGCTTTATTGTCATTAAAAGCCAAAAGATGGACAGAGCATACTGGTCTTTTTAGAACAGCACAAGGTTACAAAAGAGATTTGTCTACATGGTGCCACCCCTCTTTCTATTGATTTTCCACCATGCAAACCTTCAAGTAATATTGCACATCCGTAAAGCTCGACTTACTCGTAAGTGGTCGGAACATGTCTATGTCCGACCATGGGCTCTGTGCGATGACAAAGAGGGCGCCCTTTTACCTAGCAACCATGTCCCATGGGCGGGACATTTCACTGGTTGACACGCACCGTTCCTTGTGTGTGACGCACGTACACCAGGGGATTTTGTACTATGTACACACAGTGGCCGCGCTTCACGACAAATGAATTGCAGTCAGGCAACATGGCGTCGGTCGGTCACCCCCAACTGTACTCTCTTTGCCGTTGAGGGGGTACTTTTGAATGGAGCGGATAGAATTACCCTCTAATTTGGCACATGCTCACCTTCCAGTTTCCTTGCTTCGCGTCTGGCGTTGTACTTGATCGCTCTCAGCTCCTCAAATGACATCTCAGTGGCTCCGTTGTAGATCAGATGCTTGCAGTACATGGCTTTGGTCTTATCATCACCCACTGGTTGCTGTACAGAGTAGACATCATCACAATAAATATGCTGATGGAAATATCAAGAAAGCCCTATCCACAAAGGTATAATTGATTTATCACAAGTTAACTCTTTCAGTGCCCGCGAAATTTGGAAAGTTTAACCCTAAAGTGCCCAACTTCGAGCGTTTTTGTTAATTGTTCAAAATTCTGTAAAAAAAAAAAGGAAATAAGTTTTACTCACTAAATTTGTTGTTGTTGCTCTCTGGTATATCCTTGGTATATTGAAAAGTCAAAAGTAGTCAAATACACAGTGATACACCCTGAAACACTGGCCTGAACACAGGGGAATTCCGCACTTTTTGCAGAAAATACAAGATTTAGTGCTGCGTCCTCTCGCAAGAACTCGAATGAAAAAATAAATACAGGTCGTACATGCATGAAAATGGTACCATTAGAAAGAGCGAGAGCGCCCCCTTTTGATAACATATTTACTCTACCTCGTACATGTACGAGGTTTGGCAATTTTAAGTACGAACATTTACGAACATTACCTCGTACATGTACGAGGTTGGCGCTTTTGTACTAACAAATATACCTCGTACATGTACGAGTTTGGCACTGAAAGAGTTAATCACAAATCAAATAAAAGCTCAGGTCTCAAGAAGCAGAGTATAAGCAATGACAAAGGCATGTCTTCGTCACAGTTCATTTGAATAGCTTGTGACTTGTCTTTGGACTGGATGACTTGGGATTAACTTGCGATGACTTGTGGTGATTTGACAGATAGGCAGCACTGTTGACTGCTTTTGCTTATATTATTGGATGGACATTCTCTAGAAATACGTAACTGGGCATGGCAAGGTAGAAAGTTAAACTATTTTTTTTTTTAAATGCTGCGTTTTAAAACCAGGGCATTTTAACATTGTTTCCATAATGGGTCATTCTATAAATTCGGGGTCCACTTTTTTTCCACTGTCCCTGTTACATCTGACATCTATGATTTTATGATTTTGATGCACTCCTTAATGCAGTCGTCCTCCGAGAGTGATTATGGCAGTTGTTGCCAATCCTTTGAGATATACTACAACCCCCCAAAAAGCATCAAGAACATTGCTGTTTTGGTGGTTAGCCAAAATACCCAACGTACTACCAAGTGTAGTACCACCCTGTAATAAGCTAGGAAAAATGGAGTGGTCACCGACGTTTAAACATTGTATACTCAGTGTGTTATACCTCCCGGGTGAAAGTTGAAATCACTCGGGTGGGACTCGAACCCACGACCTCCTGCTTTCTAGTGCAGATGTCTTACCACTCGACCACCGAGCTAACGGTATCATTTGGCTGGTTCGAATCTGATGTACATAGCAGCGGGTACCGCATAAACTATTATAAGATGGAATTTTGCGTCGGGTGATATAAATCAGGAAAGAAAACAGGAGGCCGTGGGTTCGAGTCCCACCCGAGTGATTTTTTCCAACTTTCACCCAGGAGGTATAACACACTGAGTATACAGTGTTTAAACGTCGGTGAAGGGCAAAACCTATAGTTTGATTTATATCACCCCGGAGCAAAATTCCATCTTATAATAAAAATGGAGTGGTACTATGTAACTTACTGACGTGTTAATAATTCAAAACATTCAGTTTTGGAGATTTCCCGACAAATTCTACCCTGAAGGGCCTCACCTGGGCTATATTCTGCAGCAGGTTGGAGGGTTTCTCTGGCTTGCGAGCGCTAAGTATCTGACTGCCCGTCTCTGGCATCCTCCGAGGTGTCCTACGGAAATGTATTCAAATATTTCCATCATGACCTGGTCATATGTAAGGACTTAAGGATCCCAACGAAGTTATAAATGTTAGCATCATTCAAATTTTCTGCCGGTGTGTCTGCCTGTCTTTCAGACTCCGTGTAGACAGTTTTGGAGACCCCCATCCTATCGTTTAACCAATTAACGCCGGAGGACGTGTAAATACAATACGGCAATGTATATTCTCTCTCTTTGAAACCAAGCAAGGGGGTACTTGGGCACAGACTCCATACAACAGAAGTGACATAAGACAGCAAGAATTTGTTCAACTCACGTGATCTCTGGAGCCGTCTCATCCACGTGAACTTTGAATGACGGCTGGGCAAAGGTGGCTAGCTGGCTGACCCCAATCCCACCGCTCCTTTGCTGACGAACCTGGTCAAGAAATCATCCAAATGAAGTACGTGTATTGGAGTTCAAGAGGTACAATGCACATACTTCGGTTTTACAGGACCCTCAGTCAAGGGTAGAGTACATCATTTGTCATTTGTGCATTTGTTTCGTTTGAAGCAACAAAAGTGCCCAAAATCAAAAGACGGGTGCTCAGCAACTAACCTGATGAACTTTTAGATATGTGAGTGCTGTATATTCCGAGAATACCATGAATACAATATTCTAGTATCTAGATTTCAATTCCAAAGTTGCCGATTACATATTTTGAATTGCGCCCAAAATCAGCATCCAGAATACATTCTCATTCAGTAGTGTTCAGCTAATTGCAGCTATGTAATGTCATCCACTGAACCGAAGAATAAAAGCAATAGCGCGCGTGTGAAACCAGAAATTTCCAAAAAATGCTTCACTTGACTCATCTTTGGAAATAACCTTCTTTTATTGTTTTCTTCAAAATGACGGCATGCCAGAAGGAATAACTTCACAGGGAGTTTAGTGCCATTACTAGTTTTAAAGGATTAAAGAGATTAATAAGGGAATAAATATGCGCTTGGCCGGTTTTAAACAAGTACGTTTAAAGCCTGCTAGGGGCCTTGACGTGGATAATGGCCCGAGCCGAAGACGAGGGACGTTTTCCGCGACCAGGTGTAGAATGTACATGTACGTGGCGTAGAACGCAGCGGTGTTTTACCGGTGGTTTGAAACCACCCACGTGATGGGCTCTCAACCAATAGGAATGGGCGAAACTGTCTCAGGTATAGACAGATCAGTAACAGAGCTTGAAAGCCCAATTTGATAAATAGTATACTCAAAACTCACAGAGTCCCAAGTAATTGCAGGAGCATTGTGCCAGCTACAGTAGAAAACCACTACCACCAAAAAAAAAGCGCAGCAATTTCTGAACAATAGCCATGGCTGCAGTACCCCTGTGATTGTACAATGACTCTGCTGCTGCAATTTATTTATGCGACCCTGCTGGACACATCGTCAACTGTTTTACTTCAAAATTCAAAGCAGTCAACATTTGCGCACTATTCTACCCCCTACCTTCTGGCCAGCCCAGGGGCCTGCCTCTCGCACATTCTCCTTCTGTGTTTCTCTGTGGACCGGTATGTGTTCCCATTCTCCGGTCGGGGCCGGTAGCGACGGCTGACCGATGCCGGCACCAGACTGCGATGACTCATCGTCGCAGAACACTGCGAAGGACCGGCCAATTTGCTGTGTCGCCGGTGCAATGCCGAGTCCCCCTTTGTTTACTGCGGACGGAAAGAAAACGTGGGAATTCCAATGTACAGTAACGCGACTCAGATTTGGATTCAGAAAACTCCAAACCACTGGACCCAAGAGCACATCCCAAATCTCAGTGACACGGCTTGTTACTGTTAACTTTGTGAAAAACATGTACATGTATTTTTCAAATGTTATACATCAATCATCTACATGTAGTAATGGTCAAAGAGATCACAGACTTAAAGTTTTGGATCATTACTTAGATACATGTACAGGGTGTTTCAATAAAAAGGAAACCCAACTTTGAAGAACCAGTATGGGCAGACTAAATGTTAACTGGCCATAAAACTGGTATCATCTGAAAGCGTAATCTCTATGCTTTTCAAATATACCTTGTTTACATTTCCAGGGTCATGCATCACTGAGCGCCACTGTCATGAAATTTTGATGCAAAAGTGCAGTTGGTTCACTTTCATGTCAAACACAATAGGCATGGTGTGCATGAGGATTAACATTTAAGCCATTTCACAAACATTTTCGTAAAAAATAGGCACACCGTTCCCAGTGGTTTTTTTTTTATGAAAGTGAACCAACTGCATTTTTGCATCCAGTTTTCAAAAGACAAAGATGCTCACTGATGCATGACTCAGAAAACCTAAACATGGTATCATTGAAAAGCATAGAGATTACGCTTTCAGATGATACCAGTTTTATAGCCAGTAAACATATCGTCTGTACACACTAATTCTTTGAAGTTGGGTTTCCTTTTTTTTTTAAACACCCTGTATAATAGTTCAGTAGCTCTGTCACGGACATTACATTTTCTTTTATAACATGTATAGTGCTGGAATTGCCCAAATGCATAAACTACACGTGCAGAAATCCTAACAGTTGAAAACTGGCACTTGATTGACTATTTCTTGGACTGTACCTTGCTTTGCTGACCCCACTCTCTGACTGCTGACCTTCTGGTGGCGACCTTTGGCCTTCAGCTCACCCAGTTGCTCCCGTTGCTCGTCTTGGATCCCTGCGGCCTCTACTCCCTCCTGGATCTTGCTCATTGTTGCCCTGGCAACACGCGACTGGAACTCTCTAAAAAAAAAAATAATAATAATTATATAATTGTGCAAAATTTACATTACAGGCTTTCAAGCAGACCCAGATGAATAGAACAGTAGGATCAAAATTGTCCACCAAAAAAAAAAAAAAAAAAAATAGCAGGACTTTGGAGAACAAAATCAGGATAAAAGTAGAACTTTTTTGGGGCTTTCGGGAGTAGTTTTCGTTGAAATACTCACCCATGTCCACAGCATCATAAGTCTCATTTGGCATGTTCTGTACTCACACCATGTGTGCTCCGTCCTCAACTAAGCTCTAGGAAGTACAGTTGCAGTACTCCTGCGCCCAAACCCTTCATGATAGTGATTTACAATGTACATATGACAGTGTGTAACACTGGTATGAAAAAAAACTCAATGAGATTTCACTTGTCGGAGTTGTGGGACAAAAAGTAGGAAAAAGTTGGAATTTTAAGAAAAAGTAGGAAAAGTAGGAATACCTGAAAATCTGCAAAAATGGTCTTAGTCTCCTACCTGTGTGCCGCTTCCAGCCTATCCCTGGGCTGGGCGTGGCAGGCAAGCCCCTCCCTGTACACAGCGTCGGCTTTCTTGGTGTTCCCATGTTGCTCAAGCTCCGAGGACCACGCCTCGTAGAAGATGCTCAGCTCCGTGCCGATGGACTGGTCCCGCATGAACTGGAATATCTCCAGGGGGTTGTTGAAGAAGTGGTTGGCCTGTTGGGTGCAATCATAGTTGACATTGAAAATTATCATTCTTGTCAATTGCTGTCTGCTCTTGGTGAATAAACACTCGTACAAGGTACATTGTACTTTTACATGTACATCCTTAACGTACCAGTATCTTGTCCCCATCCATTTTTGTTGCTGCCTTTTACAGTTTTTTATACTACTGGTTTTTTAATCATACAAAAATATACATTTGCAATATATTTGTGTTTATGTGTTATCCTTTAAAACTGTAGCTACACATGTACTGTACACATGTACATGTATGCAGCTGAAAATCTGGTAGAAGGTGGACACAAAAATATCAGCAAAAAAAGAAAGAAAAAAAAAGGCCGCCTTCTCCCTTTTTTTCCAAAAAAGTAACCTTGATGAGTAACTATTTTTTATGAGAAACGTTAAGACATTTCAATATATTGAAGTTTTCAGATAAAAGGTTGCATATACAATCTGAAAAAAAGGTACATACATGTACAATGTACATGTACATGTAAGATGGAAATTTGGTTGTCAGGATAGTACGGCGATCGTGTACATGTAGTTACGGGCCTCGTTCCTAGTACAAGAGAACAAAACCCACATTTTATTTATTTGACTCACCAAACTACATGTAGTTGGCATCATAAACATGCACGTACATGTATGTCATAGATAGAGAGCAGGGTTTTGATTTTTGAGGGAAATTTGGGGGTAAAATGACAATTGACAATCATGACAAAACGCAACACGAAAATAATGATGGCGATCACCGCGATGTACCGTGAACACGCAAGGCGCACTGAATTGCATGGCACCAACTGTACACCGTGCACAAAAATAGTAATTTCTACCCCCCAAAAAACCTGTTCAAAATCATTAAAAAGGTGCCATTAGAATTGAGAGAATTCTGATTTAGGTTGAAAAGGCCATTCTTAAGGGAATAAATGTGTGCTCGAGAGGTTTTAATCACTCTGTTTAAGACCGCTTAGAGTCTGGGTGCTGATAATTACCCGAGTCGGAGGCAAGGGTAATTATCAGCACCCAGACTCTAAGCGGGCTTAAACAGAGTGATTAATACCGACCGAGCACATATTTATTCCCATTCATAAATACCTTTTCGGTCAAAAAATATATAATATTTCGGTCAAAAAATCCTGATTTTGTTCAACAAGCTCACTTTATGCTTTTTGAAACATCCCTCTAGCTAAATAACATGAATAATGGAGTGTTCAGCTGGCGATTAAGATGTAAACAACCCTTTTGTGGAGATTGACGCGCACGTGGCACGTTCTGTGCGAGTCGCACAGAACGCACCTGGGGCGTTGCGTTTTGAATTTAGAACTCTACAATTCTGACTCACTGGTAGTGTTGCGCATGCCTACGTGAGGACTGTGAACGTTCAACCAATCAAACGGTAAGAGGCACTGGATTTTTAGGAGTCCACATTTTATGTGACACTGGAAAAGTGTTTAAGACCAGTTAGCCATGTCTTTATCATCCGTATGAGACCGGCCACGTGACGGGCTCTCGACCAATAGGAATGGCTTAACTGTCTGAGGTATTTATGAATGAAAGATAAAAAACATCCTTGACTCTAATTTTGTCGAAACTAATGAGGGGTCCGTAACTACATGTACACGATAGCCGATAATACACTATTTCCATATTCCCCCCTCGTACCAGTTTAATCCAGCAGCTGACATAGCGGATGTCGTTCTTGTAGCGCGCCTCATCCTTGAACTTGCTCAGGCACTTCTCCAGGAGGACTTGGAAGTTACTGTCCTTGCCTCCGTTGGGGTAGGCCTGCTCCGTCCACTTGATGTAATCATCCCAGGGTTCTAAGGGATCCTCTCCTGTGTAGCTGCGTAAGGCAGCTTCCTTGGCTCTGTGGTTAAAAGAAAAAGGGAATTATTACATAAAACTGTACATACAGTAGGCCTACATGTACAAAAAATGTACGTATAATGTATTGTTACATCACTCGTAGGCTGTAACGTTTTGCAGGGAGACAGAATTTGCACATAAGTGCATATTTTAAAGGCCAATGTTTGCAGAACTACAGGTCTGATTGGGTTGAAACTTTGGATGTACATGTACCTAGACCGGGATATGTTATAGATGAAACTTTAAGTGACATCACAATGACGTCATCACGTGACATTTGACGTCACATTAGAAGAACATATTTTGAAGGCCTACAATGTATATCTACAGGACAACATGTCCGATTGGGTTGAAAGTTGGTATGTACATGTACCTATATCGGGATGTGTTATAAATGAAAATTGAAGTGGCTCACGATGACATTATTTAATTTAGTGAAACATATGTGACGGCATATTAAAGGTGTATATTGTGAAGGCTAATATCAACAGAACTTCATTGGTCCTGATCACTCTACTGCACGTCATATCATTATCAGTCTTACATGACATATAGACACACAATAACAAAATTACTGAAACAGCCGTATGTTTGTACACAAACATAATTAAACTCTATTTATTGAAAAATAGGCTAAAAGAAAACATTGTAATATTATTATTATTATTATTATTATTTATTCCGCATTAAAAGCCGGAGACGGCAAACCTTCAGTAAACGTTAGTTTGCCGGATATGCACTGAACATGCGCAGTTACTGTTTTTTTGTACTTAAACATTTTCCGGTGACAAATTTTAGTCTGGCTCCATGCCAATATTATCGTTGTATTTTTGTATATACAATGTACAAGATGGGAATCAGACCATTTTATAATTTCGGACTTTATTTCCCTTTAAAAAAAATCCTCCAGAGCCACAAATCTGAAAAAGAAAAAGTAATACTCTGCATTAAAATGTTTTGAGACATTTTAAAATAATAGAAGAATATTCTTATTTATTTGGGGATGGGGAAAAAAAACCTTAAAGTTGTGGCGGGGATCAGGATTCGAACTCGGGACATCCCACTCACTAGAGCCATTGCTTAACCACTGCACTGACTGTGCTACACAACTTTGGTGGGAATTTGATACATATTATAATTCAGCCCTATCTTAAAGAGTAGGCCTACAGCGCCCTCTGTTGATATGGATTGCCGCCGGCAAACCTTTAGTAAACGTTAGTTTGCCGGCGTTACCTCCGGCAAAATATACACTACCAATAAAAAAAAACAAAAACAAGAAAACATAGACAAAAGCCAGGGGCATATGCCCGGAATTAAAAAAGTTTACCTAAAAACTGTGGCCCGAAGGCCTTCAATTCCAATACCTCTGGCTACACAAAGAAATATATAAATCTATAAAAATCTATAAAAATGTATTAACAATAAACACATATATTAAACATGGCAGAGGTATAAATGCTAAAAAGTTATTGTCCCCGTTAAACCATGTTAACAAAAAAATAGATACGATTATCCCCAAAATTAACATCAAAATACCACAATGAGAAAAAAAAAAAAATAAATAAATAAATAAATAAATAAAATAGTCCAGCAAAAAGAAGGGGTAAAAAATGTCCCCCCATTATACTTTTATAGTTCAAAGACCCAATTTAATATTGTGAATGTCCACATTCTGACATTAAACATTAAAAAGTTAACTTAAGTTAAGAAGTTTCAAGATGTTCAATGCACGTAAGACATGAAATTACCTTAATGAAACAAAATGAAATAGAGAAGAATTAGCAAGAAACAAATATTTTTAAAAATCAGCAAAATAATTAAACAAAAGGCATGAGAAAAATGTCTACCCCCCCCCCAGTTAAAAAAAGTTTCGTTGCAAGTTATAGCCTAAAACTAGTAAAACTAAAAGACATCATAAAATTACCATGACCATGAAAAAAAAAACCACTCCAGCATTGTGTCCAGTTGAGAATTAGCACAAAACTAAATAGCCATATTTAGCTTACACGATAACGGCATATGCCTTAAAAAAGGAGGAGTCAATGACAATGTATACATGGGTAAACTTGTACATGTACTTTGTTTTATTGTACATGTCATGATGTGCAACCCGATGTACATTTTTGCATGTAGACTTGGCCAACTTACTGTCGTTGCAGGATCAGTTGCTGATGTTGATCAACGTTGTGCGGCTGCAAAGCGGTCGTCAAACTGGTCACTTTCCGCCCGTGTTTCAGCGGCTGAACGTTCTCCTTACTAAGTTCCCACTCATCGGAAGGATTCATTGTTGTTTTGAGTTTAGAGTCTTTACGTTAGATTAAAACTAAATGATTACAGAACCATATTTTGAGTGAAAATAAATCGTCGACGACGTCGGCCTCTTCGAACACGGCTCCGCGGTAAAATTTTAAAAATATTAATAATCAACGATATGTGCGCATGCGCAAATACAACAAGGTCTGGTTCCCAGCGACGCAAGATTATATGTACGTTAGCCATTGGGTATAGTGCCAGTCTGCATCGATTGGAACAAAGACGAGTTCCTTGCGCCTGAAAATGTCAGGCCTTGCTCGCAAAAATGGGTAAGTAACTAAGATATCGTCTATTTTCCACCTTGAAGGATAAATACAGAAAATAAAACTCCTTCTGTATTTGTTTCCCTGCTCTCACGTACCATTGAATGTTTTTAATTCCTTAAACCAAATGCATAGGCCTATCACCACTGATCACAGTATCAGTATCAATTATCATAAACTGGGGAATGATTTTATTGTTTTTTGTTCGTGCTTTATGCATAAAAATAGCTTGACCAGTTATGGTATTACAAATGATGCTCATCTTTCCTTCATTATCAATTTCATGTCTTTGTGTTTGTGGTCATGTTGGTGGAAAAAATGTAGTAGCAAGAGTTCCAGATGCAACGCCACTTCAGCGGTTGCATACAAAGTCTACTCTATGGAGAGTCGACATGGTCAAGGAAATTTTCTAAATATTTCATAACAAAATCCGAATTTTAAATTATGTTTCTTAGGCCCCTACTTATAATAGGCCTAGTTACTTCTAGAAATAGATTCGGAAAAAAATGTTGCAACCTGACGCCACTTTTTTCTTTATACATCATACATGTAACCGTTTTAATATGCCAAGGTGACAACCGAACTAGCAACCAAATGGTTCTCGGACTTTATTTCCTGTTAAATAGAAAAGAAAATGAATTTTATGATGTCTAAGTCTAGGCCTACTGCAATAATAAGTAGAATTGATTAAAAACATTAAAAGTTACCGAAAGAAAAAACTAAACCAGAAGAAAAAGCCGGATTTGATCCTGGGACCTTCGCATGGTGGTAAAGCGTTTAACTAATCCAGCTACCAAAGAGCCCTGGTTGGAAGGGCAGTTATGTTGTATTTGCAATGCCGTAAAGATACATGTACATGTACATGTAGCAGTTGAAAATTGTGTTACGGCTGTCGTAACAATAGCCACTGCGTTTAATATTCACATTGCATTCAATTTCAGCTACATGTAGGCCTGCAGTGTACATACATTGTATATGTACATGTACATGTATGTACTTATGTCTGTGAGCGTGTACATGTAAGTTTTATGAATCACCCCTTCGTAATCATATTCATGCCCTTGCGTACAAAAGCGATAGTCTCCAAACTTTCATCCAATGGCACTATCTGCATGAATCCAGGATCATTCTGTTGAGTAAGCCGTAGGCAGGTTTTGGGCCCTTCCTTTTTTGGAAGGGGGGGGGAGGGGGGGGGTGAGGGGATAGGGGGGCCGGGGATAGGGGGCCCTAGTTCAGTAGTTGTCATGGTTGTGTTTTTCTGAAACAACAAATAAATTGTTTGCTTTGTGTGCGTGTATTTCTTTTTGCTATGGATTATTCAGCGATTATGAGCAGTTTTACCGTGAGGCAACGGAAAATGCTGCCTCATTCAACACACGCCTGGTGGCCGAAAGGAAAATGAGGCTACCGTTCTTGGACTCGCAGACCGGGGTCGCACAGAACAACTGCTTCCTCTGGATGCAGAAGAGGCACCGCTTTCCCGGCCGCCACGAGGGCCAGCTCTACACCTACCCGTCCAGGAGATGGAGGAAGAAGAGGAAACCCCATCATGCACCTCTGGCCGACTCCAGCAACTTGTACGACCCAGTCCCACAGGGTGAGGCAGGCAAGTTGCAGTCCAATACGTATACAGGGGAACGCCGCTATAACAAACATCGCGGGATCCAAAGAAAATGTTTGTAATAACGGTCGTTCGGTGTAGCGATTTTGAGCCGCTGGAGGTTAAAATGGAGTCTGCCGGTTTAGGGCAAGTTCGCGCAAGGACTATAGTTAACCATTGGTCGACTAACGCTTGCCCGAACTCTGTCTAGTCGACGATGGTTAACTACGCTAGTCGACTATTTGGAACCAACCTACTGGGGTTGGTTGCTTCGCTGGTAACCATAGCCGCGCGCGTTCATAACGTACAGCAGGGAGCCAGGATCCAGACGTTTTGCAATGACATTTTGACCAGCGTTCGACTAGAGACGTTCGCACTTTGCTATTAGTGCGCAGGCGTAAGGTACGTCACAAATCAACCACTAGTCGACTAATGGTCCTGGCCCGAACTTGGCCTTAATTAGCGCCCTGTTGTGCTCTACTTGAAGTGGGCCCTCTTTTGACTGGATTTGTTAACTGTTTATATATTTCCCCTTTTTGACGTTTCGACGTACAGAACTGTTTCTTAAACTGTCCTTTTTAAATTTTAACTAATATTTTATTACGAAATTGCTATGAAGTTTATATAAACAGTTGTTTATTTATAAGGCTTCATTTTTGAAGACTGTAGTTTTGTAAATCTGTTGAATTTTTTTTAACAACAATGTTCGGTACGTTGTGTACACAAAAACTGGGAGCCGAGGATGATGTTCGGTATAGCCGAATGTTCGGTATAGCGGTGTTCGGTATAGCAGCGTTCCACTGTAATTGTTGTGCCCCAACTATAGTAATGGCCTCAAAAAACGTAGTCGGGATCGTCCCAAGTATGGTTCAGATCGTCTCGACTATAGTTGGGACAATGCTATGGTTGGGGCATAACATAACCCAAATTTGAAACTATTGTATGTTTAACAGTAGGGCACATCCATTGTCGTGAATCCCTAGGAGAGTCCCCATAAGGCCTTTTCACACTAGAGCCTGTCCACCAGGGTTGAACTCAATCCAGGGTGATCCCAATTAACCTTTGAAATCAATATTGAATAGATGTGAGACATAACATTGACATCACGCTTTGTTTATGGTTTAGGACATGCCTTTGCTACATGTACAGGACCTTGATGTCTCTTGTCCCCACCTGGCTCCCACAAACAAAGCATGACGTCCTGCTGTCTGAGCAGTCACATACATGTACAGTCAAAAAATCAATCCTCTTCCCTGCCATGTCTTTTACACAGGCTAGTCACCAACAGTCAGATCATATTTCAAGCAAGCACTGTGACTAGGTAAATTTAGTCAACAGATAAAAGCAGGCAAGTGTTAGGCACAGCTGGCATATCAATCACCTACAGTCAAAGCATAGCTGCATCGAGTTATATAAACAGTCACAGCCAGTCAATCCTGCTAATATGCATGCTGGGAGCTCTTAGCTGGTAAAAACAGTCACTTGATTGATGTTGACTAAAAGGACAAGTTTGCACGGATTGAACTGGTATGTTTGCGTAGGAGGGTTGAAATAGTCGGTTTCGTTTGTGGTTTACAAAATGTATTCAAAATCAAACAGATGGGATTGAAGTCCCCGAAACTGTACAAGGCGTGTTAAGCGAGACGGATCAGCATCCCGAGGCATCCAGCATGTCCTTGGCAGACAGGGAGCAAGAAGAGCTGTTCCGCGAGATGGAGGCTGTGGACGACATCCCAGATGCCGGAGAGATTGAGAGAAACCACTCGGACGAGAGCGACGAAGATTTTGAGGTCTCCGCACGCAAGAGACGAGGGCGTAAGGTACATGTACATGTATACATGTAGGAACCTGATAGGAACCTGATAGGAAGCTCAAAGGAATCTCATAGGAACCTGACACCTTACAGGAACCTGACAGGAACCTGACAGGAACCTGACAGGAACCTCATATGAACCTCATAGGAACTTCATATGAACCTCATAGGAACCTCATAGGAACCTCATAGGAACCTCATAGGAAACTCACAAATACCTTACAGTGATATGTGCTTTTTTAGAACTATTTTAAATGGTTAATACAATCACTTGGTATTCGAGTTGTTCCTTATCTCTCCACTCAGTCAGTCTGCATGGTCTGGCTGTATTGTGAGCAAGATTTTGTAAAGAATACTTTCATTCGGTGACAGATGGTATGTTTCATTCCACTCGGCTTCCCCTCGTGGAATGGAACAGTCCATCTGTCACCTCATGTAATTATTCTTACCATTGCACTCACAAACATTCATTATTTGTATACTATTCATCCCGTGTTTACTTGTGACCCGACTTGTGATTTGACCTTTAATTAATGCATGGTAGGATAAAACTTTGTGGTGGACCTTTCTTAAATGTAAAGAAGTGAGTTTGCTAATAGGAATTTTGAGGTTTGGAAAGTTGTTTTTGTTCAATGGAATACATTACTTTGGCTTGGCCCTTACATGTACATTCCAGGGTCGAGGAGGTGGTCGGAAGAAGGCAGCTCCAGTAGACACGGAGATGCCCACCTTGCAAGCTGAGGATAAGGAGAAACCGTTTGGCTGCAAAGGTAAATCACTGTCACAGTGGATTATCCGAATACTATGATACATACATTATGCTGGTTGTGTTGCAGTGCTGTGAATCTTTCCCGTCGTCTAAAAAACAAAACTACTTGTGTCTTCGTTTTGTGCACAGATCCCTAAAATAAAAGTTCTGTACCCTTATACGTGTACATGTACATGAATTATCATGATGACCTGGTTTAACCTGTGGTTTGATTAGTGTTGTTCCTTATCCCTAACTCCCTAGGCCTTTTTGCTAGGATGTAGCCTCAATCCTGCAAAATCCTCCAATTGGCCTCATGGAAAAATAGCATATAGCCTCAATCCTGCAAATACCTCCATTATTTCTTGAATATGGTCCATGGAGGGGTGACCACTGCCTGAATCCTGCAAAATCCTCCGGCTATGACTGTCAATAGGTTGAGGCAGAGGCAGTGACATCCTGGAGCAGTGCGGAGGATGTCAAGTATAATCAAGGACTAAATTTAAGCACGGCTGAGCATAAACAACAACACAAGGTCCGGCCCAAGACCTTGACACAGTGCATACTCCGAAATCAGCAACGCACTTTTGCCATGTAACCTTAATCCTGCAAATTCCTCCAATTTGCAAAAAGGATTTTGGAGGATTCAGGGCGGTTAGGGTTAACCCTTGTTAAATCACTTCAGTATTTGAAAAAAAGTAACTCGCCCATGTGTTTTGCACAGCCCTCCAATGTCTGCCACTGTACTTTGGGGGTGAACCACGGTACACTGCAAGAACTGCCAAAGGGTATTGACAGAAAGCTTGGTCATGTTGTGAGGAAACTCTTTGGTCAGCAATATACACAATGAGACCAAAGTAAACAAGTCTGTCATGTCTGTGGTAAAATCGCTTGGTTGGTGAGTCAAACAATCCTCCAGTGCATATGCTGGTGTGCATTGGCATGCACAAACTGATATGCAATAAACTACACCAAAAGTACAAGGGTTAATATCTGAAGCGTGACCAGGCTCTGGTTGAACCGTGGTCAAAGTTTGTGGCAAATGTTATTATTATCGCAGAACAGTCCTGGCTCACTGTTGAACACTGTTATACTCCCGGAGCTAAAGTGTCAGAAATGAGACCGAATTCTATAGCGAGTCAGTGAGACCAATCCAACTCTCATTGTAAACTTTGATAGAACATAGACTATGAGATTTGAAGGTTTGCATGGCGGAAAGATACTAAGACAAGATAAGTTTGCGGTAGCACCATGTGAATAAATCTCTTTTGTGAGTACATGTATGTGTGGTTCTGAAAAGAACCGGAACATAGACTAGTGACATTAGTGTGCCTCTGATAAAAGATATCCAACCATGGTTAACCGCTCTTGTTGATGTTAATATTGTCGGTTTGTTTGACATAAACATGAATTTATATGGAACAATACAACACAAGCAATACAAGAAGCCAGTGGCATTTGCCAGGAATTAACAAAGTGAAGAACAGTAGTATGGTGACGTGATGACCTTCAATTCCAATACCACTGGTTACACAAAGGATATAAATATAATACATGTACATTAGAGTTGGGCGGTTCCAGAATATTTGGAGCCGGTTCCGGTTCCATGTATTGGTGTGTATTGCCGGGTAGTACAGGCACCGGGTACCCTATTGAAGTAAAACCCGGGTACCCGTAAAAGAAACCCCACCCCAAAATTCAAATCCCGGAAGTTGTCTGAAGGGCTTTATAGCTTTACGGTGTAAACTGCGACTTCCGTGAGCGTCATCTGTCGCGCGTCAAAATGCACTTGAACATGAAATCTCTTTTGGTTTTCCATGTAGCCTGGGTTTCGTTTGAAAATTACCCACAATTGGCATTCAAAACCTTTCTTTTTCATTGTCTCAGAAGTTATTAAATAATTTGTAAAGTTGGTCTTCGGTATCCGACCCCATAATCTGGAACCGGTTCCTGACATCAGCGGTCGGTTACACAGCTATCTGGTTCTGATTCACAGCCCTGGTTTCATTTCTTTTTAATTGGCTCTGAGTCAAAATTGGAACCTGGGAAATTTCATGAAAAACATAAGCCCTTGAAATTGCATGTACATGTACTTGTAAAACGTAAATGGTGTCACCTTGTGAAGTTCATGCTCTGTAGTGCCTCAATCAAGAGGTATTTTCGAGGTGCAGTACAAATGTGTGTCCTCTTTCCTGTGAAACTATGGAGATCGTGTTGCAAACAGTAAACTTAGTATTTATTATTATTGATGCTTTGGGTGTGGGTGGACCTGGCTCTTGGTGCTGGAATCTGGTCTGATTGTTCGGGTGCCCACCTCCGAAATGATCCAAGGATCTACTGGGCCCTTGCATGAACATGAATAAATCTGGGGCGCCTTGGTTCTGAAGGTAAAATGACCTTAAAGGGAATATACAACATTTGCAAACATCGAAAAATAAAACTACCAAGTTTTTACAAAATACCTAACTAGGATGTTGGTAAGTGACAGTCACAAGCATTCTGTAAAATTATGGCACCTGGTGTGAAGTCATTTTCAAAAAAATGGTATTTTTGTATACATTTCCAACGGTGGTCGGCCGACCACCGTTGGAAAAACCTAACTATTGTTCAACTACTGCTCCATATTAAACATTTGTTTCAGTTCAAATTGTGTTTGCTATTGGTTAATGTTCATTAATGGGTGCAGGCCAGCCAGACTGGTTCCTTTACCTTTTCCGGCATCTATAAATTGATCCATTTCATCTTTAGTGGAGTCAGGGAACCGGACTACTTGAACAGTTTTTGTTTTTCTTGATTTTTTGAGCATTTTCGGACACAAAACTTCAAACATGTCAGTGTAACAATATTTTGATCTATTATACGAACCCCTCAACTAGTTCATTTCTGAAAATTACAGTGAAAGCCAATGATGTACATTCCCTTTAACGGAAACATGATACAAAAGGCAGACCGACACAATTTATACTACTTTAACTGGGTTCAGTTGTACGGGGTTAATTTGTACATTCCTGAAGCCAAATACTACAGTTTTGGGTGATCATAAAAAGCCCGAAGGCCCGGGCAAAGCCCGGGCCTGGCCTGGCTTTCCAACAGCCAAGCTGCCCAACCACTTCCGGCTTTTCACCTAAGTATCTGTGTGTTGGGAAGATGAACTAAAGTGTCTCCAACTTTATCTGTTGTGCCACATGGAAAGCTATACGATCATGTGTACCCACACTGCGAACTTAATCGTCAACGGTGCAGTTCTTTCTGTTTTTTCAGAGAGATCTTCTATGATGAAATTTTACTTTAGATCTGATACGTACTGGTTTTCCCTAATGTTTGGATGATGTCGTCTACACATATATGTACATGTGGAGGTACCTGCAATCGAATTGAAAACCAACATGAGTGGTAGTGGTGGTTATTTTTTTTTTGTTAACCATCTACATGTACTGGCAGACATACACTGCTGGCTGGAATTCGGGTACCAGAATTTAACTTAAAGGGAATATACAACATTTGCAAACATTGAAAAATAAAACTACCAAGTTTTTACGAAATACCTTACTAGGATGTTGGTAAATGACAGTCTAAAGCATCCTGTAAAATTATGGCACCTGGTGTGAAGTCATTTTCAAGAAAATTGTATTTATGTATACATTTCCAACGGTGGTCGGCCGACCACTGTTGGAAAAACCTAACTATTTTTCAACTGCTGCTCCAAATTTACCTTTTTTCAGTCCAAATTTTGTTTGCTATTGGTTACATGTTCATGAACGGGTGCAGGCCAGCTAGACTGGTTCCCTTACCTTACAATTTTCTGACAACTATAAATTGATCCATTTTAACTTTAGTGGAGTCAGGGAACCAGACTACTTGAACATTCTTGCTTTTCTCGGTTTTTCCAGTATTTCCGAACACAAAACTTCAAACATGTCAGTGTTACAATATTTGGATCTATTATACTAACCCCCCAAATAGTTCATTTCGGAAAATTACAGCAAAAGCCAATGATGTACACTCCCTATAAATATTGCGTTCCGAAAGAGTTTGTTTTTCACATACATGGCAGTTGGTGGTTTGTCATTATCTACAGGTACTACAGTGTAGTAGCTACCCGAGTTAGAGACACACTTGTTGGCTAATAGGCTAAGCAACTCTTGATTTTGTTAATTTGGTACTGTACCGGTAGTATTTTTAAAAATCTAGAAATATACAAACTACAATGGGTAGACTGCTGACTTAATTGTCCACAGAGGTACACTGTATACACAGTTAACCTTGACCTGTTTTTCGTTGCTATACACATAAATCGTTTTGTCAAGGAGGATTAGGATCCTTCTGGAAGTTATTTTTCACAAAAGGAAATTTATCTACAGTGTGCCCAGAATCAACATAGCCTCCCGAACACTTTTTCGGAGGATGAGGAAACCCCCTAGTCTGGGCTTTGCCGTCTGATCAGTTTTGTCCGTACCCCCCTTCTTCCATTAACGCATAGTGTGCGGCAAACGCTACAAGAACAGGCCCGGCTTGAGTTATCACATGAGCCACTACCATCAGGATGTAGAGGCAGGCTCGGACGAGCAGTCCCAACCCTCCCCGTTGGAGCCCACCGAGCCACGTAAGTCAACAACAACAACAGCAGCAACGTCTGCCCACCATCACAACCACTGCTGCTGCCACCCGCACCATTCCAAAAAAAAAAGACCAACTTCCTTTTAAACAAACTGCTTATTAAAAACACCACTAATCGTTGATCGCACCCATGGGTAACCACACGGCTCTCATTTAATTTTTTCTCCGTTTTTTTTTTTTTTTATTTATTTTTTATTATCATCTTGCAGGCAGCTTCTATAATACTCAGCTATTGTTAAATCACATTCATTCCTTCACTGTCTGACAGGACTGGACTTTTTGCTTTGTTTATTAATGGCATGACGTTTCAAGATGGCGGTTGATTTTGTGCAAGCTTTCACTAATCATCTTATACCTGCATGGGAGAGATGTATGCACTTGAATTTGCACTCGGGCACTAACAGTAACACGTAAAATGGATCAGAACTGGTGTAGTGAGTTTAGTATTAAAGATATGGTCCATCATTTGTAATTTGTGCATTTTGTTCGTTTGAAGCAACAAAAGTGTTCAAAATCTAATGAAGGATACTGAACAACTAACCTGATGAAGTTTCAGCTCAGCTTCAGCTGTATATTCCGAGAAAAACAGCATTTTAGGATCTCAATTTCAAATCAAAAGTTGCTGAATCATGTTTTGAATTGGGCCTGAATTCAGCATCCGAGACGCGTTCTCACTGAGCCGATTGCAGCTATACGTGATGTCGCGCACTGATCCGACGAATTATAGCAACCGCGCGTGCGTGTGCGTCGTGCCAACGCTTGGGCGCTCTTCGCGGAATAACAAAACGAACTACTAATTTAATTTTTCCTACGGTGCGTCTTAAGACGCACCGTTGGAAAGGCCTTCTTTCGTTGATTACTTCAAAATGACAGCTTGCCAGAAAGAATAATTTCACAGGGAGTTTTAGTCCCCTTACTATCTTTCAACCAAGTATGTTTTTCAACAATAATTACGCCAGTTACTTTTCGGATGGCTGCAAATGATGGACTATAGCTTTAACCTTTGATGCTCTTCATTTTTTTGAGTAGCTTTTGATGCATGTTATTATGATGCACCGAGGGAGACATGGGTTATGTGGGTTGTCTATGGAACACATCACTATGCATGGTATTCTCTGTCCACACACTTTGTTCACGGGTTCTATCTTTTTGTCAATATGGTTATTTTTAACAATATTTTGTGTTTTGTTTTTAGTCGTTTTGCTTAGAGCAATTTTGACGTGGAAATCCATCAACGTGGTTTGTCTGTGTAGAAGAAACATGTTAAACTACATGTAGTGTTTTGGGTCTTATAAAAAAAAACAATTGTTCTTCAAAAACAATAATAACCTTAAGAAACTCTTAAACAGGGACTGGAATCGAGTACCCACAACAAGGCAATCAGGTCATGTAAGGGTTTTGTTAAATATATTCAGATCTGCACCCAGGATAACCCAGGTTAAAGATAACACATTCAGATCTGCAATCAGGGATATCCAGGGTAAAATCTCACACCTTCAGATTTAAACCCATAATATTGAGGGTTAACTCTCATGCTTTCAGACCTCAACCCAGGGATACACAGGGTAAAATCTAAGACCTTCAGCTTCAGATCAGCACTCAGTCATGTCAGTATCTTGGGTTAAATCTCATGCTTTCAGACTATGCACCCAAGATACCCAGGATAAAATCTCAGACTTTCAGATCAGCACTCAGTATATCCAGGGTTAAATCTCATGCTTTCAGCCTTGCACCCAAGATATCTAGGGTTAAATCTCAAACCGTCACACATTCCATTTCACAAACCTGACACCTTCAGATCTAAACCCATAATATCCAGGGTTAAATCTCATGCTTTCAGACCTGGGTATTTGGTCAGCGGGTATTTGCATAACATGCGGACATTCCCCAATAATCATCGTTCAGAATGTTTAATTGCTCTGACTGCATTTGTAGTTAACTTGCCTGTTGCACTAACACAGATTCTCTACTATAACTTGCGATTGTTTATTCATAGTTTGTTTTAACAGAGTACATGTACATGTACATTTTCCTCTGGTGGTGCTGTATACAGATTTATCTTCAAGTAAACTTGAATCCTCGATCCTGATTGGTCGATCCATGGCAACAAGCCGTGCTACATGTAACCATGTAGCATGGCCTCGGTCCATACCGCACTCCGCGTATTCCGCTGTTCCAAGATGCAAGCGACATTCCAGTTGCATACGCTAAACTGCTGAATGTTCTTGTAAAACGTGCTCGTTCCAACTGTACTGCGCGTCAAGTTTGCTTGAAGATAAATTCGTTATCACGCTCACGCTCGTGGAACACAGAAAATGTAGTGCGTCTGTGTCCCACACAGACGCACTACATTATTCCGTGTTCCACTCGCACTCGCGGGATAACTTATAATATACATGTACATTTTGTAATTGAGCAAGGAGATGGTTTAATATATTAGTCAATAACAGAAAGAATAAGTTTTAATGAGTAAGTTTTTATCCCCCTAGCTTTTAAGCCAAGAATGGGGATCTTGCTGTCATATGAAAAGTCAGACTTCAATCTCAACCAAACTTGGTGACAATTAATCTTTGGGTAGGGGGACTTAAGATGACTCGAGACGTTTGAGGTCAAAGGTCATCTAGTGGGCAAATGAGGTCATTGCTGTTTTTGGAAAGGTAAACTGAAAAGTGCTGTCATATGAAAAGTCTGACTTCACTCTCAACCAAACTTGGTGACATAGGGGGACTTCAGACGTACATTTGTGTGTGTAAGATAACTTCAGCCATTTGAAGTCAAAGGTCATCTAGGGGTCAAATGAGGTCACTGTTGATGTTGGTTAGGTACACTGAAAAGTGTGCTTACTAAATGACTGTATAGATACTGCCAGCATGCCCGGGAGATCGCGCAAGTTGAACTTGCAGTATTTTTCTTAGTTACGTGTCCAAATAGAATGATAAGGCATGTTTTTGAGGTCCTGGGCCTGCAATTCTGCTCTTTTCCAGTTAATTAATTGTTCCCTTTTCGGCCCTATAAATTAAATAGATGATTGTTTGTGCAATTTGTTTCTGAAAAAAACTGGCCAAGCTGCAGAGACTAAATAAGCTATTCTAAATTGAAGAATTAAAAGCCAGCAGATTACCCTTTAAAACTGATGTCACCTACATGTACATGTACATGTACCTGCAATATTGCAGATGTTGGTATCAATATTACGGGAACATGGATAACATTGAAACATGATAATCAAATATCTTTACATGGAAATACATGTAGCTTAATAGCAAACCTAACTGGTACTAACTCATGACAAATATGATAACTAACGTCCTCAACTCACTACATGTAGCTTTACATGTATAACCTCAAACGACACCTGCTGAAGCAACAAACTTTAGCTCAACATTAAATCACATTTGTTGAACCATGTATTACGAGTCAGTATTCAGAGTCGTATGTAAAACCCTTTGAAACCCATTAGGTGAAGGGTTATAAAGTGTTTAAGTAACTGAGTCATTACAGCACTGTTGAGAGCAGTGAAGCGTGACCGAATCCACCCTTGTGCCCTGAGCTTAACCACACAAAAGAATTGTGCAGGGATTTGAAGTGTTATCCATACTCTACAGAAGATAACAGGTACCTCAAGGGTGTGGATGGTAACTCTTGGCAAAAAAAAAAAAGTTTTGCGAAACTTGAAGGGTCTTGATTGAAGTGCAGGAGACTGGGAGGTTTAATCTGTATATAAAGAGTTAAAAAGAACACGATTCATCGTGATGGTGTAGGTACATCCTTTAGCAAGAGAATATTATTTATTTTTATTCTACAAATTTGACAAGCAGATTTATAGGAAGGGTTCACGTGGGGCGTAGCTTTGGGCTTAAATCACAAGCCAGCATTTCACACTCGTGTATTTATTGTCCAAAAGTGGTTCACAGTTAATCTTGAAACTGAAATTAAAAACTGGATAAAAAAAAAATTGCTTACGTCCCGTGCACACGAGGATGAAGGAAATCAGCAGGGCTCCTTTCCGCACAAGTAGAAAATGGTAACCGTGTGCTTCGGCGTGTGATGATTTGAGGGGCTTTTCTAAATATAAAAGCGACAAATCCTCAACAAATTGAAAGAAAATGACCCGACTGTTTGTAGCCCTGTACATTTTCAATGGACCGCTTTCACTTTTCGCCGCCAGACCCATTTATGCGCCTGGAAGCATAATTATGAATTGATTAGTAAAAAAAATCTTTTAAGTAACATTTGAATTCAATCACAAGTTTCGAACATGTACAATGTAGGTTACACAAAGTGAGGAAGGACTAGTAATAGCTTGTGGAATTACTTACGACTGGATGACGTGTGAGTGACATGTGAGGACTTGATTCGACTCTTCTCAAACCGTAACGTTTTTGTGAATTTGTTATAGCCAAGAAGAAAATGATCAAGGGGATTGCTGAGCCCAACAACTACTGTGACTTCTGCCTGGGGGACACCTATAGGAACAAAGAGGGCACCCAGGAGGAACTGGTATCCTGCGCAGACTGTGGCAGATCAGGTAGGCAATCAGCTGGTAACCGCATCAGGTTTGGGTTTTTGTGTTTGTGATAATTGAAGTGGTGTTGTAGGGTTCAGTTTGAATCGTGAATCGAGAATTTTATGAGCCGACAAATGGAACGCTTGTTGTGTTTTGTTCTGTCGACCACGAAATCTACAAGTAAAGTACATATTTGATGGTTTGGGATTTGTTTCTGGTAAATTTAGCTCTGAAACAGTTGTTAATAAACAATCAAATAATATGGCACCATTGAATAGATATCAGGTAATAGAGGTTGTCCCACAAAAACACTAACAGTCGAAAACCAATTAATAAAGTTATTATTGCATATGTGGGTTTTGGAATATTTTCAAATAATAAGCATTAAAGTCAGATAACTAGTCTACCATACAAACTTTATTTCGTTCCAATCGATGCATTGGAACAAACACTATGCTTCATTGAACTCAAGAGTTGAAAATTGTCTTGGACCACTTTCCTTGAAAGTGAGAAAGTGCAGTCAGAGAAGCACACAAAGGATTTACTTCCTTTGTTCAAGAGTAACGTTTGACTTACATGTACATGTACATGTACACACATTCTACCAGCTTCGATCTATAAAATTGATTAATATAAAAAGTGGCCCAAGTGGTTTTCAAGTCCCGTATTGTGATTGCTGTATCTTCTGAGCAAAACATCCTAATGGAACCAACTAAAAAGCATTTGGAAGACCAATTATTCATCTCAGCAATACATGAGACACGATTTTGAAAACTACCCCCACTTTTCTGAAAACATGCCTGATTCGACTGTTAGGTTTTTTTGTGGGACAACCTGTGCTGGAAATGAAAGTGCATGATTCTGTGCAAAATGGTTCAAAGGGAAACATAATGGAAGGCCCTATGTTACAACTGATAATGTAGTAACCAACTGATAATGTATCACCAACCGATAATGTCACACAAATTGACCGATGCTGTATCACTAACCGATAATGTAACAGAAATTGACCGATAGTGTAGTAAATGTTACTACACTATCGGTCAATATTTGTTACATTATCGGTTAAGACCGATAACGTAACACCAATTGACTGATACTAGTGTAGTACATGTTTACTATACTATCGGTCAATTTCTGTTACATTATCGGTTAGTGATACAGTATCGGTCAATTTGTGTGACATTGTCGGTTGGTGATACATTATCCGTTGGTTACTACATTATTAGTTGTAACACCCTATCATCCATATGTAGCGAGTGGTAATATTTGAATGGACTCTTATGGCATTTATGATACCGTTTCAAGCCGCTTGTGAAATGTGCTATTTAGAATGTCTTGGCTTGATTTAAAGAGCGCCCTCTGTTGAATGCGATTCCACCAGCTGCAGGCTAAATTGGGATAAACAGATAAATTGGGTAATTATGCGAATCAGGTTAACATGTTTAAAGTTTATGCCTGTCAGCAGTAAAGTAGGTTCACGTTCTTGTGGTAACACATGTGCATTATCTAAGTGAATGGTGGCGTCCACTTGTTCAAATGTCTGAAAACAAATGAATCAGTCACTGTATAAGACATCTTTGCCTGCCAGCTGCCAGATTAGAATCAACAGAGGGCGTCCTTTTTGTTAGGGTATCGCTTAAAAGCATAATCTGTACACGATGCATGCTAGCATTTTCAGCAGTCTTTTGACTGAGCACTCTATGTTGTGAGGTACGGTAGAAGTCAGCATGGCATTATTTTGTAACCAAGTTTTATTTCCCCCTTAATGTTGGCTGGTCGTGTGTGGCTAAAACATTGTGCTCATGTTATTCATGGTTGACCAACATGAATACCATGTGCATGATGCCTGTCCTACATGTACAATATTGTTGCAGTGACAAAGTGACTATTTGACGAGGTCTATTCCCTTGTGCAGAAATCTTACTAAGGATAAGGTCAATTAACTCATTCACAGTATATACATTTCTAAATAAGACGTTGATTTAATTGTGACAAGAATTTTTTTAAAGATATTTGACAATACATGTTTTAGTTATGGTTTGACCATCGCGCAAACACACGGCAAATGTTAACTGTTTCAACTCCAGGTTCAATTGTTCCGTACGTGTAATATATTTTTTTTGCAGGATTTAAACCGAAAGACCACAGTTGTACTTTTTTTTTAAGCCATGTTGGCAAATGTTGAATCCGACTTCCATTTTACCAGGAACGTGCTTATCGTCAGGTGCGCTCCACGAGACAAATAGTTTCCACGCACATTGTACCATGAAGTGACATATCATTCATATCCTTTGCACACATGATTAGTCAGTTGGTGGTGTGGTACCGGTAACTGCCAGTATCAAAAAATATGTGCATGTACATCACTTTGTGGTGCAACTGATGATATGCATCAAACTTCGGGTAAAATTGTAGTTGAAATGATGGAAAACTGTCAAAGGGTGTGTTCAGTCCAGGCATGCAACTTTTCCTCGGATCAGCTGATTTCCTCTTGTTTGACTTCCCATGTGTGCCATTGAAAATACAAAAACACTGTACAAAGTCATGGAAAGATTTGAATTTCCTCTTTTTTTTTTAAGTTCCCAGTTGCATGCCTGTCAGTTTGGGCAGACCTCTGATGAGATGTGTTGAACCAAGAACATGAAGAAATCCTTGTTGTAGTCGAATCCATGACAAGTCTTTTCAAAAGTCCAGTCACAAATCCCTTCATAACTCCAGTCACAAATCCTCTCGCAAGTCCAGTCACAAATCCTCTCACAAATCCTCTCACAAGTCAAGACGAAAGTAAAGGGGAGGAACAATGACAAAGGAATGCGTTTATCACAGTTCATTTGAATAGCGTGTGACTTTGCTTGAGACAGGACTTGGGATGGACTTGTGATGGACAGTGTTGTAGTCGAGACCATCACAAGACCATTCACAAATGACAAGACCAGTCACGAGTAACAGTGGATGAACAATAACAAAGGAATGCCTTCGTCACAGCTCATTTGAATAGCTTGTGACATGAATAAGCCACTTGCGTGTTAGATTTGAATAAAATCTGGAACGCTGACTTAATACAATGCTTTGCACGTTTTAACCTAGCATTCTCCCGACCAAAGAGACTGTTACTATATCACGCGATTCGGGGCAAGCCTTATGCTAGCAACCCCCAGCTCCGGCATGGTCTGGTGTCTTTGTGCCATTCTCACCCATTGTGAACGATGTATTGGTGCTGAGCGTCTCTTACGTAACTATGCAAGAGCTTGCCCCAAATCATGTGATTAGCAACAGTGTCTTTGGTCTGGAGAATTCACAGTTAAAATGTGCCAAGCATTCTGAGCAAGTCATTGTACCAGACGTTTTTCAAATGTAAATCCCAAAGGGTATAGGTTACACGCAAATGGCTTATTGAGACTGGAGGTCTTGTGTTGGTCTTGTGATAGTCTTGCAGGGTCTCGACTACAACACTGGTGATTGACTCAACGACAACGCTGGAAGAAATAGTACAGTTTGCGTGTATGACCAACGACTGCAAGGTGCACTGTACCCCTTTGCGCACCCAAGCCCCCCCCCCCCCTCCTCCCTCCTCCCCTCCCCCAACATACGCACATACACTCACCCCAGAGGTTTCAAAGTCTTGGTCACAGTCTTGGCTTGAAAGTCTATCATCACTCGCTTTATACCTCTTCATGTTGTTCCCTCACATGTTGTTCACAGGCCATCCGTCCTGCCTCCAATTCACTGAAAACATCACGGCCAAAGTCAAGAGCTACCGTTGGCAGTGCATTGAATGCAAGTCCTGCGGCTTGTGCGGTACATCAGATAATGATGTAAGTCTTACCCTTGTTCCCTTCCTAGATAAAGCTGATCAATCTTAAGATTTAGGTTTTTGTTACTGAGCAAGTGAAACTTTCTCACAATACGTATTTGTCTTACAAAGTAAGGACAAAACAGAGTGCTTTCTCTTTTAGTTATCCACACAGTAATTGCTGTGAAATTTTATGAATAATTCAGTTCAAGTAATTTCATCCTCATTTGCCATAATAACCCTCAAATTTCTTCCAGTGTGCCGCTGGGAAGTTAAACTAATGTTCAGCATTCAAAACACATACATGCACATGTAGGTAAAACTGGTTGTACTCAAAGGCCAAATTTAACGGAGCGTTATCCACACAAGAATTGCTGTGAGATTTTATGAATAATTCAATTCAAGTAATTTCATCCCGACTGCCAAAATAACCCTGAAATTTCTTCCAGTGTGTCGCTGGGAAATTCAAATAATTGTCAGCATTCAAAACACATACATGCCCATGTCGGTAAACTGGTTGTAAGCAAAGGCCACATTTAACAAAGCGTCATGCAAAACCATTTCACCACTTGCCTCTCTCAAAGTATTTTCGGTGGTACAGTACAATGTATATTCCCCAAACCATCCATTTCGTCTTCCTTCACCCGTTTTCGTCCATCCCTATTTGTTTTTTTGTGTGGCCAAAACAAAGCGAAACTGAAAGCTTGATCGGCATCACATGAACATACCCTTTTTGCAATCTCCACTGAGGTCAAGAGATATCCAATTCGAGGTCAAGAGGTTAAAGGTCAAGGCAGGTGACCCCATAAAACGAGACAGCAGTTTTTGTTGTATGTTTACCTACATGTTAGTCCAATGAAATGTTTTACAAAATGCAATTTTTTGGATTGTAGCAATATTTAAATGGGCCATGACATGAAGTTTACTTGGGAACAAATTTTGTGCAACTTTCTACTCCTCTGAAATGTATGGAAACTATTTGACATCCCTTTTTGGTTAATCCTATTGAAAAGTGCACTTCTTTGAACATTAGAAATTGTCCATGCTTTTCCTGACTAATGAGGGCACTGTTGCAGTGATATCATTTCAGGAAGACACGGTTCAGTTTAGGGGTTGTCTGTTCAAATTGTGAGCCCCAAATTTGCTCAATGAAAACATTTGGGAGAAAACTTTGATCACTGGCCGACTTTCAGGTACTGAAACAATGAATCATCAAAGACAAGAAAATTTACGACAGCAAAATATCCAAAATTCTGGCAATTTTGGTGCTGAAATAGCTGTAACATTGAGGTTTCTGCCTGAAATGACATCACACTTTTGCTCATGACTACGCAAATTTTCATTAGCATAAAAACCAAAAAGACAGCAAAATGCTCTTAAAATTGGCAAAATGAAAATTGAAAATACGGTTAAATGGGACACAAAGGTGCATTTAAAAGGACTGCATGAAAAAAAAAAAAAATGTCGCATGGACCCTTTAAACTTACATGTACATGTATGTCTGCAACCTTGGGTACATATCTGTTTATACCCTCAGTAATGGCATTGTAATAGCGCCCTCATTTGTTCCAGAATAAGGCCTATTCTGTCTGATTGCATATTGCTGTTCTGTTGTTTGAGTGTGTTGCATAACTGGCAATATATGTGCATGCTTGAAGACTGTCTGGCTGACAACCTTTTGCCAAATAAGTCTAAAGTTGTTCATTTGTATTTTTGTTTTGTTTTTAATGTTCTCAGGATCAGCTGCTGTTTTGTGACGACTGCGATCGAGGCTACCACATGTACTGCCTCAAACCCCCCATGTCCGCCCCACCAGAAGGTATGTCTCATTCTTTGTACATGTAACGGTATGTTCTTTTTGAAAGGAGGACCTGTTTCATGACCGAACAACATCATACATAAACAGCTGTCGAAAGTGCTGTTATCATCCTCGTCCAATATGTTTCAATTAATTTTTAAAAATACGCAGTTACGCCAAATTTGTGTCTTTATATATTTTTTATGACTTGTTTTATTTATACTATATAAATAAGGCATGTCATACCAACTGTTGCATCACCTTTATCTGCTTGACCCAGTTTATTTATTTATTTATTTATTTATTTATTATCGGGCAAACAAGATAAAAAGATAAAAATATTAAAAACAAACAGGCCCGAGGATTTCCCAAAAGCGAAACAAATCACTATTTAAAGGGATCTCCAGCAATGATGGATGTAGTTCATACCATACATGTACATGTTCTTGAGATAACATTCTACATGTACATACGTGCATTTAAACTGTCTTATGCCATTATGCTTCCGCTTTTTCAGGGGTGTGAAATCTCAGCTTTAAAGCTGATTTCAGCTTTTTTTGTTTTGGATTTCAGCTTTTTTTTCCTCACTTGCTGTGTACAAAAGTATAGAAGATTTCAAAAGTTCAGCTTTTTTACACCTTTCTCAGTTGTTTTCAGCTATTTTATCAGTGGTCACTCACACCCCTGGCTTTTAAAGAATTAAATAAGAAATTCTGACTAAAATGCCTCGTGACTTTGTCACTCAGCATGTATAGTCTCCAAACAGTTTGCAGTGTGGCTTGGCTGCTCAGTCAAACGCCCGAGACACAATGGCCTTATCAAAAGGCGTATGCATTCAAACTCATATCCAGAGGTGGCGCCATGCCTTCAGAAGTGGATTCCTGTAGTTGTTACCAGATTAGACTGTAAATAATACATGATGTATATTCATGTGTTCTTTTCTGTCTTGTAGGATCCTGGATATGTGATCTGTGCGTGACACCACCGCCGGCACCCCAGCCTCCACAGACTGAAGCCAGCCAGCCGCCCAACCCAGAAGAGACTAGCATGATGAACTAGTATCTGAGTATTCAAGCCGGTTCAGTATCTCGATGAACTAGTCCAAGTCAAAGGTCATTCAGGATAAGGTTATTTGCGATGTTACGTGATGGTACTCGATTTGCCCATTCTGCCCGTAATTAACGTGCGAGTTTCGTGCGATCATCTCCTTGCGCGTTCACGCACCTTAGAGGAGCGTTCGATTTCGAATGACCAGTGACCTAGATCGCAGTTGAAATACCGAACTGGCCTATTTACACAGGGTGCTGTCTATACTGCGTCTAGCAGTTACCAGTTTGTAAATTCCCCTGTATACATCAAGATGTGATGGTGTTCAGTTTGGGATATAATCGCAGCAGATGAATGTACACAGATCTGTAGGGGGGATGTTGGCAGGGGTAACCAAATATGCAATCTGCAGTTGTTCATGTTATGGGCTCTGTGCGCCAACAGGAGAGGGCGCTTTTTAACACTTTAGGGAGCCCCATGGACGGGACACACCACACGCGCGCATACTGGTTCGCAGTACTTGTGCGCCGAGCCCATGCAAACACAATAGAAAGGTTGCCCCTATATTAACGTTGGAGCACAACAAGCAAAGTGTAGCTCAGACTTTTGGCAACTCTGTAGTTACTTTAGATCGAGAATTTCCCTGCAGTGTTGTTACTGCCGAGAAATTCCATGAATCTGCACGGCTACATGGCGGATTGTTTTATCCCGATCTTTATATGTGCAGTTGTGTACTGAATTGGCTTGTACCATGTAAATAAGCTTTTAATAGTGCACTTTAAATGGAACCAGCATTGCTGGGGTTTTGGGTAACAATTTGAGATTTCCTTTAACCCTCCGAGCAGCTTACCAAAAAAAAATCACACCGTGGAACCACGTGGAGAATTGAATCACCACATGTGTTTATAGGTCAATAACCCTGGCATGCCTGTACAGGCACAAGATATAGGTCATTCACATGGCCAGGGATTGTTTACAACCATGTCTGGGCTCCTGGCGGCACGAGGGGTTGACACAAAGGGATCGGCACTTAAGGTTGGCCACTAAGATCTCCCATTACTGCACAAAGGCATTGGGCGCCATCTTGGCTTCTGTCTTTCAACACTCCTTACTCCAGAGTGGGTAGGGTCTGGCCAATGGGAGTCTACAGGCTTGTGGTGTATAGTAGGGGTGAGGATTACATGGAAGCTTGGCCTTATTGGCCCATTGAAAAAAAATTATGCCCATATTTGGAAAATGTGGAGAATGAAATCACCACTTCGCTGCTCGGAGGGTTAACCGTGTTGCTCTCTAGGTCACCTGATTGGGGCAGTTTTGAAAGTTGTACTCAGACAATTCTACTGCAAGACTTTCATTGGCCTAAGATGTTTCATTGGACAAAAAACAATTTTGAATTCTTGAGTCTTGTTTTCCCACCCCCCCCCAAAAAAAAATCACACTGTAAATATAAAGCTGTGTAAATGCAACCCTAGAAAAAGGCAAAGTTCAAGGCTTGTATTAGTTTCAGACATATTTTTGTACTTCATTGTTTTATTTTTTTTTAATTCTCTGAAGAGTCTGAAGAAATAATGTGCCAAGTAGGGGGGGGTGAGGGTGCTACAAACATATTCATGCACAGAAAACAATGGCAACTCTCACTTTTGTTATTTAAAAAATATTTTTTATTGTATTATAAATGTCCAATTCATTTACATGTTGGTGAACCAACATGAAATACGTGTATTTTTTTCCCCAGAAAATGTATGCCTACGACAGAATCTTATAGACTAAGATTATCAACGTTTGTCTTATTCCTTCGGTATTAAACAAGTTGCAATGTAAAATAATGGTACAGCTTCTTTATATGTATGTATTTTTGTCCTTCACATTGTAGTATGATTGTACAGTGAAATTTAATTGTTTGTGTCACCACATCAATTATAAGTACACGGGTTCACTGGAGGCAATTGGTGGACATTTAAACCCTCCTATCACCTCCTATCTAATCCTCATTCAACCCTTGCCAAATCAGCTGGTTCAATGAACTTTGCAGCCAGGGCTACACCCAGGCCGTGTCAACAAACTTTCGACCAGGCCTCCTGCCAAGTCTCATTGAAACATCAACAAAGACCTGTAACTTGACACAGCCATCTCCCTTCATAACTGCATACCACAGCCGCCAGTCAATTATCTTTCCAGCGCACTGTCTGACAACTGTCTGGCACGTGGTTTTTTGTTGTATTGCTATGAATAGGGTCTTGCGTAGTGCGGGAAAGTACCTGCTGCCCTTTAGGTGAAGAGTTGTTGCAAAGTTTTTTTGTAAACGCTGCGCAGGGTTAATAATCAAAGCTAGGCTTATGTGCTAGGAACTGGATACTGAAAGAAGCGTGGGCCAATGGTTACAGTGTTTGACTCGTGTCATGTTACGTGGGTTTGAACCCCGACGGGGAACATCGTGATTGTGTTCATGGGCAAGACACTTTACTACAATTGCCTCCGATTGCCTGCTTACTGTAGCAGAAAATTGTGTGCTTACGGTAAGCCTTTTTCACGGATTAGTGAGGAATTTGGGCTTATGCACATGCGTATATCTCGTAACTAAGGATTATGTGCTTACAGGGTTAGCACAGAATTTTTCTGCTAGTGCGGTAAGCACAAAATGGTGATTAATAAAAAGGGGTAATAATTGTGAAGCGTCTGAGAACTTCGGCATAAAGCGCTACATGTATATAAGCATGACATCAGGTACCCGGTGTCGTATGAATTTTGACTCCTTTGAAATCTCGTCTCTATTTCTTACACGTGGCCAGCCACTGTCCAAATTACATGCATGATCAATGAAGCATGTGCAATATTAAACTTATTGAGTCCATATTTCATGCAGTCCTAATTTTACAATACACCGGTATCCACAACTTTTTCAGTACCATACTTGATATATAGTTGGTCTCCAGATCCCAGGTGCGGGACTGAACTGACAAGGTTTTACATGTATATATTTAATAACACAAAAACTATAGTGATTGCACACTCTTCTAATGTATTTGGCAGTAGCACAGTTTTGGGCAGCGTTGTAAAACAATGTAAATGTACATCTACAGTATGTTCTTTTGCTTCGGTGTAAATAAGGCAAGCCAAACCAGTAATAAATTACACCCCAGTGACTCAAATGTCTGTGTCATTGTTACTTTTAACTCATTAGCACTAGTGAAATTAACCGAGCTTTGTCAACATTATCTGAATGCATCATGGCCATAAAGCACTGGATGTTATAATGCGCCTATCAATTGTCCCCCCCCCCCCCCCCACCCCCCCCCCACCCCCACCGTCCACCCCCCTTCCCTCAACGTGGGGATTGTCACTTTTGAAGTGACAAAATCCCCACCCCTCAGGCAAAATTTAAGTGAAAATGCCCGACCTACATACGTTGGGCACACTAGTAATTGCATTTCCATGTAGTACGCCAATGGTAACAATGTAATTTGAGTGACCAAAATTCCCACCCCGGGGCAAGCAACACATGACCAAATCCCGACATCGGACCTGGGGCGGGGGGGGGGGGGGGGGGGAATTTGATAGGCGCATAAGTAACATGCTTCTACTGAATGAATTATAAAAAACAGAATTCTTTGTCTGTGCCAATACTAGAATTCTCAATTCTTTATCTGATGTTTCCCTCCAAGTAGGCGCTGGAATCATCCAGACTTCCACTGAGATCAGATATCTTGGAGTGGAATTTGACCAGACCATGCAGATGTCCAACCAAGTCACTGCCATTTGTCAATCTGTTAATTTCAAATTACGCAACCTATCACGGATAAGAATTTACATTGATAAATCATCTTGCCACGCTGCTATTAGAGCCCTTGTAACATCTCAGCTCGATTATGCAAATTCACTACTCTTCGGGATTTCATCTGCTGTCTGTAAACGCTGAATTCCTCGGATTTGCAGTTTCAATTTGGCACTTATCTCTAATCATTAGTGTATTTCACTGCGCAGACGGGCTTATGCTCGAGCATATACATGGAGACAGTCTGGTTCCCAGACCAAAAGATTCTGCCTACTGTGGGACAAATCTTAGGTCAGATACATGTAGGTGCCAGGATCCTGCCCATTTATGAAAAAGTCGGAAGTTTCCCACATGCATTACATTTACATTAAGAGAAGTTCCTGATACCTGTAGCTCGGGTATTACCGGGTGCAACATGGTTTTGTTTCACCAGACCTGCATGGACATTTCTACTGTTCATTACTAGTTCAACCTGAGATAATTCCACCTCAGAAGTCGGTATGCTCTTTGCTGTGCTTACTGCTCAGAGATGAAACTTTACTTTTCCAACGAACTTTCCAATTTTCTTTAATGATTTGTCCACAATATGTCATTTTATTTAAATCATAATTTCGAAGAAAAGTCAATGAGAAGGGAAAAATTATGTGAGTTTAATCTCTGACTGCTTACAGTATCCATGAAAAATACAGAAACTCTTTTAAAGCTGAAAATTGTGTGCTTACATGTAGGAGCACTATGATACCAGGCCATAATTTATTCCTCGCATGTGAACATTGACAATGAAATTGGTCAATTCTACATTCATTTTGCAGATTGACGCAGAGTGACACTGTTAACAAACTTTCCTCGCTTGGCCCTTGTGAGTGGTATCTATAGGTCTCTCTGGAAGACGGCCATCTCTGTAGGAAGACTGCATCTGCGTATTTTACACTATCAAGCATGCATTGCGCAGTGTTGAAAATGTTCCAAACACATGAGCTTGTTGCTCGTAATGTGCTCGAAATACGATGCAGCCGCTGCGCTTTATGCAAGTTGATGCTCAAAATGCCGATGCACGTGGCTGGTCTGTAGGAAATGACATCATTTGAGAGAGACCTATACATATCCTGTGCATACCCAATTCCCCAATTGTACACACTTAGATGAATGATACATTCTATTACAATGACCAATCATTCCACGACAGTAGCTTTAACAACCCTCTTGGAAGAACTTTGGTTATCGGTTCCAAACTTTCTGATGGGATCTCTCCATACATTATATTAAATGAGAGAGTGCACTCGCTATACTACATGTATGCGCACACGCGGACGTGCCGACGAGAATACATGGTGGCCATTTTATAGAAGGGAAAATGCAGAGAGTATTAATTAGAACTTGGCACGATTGTGAAATAATCCGCGCATCCGTGTCGGCATGTCCACACATAATGAGTGTGCTCTCTAGTTGTTTTTTATTTAAATATAACTGTGTGGATCTCTCTGAACAACAAAAAACAGGACAGCTGCATGGAGTCAACCCGTATGGTGCCCAGACTCGTGTCAGGAGGAGCTGCCGTTCTTATTGCCCGTTAGGTTCCTGATAACGGCCGAGGCGGGCGCCAGGAGGGCCTTCCGGGATAACCTCATCTTGCCGCTGACCGGGTCCCGCCCAAAATACTTGACGGAGATCTCCTGGCCGACCTCAAAGCCCAGGGCACTCGGGTGATTCACCTGCGATAAAAGGAAAAGTCGCCATGATGCAGCGTTGCTGTCAAGCCGGTCAAAGCCCAGTCACAAGTCAATTCACCAGTCAGTCACAAGTAATATGGGATGAAGAATAATGGGTCACTGTTCACATTTCATTTGAAAAGCTTGTGAATTGAGACTGGATGAGTTGTGACTGGTGATGGTTCATTCTTTTGTCATTAGAACAAGTTGGCTGTCTCAGAATGCAGTGTACAGATACAAAATTGAAGAAGGAAACCCCCCCCCCCCAAAAAAAGTTTAATGTATGCCACGTATGTTCCTTCGCTCCACTTAGTTTGTCTACTGTGCCCAGGTATTCCACTTGACGACTTCAGCCTTTGTCCCTTAATAAGGCTTAAATGCGGCATGACATAATCAGTCTTTTCTTACTCTAATTGTTGTTTCAATAGGTCTATTGATGCTCCCTATTCAAATGATGTAGTAGTCTTTTCGCAAGCAGTGATTTTCGTTGATTAAGATGTTTATTTTGTTTTCCTTAAAAACTGAGTTTTTAGGAATAAGTGAGACCTATGGAAGTGAAGCCAGCAATGTCAATGTTCCCGTCCAGGTGATAAATAGGGAGCAACCATTTTTTTTTATTCACAATTATTGATTTGCTCTTCATCAGTATAATTCATGGTCAATTTGCATGGCAAAAAGAAAGCAACGAATATTCCTTTCAAAGAAATGTAGCTCAGTTGATTATATGGTGAGTTTTATTGGAAACTTATTTTAAGTAGATCTTTTTGGGGTATAACTTTGGGAAAACTCACATAATGGAAATTTTGGACATTCTATGCCACCATAGCGCCAGAATATGTTGGTGAAATGTTGCCAACATGCGAAGACTAGTGGATGTCTCACACTGCGCATGTGCAGCAAGTAAACCCCAAGTGACTACACCGGCAATAGGCTATGAACATACATGATGCATCATGGCACAATTTTTACACATGTGAAAATTGGACAAATGTACATTTTTATGTACAAAAGTCTTTCTGGATTCAGCTACAATATCAGCACTTTTCACTGGACTCCTTACAGACAATTTGTTTATTATGATATGCCTTGTTTCAATACACATTCATATTCTGTATGAGTTGTCACACAAAATTGCCACAATATAATGCATCACATTTTATGACTTAGATTTACTAAGCCAGGTGTGGGCAAAAGTGGCACGCAGAGCGACACAGATAAAAAAAAAAAAAAAAGCATCACACGCGGTAATAGTTTACCTTTCGCTGGTCCAACTGTGAGTTGTGCAGTAGAGCAGGTTGCATTGTGGGATAGAGTTTCACCGTAACACCAATCTCTCTGTGAGTTACCAAGAAAGAAAAAAAAAAGATTCCAGTCAATTAATGTCTCCTGCATCAAGAAAAAGATGTTATCTTGATGAATAAAAGAAATTTCATTTCACCTGGAGTCTTCAGGGATGCCAGTGGGCTTTTTGCTCCAGGGCCTGAAAATTTGGAATGTGAAAGACGGCGAAATGTACAAAATGATTGCAAAACATCATGAACATATTGCAATACCATGCACAATTTTGTTTTGTCTGTGCGTGCTGCACAAGGATTTATATTTCCCACCTGTGAAGGGATGGAATGCTGCTGTTTGTTTTTAAAAAAAATGAAAAAGTCTGAATTCAAGCTACATAGCCTGATAACTGGCATCCCTCGTCTCATTTGTAATTGAGTTAGTTTCAGTATCTACAATCCTGGCCAAATCTCGCTGGGCCCCAAAGCCCCCGTTCAATGTTGTCTCTCATTGTGCGGTGTGTGCTCCATCAGCTGGAGAGAACAACATTGACCGGGGGAGCGGGGGAGTGGGTGACCGTGGCAGGCTCAGGAAGTGTCCCAACCATTTTGGCCAGGATTGTAGGTCCTGCTACAGAAAAAGCCTTGTCACCTGCGTGTTTAAATGTGCATTGTATTTTTAAGTTTTGCTGTTTTATTATTATCTATATAATAATACGCAAGTCTCTGTTTGGATGTTTGTTCAGGCTTATTCTTGGAAGTGGCAGGTCGCACGGCGCTCAAACTCCGTGGGTGGGTTCTAGTTTCCTAAGTGCTTGTACAGTTGTTGCTTGAAGGGTAGTTTGTCAATGATCGATGTAATATTCACAGGTAATTGGTTCCACTCGGTTACAGTCCTTGGAAAAAAGGAGTATTTATAACAGTCCTTTCTTGCTTGTAGTCTGAGGAAGGTGTTTGCGTTTGAGAATCTAGATGAGCGTGTGGTCGGGCGTAAGATGGTTAATGCCGGGAGGGCCAGGTGACCGTGTAATCCATTGTTGAAGACGTTGAGGCGGTGCTCCTTTCTTCTCAATGAGAGAGTATCCCATTTAAGTGCTGAGATCATAGCTGATGGGCTGCTCTTGTAGTCGTAGTCTCAGAACACAAATCTTGCTCCTCTACGTTGGACAGCTTCAATCTGCGTTATCTGATCTTGTGTATATGGATCCCAAGCAGCCGAGCTGTACTCTAAGTGAGGTCTAACAAATGTGGTATAGGCCTTGGTTTTGGTTCTTCTTGAGCAGATGGAGATGTTGCGACGTAGAAAACCTAGGCTGCGGTTAGCAGTGGAAGTGATCTTGTTGATGTGTTGATTCCATCTGAGATTGCTCGTGATGTCAACGCCTAAGTATGTATGACTAAGGGAATAAATGTGTGCTCCGGAGGTTTTTATCACTCGTTTAATACCGCTTAGAGTCTGGGTGCTGATAATTACCCGAGCCGGAGGCGAGGGTAATTATCAGCACCCAGACTCTAAGCGGTATTAAACGAGTGATAAATACCGACCGAGCACATATTTATTCCCATTCATAAATACCTTATCCGTAAAAAAATTTCAAATAATTCGTTCAAAAAATCCCGATTTTGTTCAACAAGTTCACTTCATGCTTTTTGAAACATCCCTCTAGCAAAATAATGGAGTGTTCAGCTGGCGAGTAAGATGTAAACAACCCTTTTATGGAGATTGACGCGCGCGTAACATGTTCTGCGCGATGTCACGCAGAACGCACCTGGGGCGTTGCGTTTTGAATTTAGAACTATAAATTTCTGACTCGCTTGTAGTGTTGCGCATGCCTACGTGAGGATTGTGAACGTTCAACCAATGAAACGGTAAGAGGCACTGGATTTTTAGGAGTCCACATTTTATTGTGACACTGGAAAAGTGTTTAAGACCAGCTAGCCATGTCTTTATCATCCGTTTAATACCGGCCATGTGACGGGCTCTCGACCAATAGGAATAGCTAAACTGTCTGAGGTATTTATGAATGTCGGTTTCCTGAAGGGCATGGTTCATTTGAATAGCTTTGTATTTGACTTGAGAGTTGAGACTGGATGACTTGACTGACTTGCGGTTGACTTGTGATGGCTGTGTGCTGGCGCAATGCATATCCTATTAAAAATCGTTTGATCTGACATGCTGTCATTCAAAAGAAGGGTGACCAACTTGTTATGGAAAATTATCTCTGTACACAGATAATAACAGTGGTATTTTAAGATGTTTTTGAGTGCTGCTGTTGAAAGGAATCAGAATAAATACACAAATTGAAAATGGTCAGATGGAGTTGCATGCTTACTTGACTTCGATGATTGTAGCAACATATATAGCACCAAATGCAAGCTCAGGTTCTCTCTGAAATCGAAAATAAATACAAACAATAATGAATAAAGGATTTCCGTTGTTAAAGAAACACTGTTCATGATCTCCAATAAATTCATTTTTTTCCTCTGATAATGGCGTTTGACCATTTAAAAAAATTGTTATTTTTTTTTAAACTTTGGGTGTTTGCAACCCTCCAAAAAGTTTTTAGTTGGGGTTGCTTTTGAGCAGAAACAGATCTATCCTGTGAGTTTCAGACATTCAAAATGTCTGAAACTTAAGAGGGGATAATGTTTCTGACATCAGACCAAATGTCTGAAAGGGTTACCAAATGTCTGAAATATAATCATCATTATTCACGTTTTTTTGACATTTTGTCCGTAACAAAAGCTTTTCAGACATCCACGGTTTATAGTGAGCGTATGTCAGTGATTTCAATGGAATCTTACATCATCCTGCAGCAGTTCCTCTATCTTCTCCTTGGCTTCATCCATGGCGCTGGGCGTCGGCGCAAAGACGGAGAAGTTACTCTCATCCAGCTGGGAGATTGTCACACCTGAGGAGAAATTGGAATTTAAAGTAAAACTTAGAAAATGTGTTAGCAGTATCCGACACATAAAACATCAGTATCAGCTTAAACAAAATGAAGCAAGGGCCAGTTAACTCATAGTGCAGAAACAAACACATGTGTGATTTTGTAAAGGTTTTAAAGGGTCATGCGATGAAGAGTTCTTTAGGAACACATTTTGAGCAACTTTCTACTCCTCTTAAATGTACGAAAAGTATTTGAAATCCCTTTGTGGTTAATTTTATTGAAAAGTGCACTTCTAGATCTTTAAACATTTAAAGGGAATATACAACATTTGCAAACATCGAAAAATAAAACTACCCAGTTTTTACGAAATACCTAAATAGGATGTTGGTAATTGACAGTTTAAAGCATCCTGTAAAATTACGGCACCTGGTGTGAAGTCATTTTCAAGAAAATGGTATTTTTGTAAAAATTTCCAGCGGTGGTCAGCCGACCACCGTTGGAAAAACCTAACTATTTTTCAACTACTGCTCCAAATTTACCATTAATTCAGTCCAAATTTTGTTTGCTATTGGTTACATGTTCATGAACGGGTGCAGGCCAGCTAGACTGGTACCCTTACCTTACAATTTTCCAGCATCTGTAAACTGATCCATTTTATATTTAGTGGAGTCAGGGAACCAGACTACTTGAACAGTTTTGTTTTTCTTGGTTTTTCCAGCATTTTCGAACACAAAACTTCAAACATGTCAGTGTTACAATATTTGATCTATTATACTAACCCCTGAAATATTTCATTTCTGAAAATTACAGCAAAAGCCAATGATGTACATTCCCTTTAAAATTGTCCATACTTTTTCCGGACAACTGAAAGGGCTGTTGCTGTGATGTCATTTCAGGAAGACACTGTTCAATTTAGGGGTTCAATTCTGTTCAAACGGAACTCAAAATGTGCTCATTGAAAAATGTGTGAGAAAGGGTTGCTCACTGGCTTACTGCCATTTACTTACACAACACATCACCAAAGCAAAGAATATTTACGACAGCAAAATATCCAACATTCTAGCAAAATAATTGTAACAATGAGTTTTCTACCCTGAATGACATCACGGTTTTGCTCATGAATACGAAAATTTGCATCAGCATAAAAACAAAAAAAGCACCAAAACACCTTTTCATGGCAAAACGAAAAATTGAAAATAAGGTTAATTATACAATGGGACACAAATTTGAAGGAATGCATTAAAAAAAAAATTACCTTGCATGGGCCCTTTAAGATATTTCAAATCTGGCAACTTCCGAAACAAATTTGTCATGACATCAAATTATATCCACCAATCTTTCAAATCCTTTTGCCACAATCCTGAAACGGCAAATTTGTACACCGAGTCAAACTTACCCAAACTCGGCCACCAAAATCTGTTGCTTACCTGTCTCCGCCCTCAATTTCTTCAGGTTATAGCCTCCAGGGCCCACAAACTTTGACCTTCTAGCGACAGGAACGTCAATGGTTTCTGAAAGTATACATAAACCGGTACAAATCATCACTCTGGTATTATGGGAAATGAGCTACTCTTTTATTGTCAGATGAAGATGGTACACACATATTGACTGATAATGATGTGAACCGTTCATGAAGCAGTCACCATTTATATGATGTGCACAAAACAGTAGCATAGTGCCTTTTGGTAGGAATACATGTGCATCCACAGATACTGAAATTTGTATCCTTGTGGACACATTTCTTTGTTTTCGTGTACTAAAGTTTTCGAGTTTGAAAGTACAGTTTCAAAATGCTCTTATTTTAACCATAATTAATTTCATTGGCTGAAATTCGAACTTAATATCCCTGTTCTAAAACTCTACCATTTGCGACAGATCAACATACCTTGGAAATTCCTAGTTATTGAGTAAAATCCATGTATCTATTTCGTGAAAACCTTGTGGAGACGAATTCGTCTATAGAAATTGCCTTGTGGAGACGTATACAATCTTTTGTGGTGCTTGCCTTATCCCTGATTTGAACCCATCGAGGTAAAAATGTGGAATGAAGCGTTCAGTCCATGCTTGATTTCACTCTGAGGTTTTCTTCCCATCTCTTAATAACGAAGATTTCTTCATCACCCTTTTTCCATAGATTTCTTAAAAGTTTCGATCCACAAGACGAGCCTTTACACTTTTGAGGAACCCTAGTTCTCATAACAGTGTCACAAGCTCCTGATACGAGCTCTGTAATTTTAAGTCCCAAAAAGGTCACTTTCCATTTTCTTCTTAACCGTCCAATAGTCGTCTGCACTTCAACACTCTTTAAAGTTTTAAACAATGGTTGTTTTTGCCCATAGAGTTAGCACCCACACTTCTGTGGAATATGGAAAACACAAATCTCTCCACATTTTGTGTGTGTGGTTTAAAGCTCAGGGCAAACAGGTGAATTTAGTCATGCTTCACTATTATTCTCCACATTGCCTTTTTAGGGGGGAGGGGCAAGTGACTCTCTGTGTGACACAGTTACTTTAACACTGAAGGGTTTTAATTGGTTTAACACTTGACTTCCCACTAGGAGGGTTAATATGAAAACATTATAAAGACATAAAATGGAAACATATCCAGATTTACCAATACAGGGCCATGGTTGTGAAACAGAGCCAAAAGATCTCGTTAATTACCTGTCACAGGGCTGTTTTCTTTGCGGTCCTCACGTGGTTTCTTCAGCGCCGTTGCCATGATGGTCAGAATCTCGCTCTTTGCCGACGTCGCTTGCTGAATAGCTTCAGCGATGATCTTCATTGGAATCGGTAACTTCAAATCGGTCTGAAAGGGTGTGGACAATTTTTACAAACCATTTTATTCAAGGTACCCATATCTACAGCTGAAAGCCATTATAGGTAAGGGGCTACAAAAATATTTTACAAAGAAGGGCACAAGGGTTGCTTGGCCCTCTAACCTAAAAACAGACAGTCTGTGCTAGAGGGTAGCCAGGCATGTTTCCACAGTCATACGGATGAGGCAAAATCCCAAAAAGGGAGGTGGGGGGGGGGATGGGGCTTGACACGATCTTTTTACTGGCAGCGATGTTCAGAGGACTCCGGCCTTTAACCATGTCCAGGCCCAAAGCCAGTTTTAAACATACTTGTTTAAAACCGGCCAAGCAAATATTTATTCCCCTCATAAACACCATTTGGTCAAAAAGTCAAAACAAGTCGAAAATTATACATTTCCAACGATTTTGTTCAATAATTTTACTTCATGTTTCGTGAAACACCCCTCTACCTACATGTATGTTTAAGGTATGTGCCTCTCGCGAGTAGTACTAAAAATCTCCTTATATGGAGATTGGTGTGCATGTGGCGCGCACTGGGCGGTGTGACGCAGAATGCAGCGGTGCTACTGTAGTGTGAATTTAAGACTATGAAATACGGACTCTTTGGTAGTATTGTGCATGCCTAAGTGAAGATTGTGAATGTTCAACCAATAAAAGAGTAAAAGGGACCAGATTTCATAAGAGTCCAAATTTCAAGAGGCATCGGCAAGTGTTTCAAACCAGCCGGCCAGTGTTTTACCAACCAGTTGAAACCACCCACACGGTGGGCTCTCTACCAACAGAAATGGGTAAACTGTCTTAGGTATTTATTAATAACGGATAATACACTGGCATTATTTGTAATGGCATATTTGCTGACAACAGACACATTTTGCTGATGACAAACATTAAAACAGGTGGGGGTTACAAATTTGCCTTTTGTTTTATTTCCCCTTTATGTATCACCCCCTAAGTGTCCGCCACTGCTTTCCAGTTTATTTCTTGAAACTCATCCATGGATCCTGCTACAACTCTGTGATTGTTACCTGCAATGCTGTAACACCTTTCCTAGTCCCGGCCATTTTGAAATCCATATCACCCATGTAATCCTCAATACCCTGTGAGAGGAAATTACAGAAACAATATCTTAAGTTGAATATGCACTACAGAGTGGTCCAATTTGTTTGTTTTAACACTTTTGCAGAGGCAGATTTCTCAAAACTTGGGAGGCATGTTGAAATTGTTTTAAGACATTCCTAAACTACAAGATGTTGGTGGTATATGGGTGAAAACAGCGTCGAAGATAAAGCTCAAGTTATGAAATAGCAGCCATTTACAGAAAATTGGTCAAAAACTAGTTTGTCCACACAAAGGTTTATGGCAGTCATGTAGACCTAATTTCATTATTGTATGAGGTAAAACGTCTGTACTAGAAAGCTAGGTTCGAGTCCCACCCGAGTGATTTTTTTTCCAACTTTCACTCGGGAGGTAACACACAGAGTATACAGTGTTTATACGTCGGTGAAGGGCAAAAACCTAATTTGATTTACATTAATGAAGTTCTTTTGCTATTGTGTTGACCATATCTCATAGACTTGCATGATGACAAGCTGGTTTTTACCATCTTTCTTTCAACCATCACCATTTCTTAATTTAGGCTTTATTTTCAGCGCTATTTCACCATAAACCACCAGGATGCTGTAGTTAAGAATATCTTAAAACAATTTTAACATGTCTCCCCAATTCCGAGAAATCTGCGTCTGGAAAAGTGTCAACTTGTTTTGGACCACTCTGTATAAGTCTTACAAATCTTCAGTATCAAAATTTATGTTGCTATCTGATGTATTTGTAAAGCATAAAAAGGGATGTACCTAACTATGACGGCTCAATTCACTGCCAAATAACGGTTTCTAAAGGACGGGAGTACAAGCCAAATGTTCTTACCAGGAGATCTGTCAACAGCCTGTAATCAATAATGCTATGTGGATCATCAGGAGAAGTGGCCGCAACCAGACCAATCGCGACACCAGCCACCGGGCTAGTGATGGGAACTCCTAAAACAACAGAACACTTTAACAGTCTCATTTCTTCCACTGTATATGTTGAATTCTTTAACCCTAAAGGGGCCGGGGGGCTCAACTTTTTCTGCGATAGCTTCAAAAAAAATTTGTTCGTGACCCGAGCTGTTCTGACTTTTTAGCCTCGAGCCTTGCCCATCTTTTGATACCAAAAACATAAAAATCGGACAAAGGGTTGCTGCTCAGCGAAAACTTTTCCTGCGCTACGCGCCGTGAAAACTGAATTTTCCCAAACAGGAAGTGTACACAGAGCAGTTTAACTTTTCCCCCTCATTTAAGATGTAACTTGTCTTGATGAGTTTAATAAGGGAATAAATGTGTGCTTGAGAGGTTTTAATCACTCTGTTTAAGACTGCTTAGAGTCTGGGTGCTGATAATTACCCGAGCCGGAGGCGAGGGTAATTATCAGCACCCAGACTCTAAGCGGTCTTAAACAGAGTGAGTAATACCGACCGAGCACATATTTATTCCCATTCATAAGTACCTTTTCGGTAAAAAAAAATCAAGTAATTCCTTTAAAAAATCCCGATTTTGTTCAACAAGTTCACTCCAGCTTTTTTAAACATCCCTCTAGCAAAATAATGGAGTGTTCAGCTGGCGAGTAAGATGTAAACAACCCTTTTATGGAGATTGACGCGCGCGTGGCACGTTCTGCGCGATGTCGCGCAGAACGCACCTGGGGCGTTGCGTTTTGAATTTAGAACTATAAAATTCTGACTCACTGGCAGTGTTGCGCATGCAACACTGATTAATCCTTCAATTTAAATTCTGAAGTCTAACGCTTCAAGTTTTGACACAAGTGTATGTTACAAATCCGCATTTCATCCCGGGGTCTTTGGTAATCTTTTGAACAATCCCTTGATAAAAGTCTGTCCATAATCAACATTTTTCTTTCACACAAAAAAAAGCTTCATGTTTTTGTCGTAGTACCTTCTGTGCCTTCTCAGTACCGCCATAACCCGGGTTCAAATCCCACCAAGGTTGAAATATGAATTGGGTAGAGTTTGCCTTTAAATTTTATGCCAGGGATTTCTTAGTCTGAGTATCATCTGTTGTTCAACGGAGCCAGAACGCAACAACGTCTGATATATGTGTGCAAATGCAAATTTATGCGACCCCGCGCGCCAGCCTATACGAGTCGACTTTAGAAATTGTAAAATCTTTGTGCAGAAATGTGCACTAAGCTGTTGATTGGTCAATTTAATTGGTGCCATGTTTATGTAATACAACAACGGGTTACCGAAGACCCAGTAGAAGGCGCCCGCTGAATGGTCAGAATCTGGAGGTCAAGACGCGGTCTTGTTTTGCATAGTTAATCGCCGGACCTTCATGCGTATCATAGACGCTTGTGTGCAAGTGGATATTCCATAGACTAGGGATTTCCTCCCACCTCTAAGAAATTTACCGTTTTTTTTCCTCATCTGGTCTCCCTCTAGGTTTCTTGAGAGTCCCACGCTAAGGTGCCTGTGTACTTTTGAGAATCTGTTCTGATTTCATTACCAGAACAAAAACTACATAAAAAGGGCAAACTCACCTGCATCCATGAGTGCAAGGCTTCCACCACAGGCAGACGCCATTGAGGAAGATCCTGTAAAGACATGCAAGAAAAAAGGCAGAGTCTTAATAAAACAAATTATTATTTTAAACACGATGTCTCAATGACCCCAAAATGTCAGAAAATTAATCTCTTGATTTGGGGGAAAAAATGACCCATTAATGAACACAGAGATTTCAGATTTCATGTGTCAATTCATATGACCATTCAATATCTTACACAGTGTGTAAAGTTTAAAAGACTCTGGCACAATCCACAAGATCAGAGGATGATCCCTCAAGAAATTAGACACTGGTCTTCTTGATAAAAACAAAATTGTTGTCATAACCCCAATTCATAATACGTTAGACAGTTTACCCATTCCCATTGGTCGAGAGCCCGTTATGTGGCTGGTCTAAACGGATGATAAAGACATGGCTGGCTGGTCTTAAATACTTTTCCAGTGTCACATGAAATTTGGACTCCTATGAATTCCAGTGCCTTTTACTGTGTTATTGGTTGAACGTTCACAATCCTCATGTAGGCATGCGCAATAATACCATTGAGTCAGTATTTCATAGTCCTAAATTCACAATGCACTCGCCACAGCTGCATCTGCGCGACATGGCGAAGTACGCGCGCCAATCTCCATAAAAGGAGTTGTCTACATCTTACTCGCGAGCTGGACACTCCATTATTTAGCTAGAGGGGTGTTTCGAAAAACATGAGAAAACTGTTGAAAAAAAATTGTTGGAAACTTTTAATTTTTTGACTTGTTGTGACTTTTGGACCAAAAAGGTATTTATGAATGGGAGTAAATTTCTTGGTCAGTATTAAACACTACATGTATGTTTAAGACTGTTGAAGGTTGGAGTCTGGATGCTCATAATCGCCCATCGGCATCCAGACTCCAACCGGTCTTAATACCTCCCAAGCACACATTTATTCCCTCATTCAAAATGTTGTAGCGACGCTCCTGCAAACAGGTTGGGGAACATAGTTTACAAAATTACGACTACATTCATTCTGAATGTGCACAAACATGTATAGTTTTGGCAACCATCTCTCTTCATAGTGCATAGAGTGCATTGCCTATACAGAAATCAATGCCTGCATGGGATGACTGTATTTAGTATGGCAGCAATATCGAGGGGTAAAATGCATCAGCATTGTACACAATGATGATCACATCAGTATACAGTGTTGCTGACACACTCACAAGCTAATTACCACCTACCATTGGATTCTAGTACTTCACTGGTCAGCCGGATGGTGAATGGGAAATCGCTGGGGATGACTGGCTTGAGAGATTTCTCTGCCAAAGCACCTGTAGGCAAACATGACAGACAAATAACTCCATTGAATTGTACTCTCTGACAAAACACTAATATGCAAGAAGCAAATACATGTACCATTTGTTGCTGGAAGTGTACTACTAAAGGCCCGTTTGAGAAGCTGTGCTACTGCCTTGCCGAACTCAATTAATTTGGTGTTTTTTTTTAATTTGGCAGAACCATTTGGCTAGGCAAATTGAGTTCGGCACGACACCACCCTTTGGCTCGACAGGGCTACCGCACTATCGTCATTCCGAATGGCAGTGGCACGGCACTGTTCTAAATGCCGTGCCATTGCCGTGCCGAACTCAATTCAATGCAAAGTTGGGGCAAACAGTTTAAGAATGTGCATAGCCGCATGCTCACAATACCCTCTCTCGCATCCATGCCACAGGGAGTGAAATTGGCGCGAATACTTTGATCGCGCTCAATGTTCATCGAACTTCTTGAACTGCTTTAACCTGGCCCATTACTCCAGATGCTTTGAGAATCGACTATTCAGTTTGTGCGCGGCTATTGGTAACCAGCGATGTAACCGTTCCCTGTGGTCTGGTTCCAAGTAGTCGACTAGATAGTAGTCCAACCTTCCTTCGTTCAAGTGAAATGGTAGTTGGGATGGCTTTAGCGGTTAAAAAAAGGTATATGTTTTTAGGCAAACTTTTTTTAACTGCATATACAACTCCTGGAACAAAATTCCATCTAAGGCCAAAAAAAAAAAATATTCGGTCTCTGGTCAGACCAAAGTTCCCGAATTGACGCGGCCACGCGGCTTTTTTTTCTTTTTTTTTGCTTTTTTTTTTTTCTTCAAGCTTGGATTGTACAGACAAGGTGGGGTACTATTTTGCTTTTTTTGGTGTCCTCGTGTACATTGGTGTCCTCCATAATTTGCCTTGGTGCTTTCGATCATTTGCCTTGGTGCAATTTCCCATTCCTTGGTGCTCTTTGGTAAAAAAAATTGAGGAGGTGCGGAAATAGAGGGCGCTGTTGGAGCTACGCGCGGAACATTTACCCGTATATTTTTTATTGTGCTAGTGCAATAATTTGTGGCCGCTTTTAATTGTAGTTTTTCCTTTTTCTTTTTGTAATTTTTTTCTTTGAACAGTATTTCTTTGTTTTCTTCGGTTGTTTGCTTGTTGTTGTGCTTGTCCCCTGTTTTTCGCTTTTGATGTGTGAACAAGGGTCCCCATTTAGTGGGCCTGTGTGCCTGTTCGGGGTTTCCCTTTTGCACCACATGTCATTTCTAATGTATTTGTGCAATGAAGGTAATAAAATAAAATAAAATAAAATAAAATAGTTGAACCATGCCTGAACTTGCCCCGAGTGTGCACAACCCATAATATCTTTGTAGGTACATAAACAGGGTTCCTTATGGGGTAGAAACACAATAGAACAATAGACCCCACAAGGAAGTCTTTGGAAATCAATCTACCCCATAAGGGAAACGCTATGGAGTTTGAGATTTCAACAGGAACAAAGGAAAACAAAAGAAGGGAAACAAAGGTCTTCCCCACAAGTATATGTGGGCAAGGCTCACAGGCACAAGTTGGCAATGATATTATGTGTGTTTCATATCGCTGTCACAGTTTAAGGGGGTCCAAACTCTTGTTCTCAATCAAGGTCTAAAAATAAGGCTTTATCTTCAGTGACAAGCCCAACTCCTCCTTACCATGACCCAGTTCTCTTCTTCCTGTTGATAACCGTCCCGTCTCATTGGTTGCATAAGGTGGAAACTAAAAGTAAAAACAAAAATAATTTTTAAAATACATAAAAGCTTTGGAAATTCCAAAGAAAGAGATTTGTTTTAGATGTTTATCTTTTAACTGATGAGTTAACTTAAAAATCAGTTATATCTACAACACTGATTTTGACAAAACAACAAAATTATGACACCACTGTACGCCAGTTATAACTTCATGATGAAGGAAATGCAAAATGCATTTGACTTCAAAAAACATTTTCAGTTGGCCGGGTTGATATGTGTTAAGCCTTTATAGTGAATTTGCAGAATGGAGTCGCACAATTAACATTTCGCATGGCATCAAGTATTAACCAGCCTTTATTGATCAATTTTTAGAATGTCTAAAATCACAGGACAATCAGAATGTTTAAGGGAAAATGCTGCCTGTTCTAACTTAGCTTTGGTCAAGGCATTCGACGATAAAGTGATGATTGATGGTTGGCCGTGAGCATTAGTAACTGTATGCGATGTATTCACACGTACTGCATGAAGCGAGAACAGCGATCTAACGCCACTGGGCTGCAATTTGAAAATCAGCTGGTGCTGAATGAACGCCTTAGAACATCTGTGTTTTTCTCTATTTTGTCACTGGATTTCCAGCGACGCCCCTGTATGCGAATAAAGATGAGATTATTATTCAGTACTTGGTCAGATTATTATTCAGTACTTGCAGGCTCAAATTTTACATGGACAGAGAGCTGGACCGACCATCGACCATCGGACACTAGTGTCGAACGCTTTGACCTAGTTCTTACTGAAAATATAAACAATTCCCATTGGAAATAGTGTAGGAATGCCATCTGTTCTCACATGGAAATTTTTTTCCTTTGAATATATTTACACTAAACATGCTATAACAGAAACATGTTGTTCAAGCCGGGTGCATGCTAGAAACACTGCTGGGTCCCGACTGAGTACAAACAGTGTTCAAAAGGGACCGTTCTTTAATGAACTGGAAAATTTTGAGTTTTACGATGTCACAAAAACGTACCTCATAATGTAACATAAAATTCTTGTCCTTCACTCCCCTGTCAAGATAAACAAAAACAAGAGACGAGTGCTTAAACCATGGAAACTGCAGTTAAAAACACGTGGGTAACTCTATGGACTGCAGTGCATGAGCGGTAAATGCTGGTGCTTTGTGATGGCGTTCAAGGGCACCAGTGGTATGGACACACCACATGTGCATACTGGTTCGTGCGCGTATGGCGTGTAAGTAAAACATGACTAATTTTGTTAGGACTATGCACAAACCTGTAACGTCTTTGCATTACTGTTGTGCAAACCCGACCCAAAACCGAGACCGACCCGACCTGAAACTGACTTCGGTTTGGACCGGGTCAGTTTTTCCATATTTCAGTCGGGTCAGGTCGGTTCCGGTTTTGCGTTTGCGATTTTTTAGGTCAGGTCGGGTCAGTCAAGCCATCTTGTAAAACGATGTGAATAACCCCAACAAACTGACACAGTTTGGAAATTCACGTGGTGCATTAACCCTTACTCTCTGAGGGTAGTTTACTGCATGTCAGTTGGTTATGCCAATGCCCTCCAGCTGCAGTTATTTGGCAGATAACAAGTCTTAACAGTGAAGGCTCCAATTGGCAGGAGTTGGAGGCCCTGGAGGGTGCCTGATACTGACCAGCTGGGGGCACTCACTTTGTTATCAGAGGACTCTCATTGTTCTCTGTGGCATGTATTGGAGTGCCTGTCCAGTTACCCTTGAAATGACATGGCAGATATTGGAGGGCCATGCAAAAAACATAGGAGATTTTCTTGAGGCACAATTGGCATGCGTTGGAGGGTCAAGTAGGGTAAGGGTTATTGCAGGGTCACTGTGCCTGGTACTGCGCGCGTACTACCATGTCAACCCACCGCGCAGTAATGCATGTGGTTTGCGGTCTATCATGCACAGTATATAACTCTACATTTAACAATCACTTAACATACCACTAGACTTGTCTCATATACATACCCAGTGATTTCTAGAATCGGGTCGGTTCTCAGTGCTGATTCGATGGAGTCAAACGTCACAGTACACATACACTAAAGGGCACATACAAAAGGAAGAAAGCAATTTTAATTGTTTAAAAACTATGAATCAGGCTCACTGCATACGATGCGATGCCAATATTGATAATGATGCCAATATTGATACAATTGATAATCTCAGGTAATGAGTCATCAACAATTTGCAAAAGATTTTTTTTAAACACTGTTTGCGTTATTGGTCACTTTTCCTTGGTATCAAAAATCTTAGAAACTCTGTGCTGTGATGGGATTCTTATGTGTTTTTTTTTCACCATCGGATGCATGTGGTCAACCTCATCAGCTTATACGCACCCTAGCACGCACAAGTCTCCATGAGGTACAACGCTGATGACAAGAAGAGCCCCCCATGCCCTCTCACGGCAACAAAGGATGCAACTTGAATTTTTGGCCTTGTTGAGGTAAAGTCATTTTGGGGTTATCTGCTCCGTTCACAAGCACCCCCTCACCGGCAAAGAGAGTACAGTTGGGGGTGGCCGACCGACGCCATCTTGCCTGACTGCAATTTCATTTCCTGCGAAGCGCGGCCACTGCGTGTATTGTACATAGTACAAATCCCCCGGTGTATGTGCGTCACACACAAGGAACGGTGCGCGTCAACCAGCGAAATGTCCCGCCCATGGGACGTCGTTGCTAGGTAAAAGGGCGCCCTCCTTGTCGGCGCACAGAGCCCATTGGGGTGCTGTTTCCAATTACCGAACTTTCAAGTCCATAATGCCTTCCGTTTAACATATAGCAGGGTATACCTTGTGCACAATTGTGCATGTTTGATTCAGGTTCTTTGACAAAAGGATGAAACTTAGATACATGCTGTTTTACGCTAGAAATTGACCTGTAATGAGGCAAAAAGGTGTAACTATACAAGATGCGTCTTTTTGCCTTATTACATAGTATGCTTTATGCTCATCACCAAAGGGCAATTAATAGTGCATTGGATATGCTATCTCAAGATATATCCTTTTACCAAATTAACCCTGTGTATAATGTTTGTGATACTTCATGGGAAAATGCTGCAAATGGTTTAAAGGGAATATACATCATTTGCTTTTGCTGTAATTTTCAGAAATGGATGGAATTGGGGGGTTGGAAATATATAGCAAATATAGTTACACTGACTTTTTTGAGGTTTTGGGTTCGAAAATGCTATAAAAACCAAGAAAAACAATCATTTTTCTGTAGTCTGGTTCCCTGACTCCATTTAAGAAGAAACAGAGCAGTTTACATATATTGGGGAATTGTAAGGTCAGGGAATCAGTCTAGCTGGCTTGTACCAGTTTATAGGTGTGTAATCGATTGCAAACAAGTGCAATGGTCAACTGGGGCCAGTATTTGAAAAAAAGCCAGTTTTTTCCAACGCTGATCGGCCGATCAGCGTTGGAAATTGATACAAAAATACCACTTTTCTTGAAAATGACAGTATACCAGGTGCCATGATTTTACAGGATGCTTTACACTGTCATTCACTAACAGTCCAGCAAGGTATTTCAAAATGATTTGGTAGTTTTATTTTTTGATGTTTGCAAATGTTGTATTTTCCCTTTAAAGTTGCTTCTTTTTTTTTTAAACCAATGATGCCAAGGAACTGAAATTTCTACTTTATGTTTACAACATGTTGTGGAAAAAAAATGGTTTAAGTGATGGTAAATACATGCAAAAAAACATTGAAGACCTTGATTTTTCTCGAAACGCGTTTTACCAAGTTATACATCCTTTTGCCGTGAGAGGGTACTGTGATCAGAGCAGTAAGGCAGAAGATTAAAAGTCAATCAAAGATTATACCCGATTTTCATACCAGATAACTTGAGATAGACTGGTGACTTTTACATGCTTGACAAATTGATTGCAACTCTATTAGTCACAGACTTGGCTAGTGAATTTCTCACCTGCGTTTGTCCCCGCTGGAAGAGTGCTGAACCGTGGAGAGGCTTGTACAAGTCTACCTCACACCGGATATCTCTAAGCTGCTTCAAATCCCGCCCATCACATCTACAAAAGACAAAACGCATGAACGAACGTTGGTTCAAAAATGACCTACTTGACTTCAAAAGGAAGTGTCTTTGGAAGACAACAGACTATTAAACTGAATGACCATTAAACTAAATTGCCTCTCACTGCTGTGGCTTGGGTTTGATTCCCGGCTTGGGTACAGTTAAAAATAAGGGAATAAATGTGTGCTCGAGAGGTTTTAATCACTCTGTTTAAGACTGCTTAGAGTCTGGGTGCTGATAATTACCCGAGCCGGAGGCGACAGTAATTATCAGCACCCAGACTCTAAGCAGTCTTAAACAGAGTGTTTAATACCGACCGAGCACATATTAATTCCCATTCATAAATACCTTTTCGGTCAAAAAAAATCAAGTAATTCGTTCAAAAATCCCGATTTTGATCAACAAGTTCACTCCAGCTTTTTGAAACATCCCTCTAGCAAAATAATGGAGTGTTCAGCTGGCGAGTAAGATGTAAACAACCCTTTTATGGAGATTGACGCGCGCGTAGCACGTTCTGAGCGATGTCGCGCAGAATGCACCTGGGGCGTTGCGTTTTGAATTTAGAACTATAAAATTCGGACTCACTGGTAGTGTTGCGCATGCCTACGTGAGGATTGTGAACGTTCAACCAATGAAATGGTAAGAGGCACTGGATTTTTAGGAGTCCACATTTTATGTGACACTGGAAAAGTGTTTAAGACCAGCTAGCCATGTCTTTATCATCCGTTTAAGACCGGCCACGTGATGGGCTCTCGACCAATAGGAATGGCTAAACTGTCTGAGGTATTTATGAATAAGGGAATAAATGTGTGCTTGGGAGGTGTTAAACACTATGTTTAAGACTTGGAGTCTGGAATGCTGATAATTACCCAAGGCGTACTGCGCAGTGACATGCAGATGCAGCTGTGGCGAGTGCGTTGTGAATTTAGGACCATGAAATACTGACTCAATGGTAGTATTGCACGTGCCTATGTGAGGATTGTGAACATTCAACCAATAAAACGGCAAAAGGCACCGGATTTCATGGGAGTCCAAATTTCATGTGACACTGACCAGTCAGCCAAAGACCAGTCAGCCATGTCTTTATCATCCGTTTAAGACCGATCATGTGACGGGCTCTTGACCAATGGGAATATGCTGTCTTAGGTATTTATGAATTGTTTTTCAATGTTTGAATATTCTCAGCTTAGGTTAACATATTGATTAATGTAACATATATATTTACCTTCTGTCTTGCTCCAGTATAAGACTACGGAAGACTTCTTTGGCAACTGCACTAAACGCTTCATTGATGAGAAATGGCTCCTCCGACGGAAATAATTCTGTGAAATAAAATAATTTTCGATGTAATACAATGAAACACAATTATTCTGTGAAATTACACATCCTTGAATAACAGCCACTGGGATTGTACTAGAGCCTAATATTGCTTTTTATTTACACCAAAAGAAAGAATGCTGCACATACGTATGGGAGCACTGAAACCAAATTTCATGATCTCCTACTCTCCCATTGGTCAAATCACTGCACATGGTCTTGATATATGCACCACAAAAATAAGCTTATTCAAGACTCTTAAATACAACAAAAATACTGCTCATTCACCTTTGATATGATCTAGAAATTCATCCTTCACGGCAGTAGCTGCATTGTCTCTTGAAAACTGTTGAAAAGGAACGAAAAGCACACTGACAAAAGCTGCTCTATCTTATAACAATAAGGGCAATTCCACGGTTACTCACGTTACATTTTTGATGTACTTTTGAGTTTCCTTGGGCTGTAATGACCTTACTGAAAAGGTTTAATAACTGTTATCCCCATGGTAGATAGAGTAGATCTAGACCTACCTACCGGTAAGCACCAAAGATGGCATCCAGAAAAATGTGTTATGTATGATAAACGAGACGCACAAAATCGGTTACTCACGTTACATTTTCGTAACGTGAGTAACCGATTTTGTGCGTCTTGATACTCTTGGGTAGAGAGAGGTAATTGTGATAAAGCGTCTTTCCCAGGAACACAAGCACCATCGAGCACTATGGGCTCCGTGCGCCAACAAAAGAGGGCGCGTTTTTATCACTTTTGAGAGCCCCTTGGACCAGACACCACATGTGCGTACTGTACTGGTTTGCGCGCGAAGTACGTTTTACGCACGACTTATTTTATCCTGAATGTGCACAATGCTAAGCCATAGCATCTTTGCGCGTGAGCGTCAAGCGTCGTCGCGCGAATACATTCGACTTAAACTTGCGATGGTCTTCCACATTAATCCCTGCCCCCAACAACTTTGAATCATTCGAAATATGCAGTGGTTGAACCGGGAACCAGTCTAGGTCACCCATAACTCTCTTTTTCTGGCCGTTGAAGGGGTATTTGTGCCCGGAGCCCACAGATTGATAGGGTCAGTGCCTATTTTTTCCAAGTGTAATTCCTTTTTTTTGCGCTATTTCACACAAGGCCCCATTCATTGGGAACAATTTTCATTTTATTTGTCCAAAGCGATTGAAGCCAATATGTCTTTTTGAATAAAACAGGGAAAATGTGAAGACAGCACAGCTAACAAATTGATTCATCCCTTCAAACAATTTGGGTTTCTGATTTCAACTTTTTTTATCCTCCAATTTTTTAAAAGAGATAAACAATAGTTTGTTTCCAGTACAATTTGGCTAGTATTTTGTTTTTATTTTTACATAAAAAAAGGCATCCCTGAAAGTTCCTACTTCCAAAAAAGACCCCTTTTTTTCTACCTCTCTTAGTAACAACTGAAATCAACACGAACGAAAAAATATTGCAATTCATTTTACTAAATGTTGACAGGCACGATTCGCAATTTTCCATTATTTCTAAATTTGGTTGTTTTCTTTTCAAAGAATATAAACTTTACCTTATCATGTGTTTCATCTGTATAGACTTCACAGTACTTGTCTCTTGTTAATCTGTAAAACAACGAACAAGAAAATTGTCAAATCGAACCAGTATTTCACGTATCTCTGTAGGTTCATAAAAGCAAAGTGGACTATTTGATCTACACAAATTTGTTTCCTTTTTTTCTCAAATTCTGAAACAATAAAATCCTGGAAGCAGGCGTATATTTGTTTCAATTTCATAATGAAGTACGTCAAAGCTTTAACTCAGCAAGGTACAACAAGACATTTTTTTTAACAAAAATAAGATTTGTCAACAAAGATAAGATTTGTCAACAAAGATAAGATTTGTCAACAAAGATAATCGACCATTTTCACGTTGGGGCAATCTTCATATGTTCCCATTCAAATCAACGTAACCAAAGCGAGGCTGGAAGGAAAAATAGTCTGGTTCCTTTCTGCACTAAAAAAAACCATTACCATTCAGTACTGTTACTGGGTACAGGGAACATGACAGAAATGGTGGCAGCACGATAAAGGTCTATCTCCCCCCCCCCCCAGAATTTGCAGAAAATGAGTGAAACAAAATGATAATTTCCGACAAACTCTTCACCATCAGTCACTTAAACAGGCAAAATATTGGATTTTTTAGAGAGATGCAACCTCTGTTCGCTCTCTTTTAAACATGCCTCTGCCATGAAGCATCCTCATTAACTTCACATTCCCTTTTCACATTTACAAATTTGTAAAATTCGTAAAACATACTAAAAGATTAGCTAACATGTAGTCCAAGACTACATTGAATCGTATTTCCTTAATACAGCTTTCCTTAATCCAGAATTCAGCAGCGCTGCCCAGAAAATTCCTCATGCGCACTGTATTCAAGCTAATGCACTTCAATGCATTCGCATGAGGTATGCTCTGAATTTCCTGGGTAGCACTGCCAAAGTTCCAAAGACTACATTTGATTCAACTTGTAGATAATGACCATTTGTGACCCGCTCTGCAAAAATGAGTCACATGTCTCCAAAGCCACTTTTGAGCTAAAGGTCTTTGAAAGAATGTTGCACAGTGTTTAAGCAATTGGAATCCTCAACATTTTAAATTCTACACAATGTCCATTTTCATCAAACCAAACTGTTGAGGATTCCAATTGCTTAAACACTGGCACCCTCCAAATTCGACTGCGCAGTCATGCTGGCGTGCGCGTCTCGCATACGCACAAGTACCATGCCCAAGTGCCGTATCACGCATGTAACCAGAAATTTTGGGAAGTCATTTATCCTTGTGTAGCAGAGATGCCACAGGGTCTGCTTGAAAAAAACGGAACTGGGTCTGCTTGAAAAAAACCGGAACGGCTGCTTGAAAAAAAACTTTTTTTGTGTGTGAAAAAGCCACTCCGTGTCCGAGACAAAGTCCCCGTTGTCATCTTGATCTTGTAGCCAAGCCAAGCTCTGTTTATTTTTTAATTTTGCTTCTATGGCCTTTAAAGCTGTCAGTTCGTTCAATCACTTTGACTTTTTCCATATTCCTAATATTTATTCTGCCTACCCGAATTTCCAACGTAATATTCGACACGAAACGTGCATGATTCCACAACACTGCTGTCGGTGTACATGATCCTTGCACTACGCGATGCGCTCAAGGAAAACATGGTTGGTACCCGCATTTTTTGTATTCACATATATCACTGAAATCGGAAACCACCGATAGCTGAAATGATGGACTTGATTTCCAGGCTGAATGCTACGTGTGCTTAGCACACAACACGCCCGCACGCGGTGAAGCACGCGCGACGCGGCGTTGTATACTGCGTGCAATAAAGTACGTTGGCCGCTTGTATCGCATGCAGGCTCGGCAACAACATACACAAAGACTGTTTTTAAGACTACTTCAACGAACAATGTTGTGCCATGTGTGCGCCTAAATGTACTAAATCGAGGTAAAAATCAATGCATTTCCACAGTTTTTCTTCTCTTTTTCTGGTTAATTTGACGGCCGGAAAAACCGGAATTTTGTGAGATTTTTTTTAAAAACCGGAATTCCGGTTAAAACCGGAAAAGTGGCAACTCTGGTGTAGGGGATCCATGCTTAAAGGGAGAAATAACGGTTCTGTGCCAGCATTGCCTTACCTCCTCACAGCCTCTATAAGTTCCTCAGATGGAGTAAACAGCTTCTCAGGCACTCTCTTCTCCTTGCCGCATCTCTTGGTCAGCCTTTCGATCTGCTGAACGATGACCTGAGTCTCTTTCAAGCCAGCCCGGATGGCCTTGACAAAGTCATTCTGCAGGATGTTGTCGGCTGAAGCTTCTAGCATCACTACAAGGGAGAATGTTAAGTCTTCAAATGTAAATACAGATTTTCCCGACTTTATGTCACATTTATAATATACATGCAAGTCTTATTTTAGGGGAAGGTTTCAATATTAAGGTCGAAAATAATTGTGAAAAAAATTGTGAAAAAAATTAGGGGTAACCCCTTATTTTTGAATGACCATCTGTGGACAAACTACTTCCCTAAATTACCTCTTGGCCTGTTGGCTATGTAGCATTATATGCATTGTTTAACAAAGGGCCCTTTTCTACTGAATTCACGAGACTGTTACTATAGGTGGCACGGATAACTCTCTGCTGCTACTTGTTCTCTGAAATTATTCCGAATGACTGCAATTAACGGTCAATATTTTGACAAAGTCTGATTCTTACTGCATCATTGAACTTTTTAAGTACGTAATTCAAATCTTAGACATGATTCTGGAACAGGGACATTCTTTGGTCACTGTGTGACATAAAATTGGGCTCGTCTGATTTTTGAAGCTTTAGCCTTTGTAAACTTTATCTGACACATACTGCCTACCTCAGGGTAGAGTTTCTACTTTCACAAATTGTGTCAAAATATTAGGAGGGGTCATCAAAGTTTGGTCATGTGTGTGACATCAGACGAAAAAAATTTATCCGGCCCACATCAGAAAGTTACACTCTTCTCCAAAGTTCTATGGACACACACCCCCATACTTATTTGGGAGCAAGACTAGTCTTTTGCGATTTACAGAAGACATAAACAATGTACACCCTCTGCTTTAGTTTTACTAAATGGGGATTGTTCTGTGGTCACGTGTGTGACATTTTGATCGGTCACGTGTGTGACATTTTGATCGGTCACGTGTGTGACATTTTGATCGGTCACGTGTGTGACATTTTGTAATTACAATTATGCTAATTTATGCACGGAAAAACCAACTTATAAAACTTCGTAAGAAATTTGCATTTTTACTTACTAGCAAACTTTAGTGAACAATAATCTTTTGTATTACATCACATAAAAACTTTTTTTCAAAAAAAAAAATTATTTAGCTTCAACTTCTGAATAATAGCCCACCACCAGTATGAAATAGATGAAAATAAAATAGGTTTCTTAGTCAAATCCAAGAAGCAAGTCACCTATACTGCTCTTCCTTGCTCCGGTCACCACCAGGTTGAGACGGCTCTTGCTCAACTGTAGCCTGGTGGGATTGATGACGATGTCGTCATCGACCATCCCCACCCTGACCGCACCCACGGGACCACCCCAGGGGATGTCTGACAGTGTCAATGCCGTGGAAGCTACACAGACGAAGGAGGAAAGAAAAGGGGCAAGAAAGTTGTCAGAAGATCACTTCTTAACTCTGGCATATTCAAAACTCAAAATTAAAATTCTGAAATATATCTGAAATGAGTAACCTCATCTGTGTTACAGGTTACATTTACCTCCAACACTGGGCAGTAACCTTCTGACAAATTGTTGGATCTCTTGTGCATGTGCAAGTTGAGGAAGCCACCCAAATATACAGTCAAAGTGACTTGGCTGAACAGTTCTGAATTATCAGAATACAGTGTAATGCTGCTATACCGAACACCGCTATACTGAACATTCGGTTTTATAACACCTCACCCACAGATTCTGTGTCTTGATTGGCCGAGAGCAAGTCACATGTTACTTTCTAATTTTGCTATCTTTCTGTGCACGGCCAAAAGTACTATGCGCATAGCAACCAAAGAACTACATGTATACCATTAGTAACCCAAGTACTTTTTCCACGGCGCGGTTTTTGTGTGCAAATGGATGCTGGTGTGCGCGTTGCGCATTGCGCGTAGCGCGTATTGTTCCAAGAGAGAAATACATTTTCCACCAATTTTGTATTGAAATTGAAGTTTATTTCAACTGTGTTCAGATTTAGATAATTAAAAATATTAAAATCAAGCAGAATCGGTGGGTGAAGTGTCATAAAACAAATATTGAATGCTTTATCTCGTGGTGGAGTAAAACTAGCCTCCCTCTGTGATCCATGGACAATTCTATTTTCCCTCGGCGATCACCTTGGGAGGCTAGTTTTACACCACTCGAAGCATTCAATATTTGTATAATACCGAACATCATCCTTGGCTCCCGGTTTTAATGTACAAAACATACCAAACATCGTTGTTGAAAAAAGTCAACAGATTAACAAAAACCTACCGGTTGTACATGTACTAAACACTGTTTGGGCCCCTTTTAATTGCCGAACATCAAAACCACCCATGGTTACATCGTGTTTGAATGTTGAAGAGTGATATATGGCCATTGTTTCCCCAAGGAATAATAGGGAAAACCACCCGTTACTAAAGTTTTGTGACAACTCCTTGTGTGGTGGCGGGATGTGAGAAATGCCAGTTCAGTGACTTCACTATTGGTCAAAAGAGGGTACCGGCGGTTCAAAATCGCAATACCGAACGATTGTTATTACGAACATTTTTCTGTGGATCCCACGATGTTCGTTATAGCGGCGTTCCACTGTACTGCCAAAGAGGGGGTGCGTTCCACTATTACGTAAACAATGCTGTCGTTTGGCACGTTGGCCAAGTTTGCCCATTTGCGCAAGTGGGGTCAGCTGTTTGCCACAAATGTTGGCAAATGTTACCAACCAAAGCAAACGGTCTTCCTGAGTCATTAGGGCTTGTCTCAATTTTATACCAGGGATGAGTTTCGGACTTTGACATGGATATTGTATCAGGTATAATTTGAAAGATTCTGAACAACTTCCCCGCAATGAGGTTACCAGTACATGTATTGGTGAGTCGAGCAGTTGCTTATGCAAGTCTCCCCGGAACGTGTCCGGGACAAATGCAGAGTTTCTTCCAGACAAAGTGAATGATTCTACCAGCAACTTGTCCGGAACTCGTCACGGATATGAATTGAGATGGGCCTTAGTAGCCATGTTGGCCCAATTTGCCGACACACACAATGAACAGTAATGATTCTGTCGGTGCTGACAAGTATATATATTTCTGTAAAAAAATTGACTTCAAGTCACAATTAATTTCTCGAGGATTTAAAAACTGCTATCCAAACATACTTGTAGGATTGGCACACAGGGCCCCGCCTCTTTGACAGGAGCTTTTCAATGATTTTATCCTTCCATTTGGGGCCTAGCTAGCTAGTCTGGTTCCCAGACCAAAATATTCTGACTATTCCTGATAAATCTTAGGTCCGGTAGCCTCCAGTAATACATTGTATTACAATTTACGTCACGTGACTAAAACGGGAGGAATTCCTCCTTTTTCTGAAAATTTCCAAAGTTTTCCGAAGTCGTTTTGTCGACAATCGGATAGCGCCCGAGTATTTCCGAGTACATGATATAGGTTTAATTAACTGCTAAATGCTTATTAATTTAATTTTAAATGCATTGATAATTAATATTCATTGCTTTCATTTAGAAAACTTGAAATTCAATGACGATTTTGTGCATCAAATATACTCGGATCGTATGGGCTAACTTTTTGCTGCGTCATGTATAATTTTGAATTTGACGACCGTTACCGAGATTTTCCAAAACTTGGTCTTCATTCAGCTCCGCCTGCTAACAGTGCTATTTGGGTGCCTAATTTTGAAGATTCCAGATCAACATTAGTCAATGTTATCTTACTGAAACATCAAACTGTATTATCATAACTGTATGATATTACGAAGCAAGTGATTTATTTAAAAATTTGATCAGAACTTTAAAAGCTACAAGCGATAAAGCGAAATCGGAAACGAAGCCGAGCTTTGCGAAAGGGCCATCAATGTCGTCATGTTTATTTTTAGCCACGGAGGCTGCCTGACCTATAAGATTCATCAGGAATAGTCAGAATCGTTTGGTCTGGGAACCAGACTACTAGCTAATGAATGCAGAAATATTCGCGTGACTGGAATGCAATACCAAGTTGTTGATTTGGAGGATTTTGGGATAAAAACATGACTGTCCAAGGCAGACTTGAAGAAATATTGTCTGGGACCTTTTGAGGGAATGTCAGGAAAAGGTATTTGGTGTCAACTCACCGGCATTTATACACACAACATCCGGATCGTTCACGCCATCAACAGCTAACAGATTACAAACTACCTACAAATAATAATAAAACATTTGTTAAAGGGAGTGTACATCATTGGCTTTTGCGGTAATTTTCAGAAATGAACTAGTTGAGGGGTTAGTAAAATAGATCAAAATATTCTTACACTGACATGTTTGAAGTTTTGTGTTCGAAAATGCTATAAAAACCAAGACAAACAAAAAATGTGGTCTGGTTCCCTGACTCCACTATTATGAAATGTATCAATTTATAGATGCCGGAAAATTGTAAGGTAAGGGAACCTACACCCGTACCAATAGCAAACAAAATTTGGACTGAAAAGAAATAGTAAGTTGAAAAATAGTTGAAAAATAGTAAGGTTTTTCCAACGGTGGTCAGCCGACCACCGTTGCAAATTTATACAAAAATACCACTTTTCTTGAAAATGACTTCACACCGGGTGCCATAATTTTACAGGATGCTTTAGACTGTCATTTACCAACATCCTAGTAAGGTTTTTCGTAAAAATTTGGTAGTTTTGTTTTTCGATGTTTGCAAATGTTGTATATTCCCTTTAAATAGCGCATCATACTGACGTCCCAAAGCACTTTACGCAGATTTAACAAAAATAGCAAAATATTCTTAACATTAAAAATTAATGATCAAAGTGATCAGAAAGTGCTTTTAGAACACAAAAGTCTTCAACATGGATTTAAAGTAAAAAACAAAACAAGACCAAATTCCAAATTTAGGCTATCAACAATTTAAGATCATGTTCCATCCCTCAAAGACACCAATTGTTTTTTTTTTAATTGGAATTAACAATTTCAAAGACTTTTTGTGGATTTAGTGTGGTCAGAATAAGAAAGTGTATTCTAAAAACAATGGGGAGTCAGGTTGGCGTAGCAGTTCTTTCCCCGCCTTCCATCACTGTGACCCAGGTTCGAATCCTGCCTGGGCCAATATGTGGATTGGGTTTTCAGTCCCTACCTGATTCCGTGGGTTATCCCTGGAATATTCTTCTGGGCTTTTCCTCCCACCTCTAAAACTGTAATTTCTTCTCATTGTCTTCTCTCCACAGGTTTCTTCAGGCTTGCGAGCTACAGTGCCTAGGGCGCTTTTGAGGAATCCTTGGTTTCATTACCAGAAATAATTAATAATAATAATAAAGACTTCTACAATAATAACAAACTTTTAAATATTTTTTAAAACAATTACGTACCTGTGTTTCATAGAAATAGCCTTTCGGAAACAATGGTCGTATTGATCTATCTGTAAACATAAACAAATATTACCATTTACAATTCATCAAGTTAAAATACTAAAATTCTTAGGAATCTTTTTAGAGCATACACTTTGTAACTTCCGAATAAGTCAACATTTTTGAGATAAAAAATAAATCAAACGTTAGAGGCTACATTTATCAAGTAATCAATGCCGGAGTTTTGATATCGATGAGAAGATTTGGCACTAACCAATCATTCTGCTTCTTAGAATCTCCAGGTCGGTGTTCCCCATCTCTCGTCTCAGGTGATTGGTGGGAATTCTACCTGCAGCTGCGGCTTTCTGTCTGTAATCCACCTGAGGATAATAATCATAACAAAAGCCATCAAAACTTTTGCAGTGAAATCTGTGAATAATCGACCACCGAGCTTGCGGGATCAGTTGGCTGGTTTGAATCTGATGTACATGTAGCAGCGGGTAACGCAATTACTTTATTCAAGGAAGGGCAAAACCTAATATTGATTTACATCACCCCGACACAAATTTCATCTTGTGAATAGTTGAATTGCGGTACCCGCTGCTATATGTACATCAGATTCGAACCAGCCAACCAATCCCGGTATTAAGACGTCTGCACTAGAAAACAAGAGGTCGTGGGTTTGAGTCCCACCCTGAGTGATTTTTTTTCAAATTTCAATCGGGAGGTAACACACTGAGTATACAGTGTTTATAGGTCAGTGAAGAGCAAAACCTAATATTGATTTACATCACCCCGATTTCCATCTTGAGAATAGCATATAACTTCGTTTACCACAAAGGAAAAGTCTGTGCTGACAGTAAGCGTATCTCATAACTATCAATCTTTAAAAGCTAGGAATTTGGCTTGCGCACAAGTGTACAGTCTGTAAAGTCTATGGAATTTGTGCTTACAAGGTTTGCGCAGAATATTGAGTGGCTCAGATTGGAATGGGAGGAATATTATTGCAAGGAAAAATCTGGACTTTTTTTTTATGAGGCGAAGCCGAGTGAAATGGAAAAGTCCAGTTGAGCGATAATATTCCTCCCATTTCACAATTTTAAGCCACTCGATATTTGTTTTACATGTATAACTGACATAGATCCTTGTCATTTGATTTACAGTAAAAAATGAACCTATATTTCAATGCAAAATTGGTGGGAAATGTATTTTTCTCTTCCGAACCACCCCTTCATAAAATGTTTGAACCCAACTCTGTAGCTAATGGCTCTTGGGAACAATACGCTCAACGCGCACACCAGCATTCATTTGCACACAAATACAGTGCCATGGGACAAGGATGATCCTAACTGTTGAATAGTAAATCCCATTCACCGTGGGCGAATGGGACTTTTTGAGCCCCTGCGTGAATGGGAGCAATAATGATTGAAACGTGATCAAAATGACAGGGATCTGTATGTCAGTTATATAACTGGCACTATGCTAGCACAGTAAGCTCAGACCGTTGACCATACTACATGTAGCTTCACTATCTGTCAATAGTGCCACCATTGGTTGATTGCGCCGCCATCCCTTTATAGTTCATGGCTCTGGAAGACTGGTTTTTTTTTAAAGTGAAGTAAAGTCAGAGATAAAGTACATTTCTGCGCGATCGAGTGATAGCACAGATCCACCGATCACGCCCAACATACATGTATATGTGTAGAATTCCATAGTTAGCAGAGGGAAATTAAATTGGGCCCAATTCCTCTACAGCAATAGTAAGCTACACACCACATGCAAAGGCAGTGCCAGTATTTGCAGCATGTCGGTCGCTGAGTGAAGCCCGGCCACAATGTTCTCTAATAGTAAGTAAATATTAACGTGATCCAGGGCCCAATTTCACGGCGCTGCTAAGCACAAAAAGTTGCTAAACACAAAAACGTCTGGCTCATAAAAGCAGGTTATCAGCCAAAACTCCATGTGATTTTCGTGCTAAGCAAACAACAGCTGAATACTAATCACGAGCAATATACATCACATGGAGTTTTGGCTGGTAACCTGCTTTTATAAGCCTGACGTTTTTGTGCTAAGCAAATTGTTGTGCTTAGCAGCGCAGTGAAATTGGCCCCTTGAGGTCACCACATGGATACTTACGGTCAAAGGGAGAAAATTGGTTGAGGTGGGGGTCTTCCTGCCCACAGCCGTCACAAGAACTGATGTGTCACCAAGCTACAACAGCATGACACAATAAATATAGATCACATAAATCGCAAGCAAAAATCACAGATATCAATTGGCAAATTGCCAATTATCAATTGGATCAGGTTAATATCAATAACTTTGTTATCTTACTACGTAAAATAACTAATTTATGTACTAATTGAACTAGGCAATTTCAAGCGAAACATTCTTTTTTTTCTTGAATGAAACATATTTCTTCATGCGTTACACAAGTTGACAAATAATTGTTTACCTTACGGATGAAAAACAACTAGCACCCACACAGCTCGATTTTTTGGGGTCGCAAAAGTGCACCCGAAAAGTCGTTCTCGCACGCATAATACAGGAATAAGGCCAAAAAAAAAAATATTTGGTCTCTGGTCAGACCAAAGTTCCGGAATTGACGCGGCCACGCGGCTTTTTTTTTTTTTTTTTTGCTTTTTTTTTTTTTTCAAGTTTGGATTGTACAGACAAGGTGGGGTACTACTTTGCTTTTTTGGTGTCCTCATGTACATTGGTGTCCTCCATAATTTGCCTTGGTGCTTTTGATCATTTGCCTTGGTGCAATTTCCCATTCCTTGGTGCTCTTTGGTAAAAAAAAATTGAGGAGGTGCAGAAATAGAGGGCGCTGTTGGAGCTACCGCGGAACATTTAAGAAAAAAAAAGATCGACGCGCATGAATTTTGAATTAAAATTGACGCGCGCGCTGACCAGAGACCGACTTATTTTGTTTTTTGGCCTAACACAAAATGCCCATTTTCTAAAGGATAGCTTTGTGGATGTAAATATCCTACTTTTAAATGTTCTTTCCGATTGACATTATTTTGTTCAAAGTGCATTTTTGTAGCCCAATTGGGCTGTTCCAAGATGCAGTGTCACTTTAACCCCAACTCCCTAGGCCTTTTTGCTAGGATGTAGCCTCAAATCCTGCAAAATCCTCCAATTGGCCTCATGGAAAAATAGCATATAGCCTCAATCCTGCAAATTCCTCCGCTATTTTTTTAATATGGTCCATTGAGGAGTGACCACTGCCTGAATCCTGCACAATCCTCTGGCTATGGCTGTCAACAGGCTGAGGCAGAGGTAGTGACATCCTTGAGCAGTGCGGAGGATGTCAAGTATAATCAAGGGCTAAATTTATGCACGGCTGAGCATAAACAACACAACGTCCGGCCCAAGACCTTGACACAGTGCGTACTTCGAAATCAGCAACCCACTTTTGCCATGTAACCTCAATCCTGCAAATTGCAAATTTTAATAATGAATACTTTAAATGTTAATTAGAGGGAAAATTACCTGAGCCACAGCACATCCATCGGCAAATCGCGCCAGTTTTCCAGTGGACAAGCGAAGTATTCTACAAAACGATGAAAGAATACACTGTGAACTTGTGAATGCATGCAGTAGCAAGGAGTCTAAAAATAAACAAATCCTTAAAGTCCCCTCTTTTTCACAGCTTTAAAAAAATTCCTTGCAAATATCTCAACATAGATTAAAGTTCATTAGCTTTTCACCAACAAAAAAAGAGAGTTATGGCCAATTTTTCAATCTGTCCATGGTCTCAATTGTCATTTGTTAAGAATGCAGGGGTGTGAGTGACCACTGATAAAAATAGCTGAAAACAGCTGAAAAAGGTTTTTAAAAAAGCTGAACTTTGGAAATCTCCTATACTTTTGTACACAGCAAGTGAAAGAAAAAAGCTGAAATCCAAAATTAAAAAAAGGCTGAAATCCGCTTTAAAGTTGCGATTTCACACCCCTGAGAATGTAATGGATTTAGGGTGAGGGCAGTTTAGCTATCTTTAATGTTGTAAACTTTCCTTATTTATTTATTTGGTTCTTTTATATTTTTATTTCGGCCTTTGTTCTTATTGTGGCAGTCAAAATATCAGTCACCTTTGGACAAATGAAAAAGCGGTACTTGTATTCAATTTGCCATAACTCAATAAATATTTACCCCATTCCAAAAAATTTGGGTGTTCAAAAGCCAATGAAAATACTCTCTAAATGTGCTTCGATATTTGCAATTTTTTTTAATACTGTGGAAAAGAAGAGACTTTGAGGGTTCCTTTTGTTTTTTAATCACCCTGTTGTAATGTAAATGTACAAATATCATGGCACATACATCATACATGAACGTGTACCACAGAAAAGGCCAGAGGGGCGTTAAACAAAACATGAAGTAACTTGTTGATCAAAATCGTTGGAAATTTGTGAAGTTTTGACTTGGGGAAGAATTCCATACACATGGACATCACTTATCACTGACACTTGGCCTACTAAAACTATCTGCAGTGGCGCACCCAAGGGGGGGGGGGGGGACTCAGGGGAGCTCGGGGGAGCTTGAGCCCCTTCCCCCCCCCCCCCCCTTCCCCCTCCCCCCAAGGTTGTTATTTTTTTTGTTTTAGTCCCACAATTTGACCTTGGTGATACATGTGATATGTATGTGGCCTACTTTTGAGTAGTATTAATAATTGGGGTGTAAGTTGCGCCACCGTCAAAAAAGTCCCCCCCCCCCAACAAAAACCCAATTTGTTGAAAAAAAAAAAATATCAACAAAATGAAAAGAAAAAAAAATTGTGCGCCCCCCGGCCCCAAAGCCAAATCATGGGTGCGCCACTGACTACTTCTAGTTCTAGAATTAGAAGGCTTCTCTCCGGAGAGAAGCCTCCTAAATCTAACTCTAGAAGTACGCCACTGACTATCAATCTGAAAGCAATAACATTAGGAAAAAATTCCGTACAATTAACATGATTAACATGTCCTAAAAAGTCAAAGGAGCAACTATAGAGTCAAATTTAGCAGAGAAAATATTGAAGCATTTACTGAGAAAACAATTTTTTTTTCAATTTTTCAGGCCAGTCTCATAGGGATTATGCACAGGGCGTCAACTCGGAATAAGTCATCGTCAACTCAAGTGATGTAAATATGCATGGAACTTGGATTGAAGTGAACCAATTTTGCCATTCGACAGAAATAACCGTACTTATCCCCAACGTTTGCTTCCACCGAGTCCGTATCATCTACTCCAGTTACCGGCTTCATATGCCTCCATCTCCTGGGACCAATTACCCATTGCCGAGAACAGTTCTTGCACCGCCAGAAAAGTCTTTTTAACGGTAGGAGAACAGAGGTTTGGGAAAGCGTGATTTTGGTCATGGAGGCCGCCATATTGGTATTTTTGAGCAAATGAGGGCGCTGTAACATTTTAACTTAATCATTTGAATGTGAAAAAGTCCGTGATTTGTGAACTATTTTATATCCCTATTTTATCCCCAACATTATGTTCAAGTACAACAGAATTTACAGAAAGCGAAATAGTCTTTCACGGCACCTCAAACCTAAGAATTTGCAGAAAAAAACTGATGTTTACGATAATAAAAAAAAGTTAGTTGTACAGTAGGCCTGGGGTGTGAATGACTAATTTTTTTTGGGGGGGGGTCGGCACACTACACGACAAGAGGGCGCTGTTCATGATAGAGGGTACATTTTTATGCAACTTGAGAGCTAACGGTTAACCTTACATCCAAACGGCGCATGTAAAGCTTTATGTTTGTTCTCCAATTTTCAGTGATATATTTAAAACATTTGGGCTGTTGGAAGGTTAGAAAATAACCTTAACATCGGCATTTCTTCCTCACTACAAAAACCTGGGTGATGATGTAATGGCCCATGCCCCTCCTCTGCCCAAAAGGTGGGGTCTTTTTAAAAGTTTTTTGAAGTTTTTCGAAGCGATTAAAATATGTACATCTCCTGAAGCATTTCAAGAAGCCGATAAGTTTCGAGCGACAAGAAGATTCAAAAACAACTTTAGAAGCGACCAACCGAGACTGTTTAATAACGATCCAGAACCGTACTTCGATACTCAGTCATTGCACACACATATTGCGCTCCGAAGTTCGATTCGTCATTAACAGACAAGAACAGGCCAGACGATTTTGTGACAATGGAGTTCCATTTCGTTAACAGTCAGAAACTTATCTTAAATGAGAGACAAACAAAGCAAGGCTGTTCGCGAACAATTTGGACAAAAATATTAGAAAACGTATCGGGGAAAAAACAGGTTCGGTCATAGATAAGATACTGGCGTTTTATATATCCACGTAAACCGACCGGTAAAGATCTTTAAGATGTATACCTCTTAAACGTAGATTTGCCTAAATGGCTAAAAAAAAACAAAAAAACAAAAACAGTCGATCATTCAAACGAAGACCAAGAGTACATTGGAAGCTTAGATGGTGTTTAAGAACTAGTTAAGTTTTCCGACAATGTGAAAAACAAAATTGACCACCCAAATTATTAGATTCACGAAGATACGGAATATCAATACTTATTACTTATGTTAATAACTAAACGACGGATTAAACTTGAACGATGTTGATTTCCCTATATACACTCGTAAATCAGATACCCAGAACAAAAAATATGAAATAATCTGGTGATTTACGTAGTGGGTATACACGGGAAAAAGATAATTATATCCCCCCACGCACGTATCTGAAAATAAAAATGCAGAGCCATAGTAAAAATGGTCACTATACTGTGAAAGACTATTCTTTATTATTTTTTCACACTGTGCAGACCACAACGGTAAATAATATTTCTGCTATAAAGAATATCGCATTTTAATTCGCAAGCAAGGTTCGACAAAGACGAAGATTGCCAAGGCTAGGAATGGATATAGGCCTAAAGCCGCACTCAAGATTGTATTTCCAAAAGACAAACGGATTAAAAATTAAGAACCCTTACGTTAAACACGCGCCAAGTGTCATTCAGGCTACAACAAGTGTCATTCAGGCTAAACAACAATACCTGCCAGACTACGACCCAGACAAGTAGTCTTCGTATATAGCCTATTATTGTATCTCCATATACCAATAAAGTATACGGTAGGGCCGTGAGTCAATAACTATCTTATAATTACAAACAATATAAATGGATAAACTCAAAGAAACTTAATACGAGTTTGGACCGAAAGTCATTGTTACGACTACATCTTCAAAACACGAGCGTCATTTTTCACATGCACGAGCTACATTAAATCAGAAAATAACACCATTTACACCGCGTCACAGACTAATGACTGTTATTAAGTCTGTTAGACACAAAGAAACACTATTTAATACCATCTGGTATATAAACACAGTATAGCTTTCAGTCATTTTCCGTTCGAGACCCACAGAGGCAGAGACGCCACAACTCACTATGTACTCTCGCTGCTAGATTGACAGCTAGACATTCATTTCAAAATATCAGTTGCCATGAAATCAATAAAACAAAATCAAACCCCTTTTCAAAAAACGGATCTACCCCAATTACATTGTACTGGAATCTTGTCAGTGCGACCAACACCAAAAAAACCTAGACGGAAAAAAAACGGACAAAAACCCGGAAAAAATGTACTCCTTTATTATTATTATTATTATTATTATTATGCATTTAGGTACGCTATTCATAGTATAACTATATCACAGCGATTACAGTAGTAATGAGCAATATAACAACAAATCATTAAACATTATACAAACAAAACAACAATAATACATCAATTGGGAAAGAGGTATGTTTTGAGGATCTTCTTAAACACATCCACTGATGGAGCAGATTTAATATAGGAGGGAAGTTCATTCCACTCCTTAGCTGCTGTAACAGTGAATGTACGATCTCCTGCCTTACTACGAGTCCTGGGAAAAGTTAGCCGAGATGGATCTGCATTGGAGCGAAGATTAGTACGCACAGGTTGATACAACTCAAGACACTCATTAAAATACTCTGGGGCCTGATTATGAAAGAATTTGTATACAAATAAAAGAATCTTAAACACAATCCTCTGTTTAATTGGTAACCAATGAAGCGATCTTAGAAGAGGCATGGCATCATGACGGCGATCCAACTTAAAGATGACAAATGAAAAGGGAGTTTAATTGCGTAAACTGCGGAAGAAGATTAACAAATCCAGAAGGTGATAGACAACCACCTCGTCAGGGGCAAATACGGTGGCGCTGCGCATGCCTAATTCAATACAACATTCAAACTTTAAAAAGATTGTATTCTGACACCCATCATTTGTCACAATCTTGAACGTTAGAATGTACATTTGATTATGCCAGGCAGTTCTATAGGCCTACTCACGACGGCAAATTGACGCGCATTGCTAAAAGAAAAACAATCCGAAAGGTAGTAGGCCTGCACGGTATGTACTTGTATACATGTCATTTTCAATCAATCAATCGAGATTTATAGACTCTTTTAATTTGATGGCGACGTCGTTAGATAAATTGATCAAAGCTTGTCCAAAAGAGTCGCTTAACTTTACTCAGAGATTATTTATACCGATGTGCTTCTTCAAGAAGGCGTTTATCCGTAGTATATGGACTTGTTTGATATATGTAGGCCTAATCAAACCTTCTTTTATATACCAATGGTCCAATATTACAGTAATCTCAAAGACGATGACGTCAGAGCTCAACAAATACAGCTGCAAACTTTAACGTGGCCAAATATAAATATCACGACTTGTACGTGACTAGACTCATGGTACTTGGGAGTCAACTGCCAGCAACCGTCTCTATTGGCGCTCTGCTGTCTATAACGGTTTATCCTCCTCAAGACAACTTTACATTGATGAATGGGAGAGACGTCGTCTCCATCGTCGTTTGCGACGGGATGGGCCATGATGATGATGACGTGACTAGACAGACACGCTAGTACATTTAGTTGCCGGTGTATTTGAGAATTTTAGGCAATTGTGTAAAATCGTCTACAAGTTAGATCCGGCTAAATTATTGTTGCTCAGCCCCGGGTTATCGCAGGCGTGTAGCAAGGACATGTTTTCCCCTTTGCTCACTTTATTTCCAACCTGGTTTCCAATAGTAAGCCTTCGATAGCAAACTTTCTTCCTGTATCGTGATTCGATACCGCAATTTGCTAGTAATGGATTAATATCGTGTAGTTGGCGTTGTTATTTCCAACGTGCATTACGTGTTTTCACGATTATTGTGATTATAACGTCCACGCCTTCTCAAAAATACTCCTTTTCTTTCCAGTTTGCTCATATTAATAGGAAATGTGATACTGCATATTGGCGGGCCAGATTGTAACATTTTAACTTCCAAAAAAACCGTGTTTTCATAACTCACGGCGCGAAGAAGTGATGCTGTTTTTATCCCAGACACCGTATACAAAAACAAACGCTAATGTAGCGCACATGCAGGCACCAGACTATTCTCATTTGCATACGTGTTCAAAAATCTTGCACTTGCAAATGATCCAATACCAGGGTGAGAGAGCAGGTAGTGGTGGGCGCGTACTGCTCGACACCCTGGGGACGAGGTTGACGTATAAGGGCACTTTGACCATAACTAAATCATCCGTGCTGAAATTTAAATCAAACAACCGGGGGGGGGGGGGGGGAGGCGATCACGGTCACTACGGGACAATAGGTGGCGCTCTTCATTGCGGCACAACTGCTGATGACGATCGTGGGTCGTTAAAAAAGCGGGCACGTGTGAAAAAAAAACACTTGTGGGAAATTTATATGGAGTTGGTGGGTTAAATACATATCACTTACCCCCACTACTCAAATCAAATCAAACACTCTGAAATTCAACTGGAGCTGTTGACGGACGTAGACATGCGGGCTATTTGTTTGTCGAGAAATCAAAAAGAAGACGAATATCAAGCGCCGGTAGCACGCGATATTTCAAGGCAAAAAAAATCAAATACCTGCCAGACTACGACCAAGGCTATGAAAAACTTGAATTGTACGATTTATCGAACTACAAATCGTACCACAAGTTGTACAACGCTAACAAACAAAAAAGGTCATCGGTAATTTGAAAGACAAAGTAGGACGCAAAGTCATTAATTATTACGACTACATATTCAAAACACGAGCGTCATTTCACACGATATGAGTCAACTTAATCAGAAAATCACATTGACTTACACTGTGTCACAGACTTAACTGTCATTAGGTCCGTTAGACACAAAGAGATACATTTTACCGTCCGGTATAAATTCAAGCAAGTCATTTTCCGTTCGGCGGTAGGCCTAACTCGGTATTATATAGTTCGTCTCGAAGCTCTTACCTTGCGAATGAACAATCCGTCATTTATGTCGATTTTGAACCAAAACCAGAAAAAAAATAACAGACTACATTTACGCTAAAACGCACGTTCATAGAGCTATGCTATTCGTACCTG